CGAGAACCACGAGGAGCCGCCTGCGATCGAGGTTGAGGGCGACGAAGAGTACGAGGTTGAGCGGATCAAGGATTCGCGGATCTTCCGGCGTCAGCTGCAGTACCTCGTCAAGTGGAAGGGTTATGACGACTCGCATACGTCATGGGAACCGGCGCGCAACGTTACCAATGCGCCGGCCCTCATAGCCGACTTCCACCGGAAGAATCCAAACGCCCCTCGTCGACTCAATGCTGCTACCTTTGGTGGTCTCAACTTTCAGCCAATGCCTTCGCCGCTGACTGAAGCACGTTGCCGCTCCGGATGGGAGATGGGCAAGGGCGCCTCGCATGAGGTCATGCGCCGTTGAGGGGGGGGTAATGTCACGAGTTGGTACGGCGCCTAGCCGTTTTTTAATTTTTCCTTTTCGCGGGCTCGAACCCGCGACCTCTGTACTACCTGCCTGATATGGACGCATCACTATCTACTGTACGATTAGATTAGATGGGACGGCAACGCACGGCACAGCTCGGGCCCCGCTGACGCAGCCGCTCTGACTCACCGGCCCCCGGGGCCGCGTCGGCATGCTGCGCACAGACCAGCTGCGCACGGACCAACGTGCACAGCCTGCCCTAATCCCCCCATGTATATAAGCCGGCCTCTGCTGCCCTAGGGACCTCAGTTTCGACCTCTTGTCCCTAGGTCAGTAAGCCCCAGTTGTATCCTTTACTTACCTTCACTAACTAATACATTTCTTGTCCCTAGCCTTAGGTTTGAGCCTCGCTCACCATCGCTTCGGTGAGAACCAGTCGGACGCCCCTTGCTTTTAGGTATTCCCCTGTCGCTTGACCTCAAGTCGCGACACAGACGACACCCCAAAAGACTCCGTAAGAATGGACAGCAGTCGCGTTGTAGCTGTGCTAATTTTCGTTGTCTGCTAGGTTAAAGCTGTTTCTCCGGACGCTGTGAGAACCCAAACTGTGGGCTCCTTTTGTTGCTGACTGATCAGTATGACTAGTAACAATGGCTTGCCGTCGTACGATGTTTATGTGAAGCCGGAACAGTGTTCAACGTACGTGATATCATCTCTTGAGATGGCCATACCCGTAAACTAAGATAGAATGGTCAGGTTTTGTCAACATGTTTCAAAGCGACTGCTGAGCAAGGCTGCAAGCTGGTTATGTGATCGAAAGTCATTCCCCGTGTCACGTTTTTCGGACGCCCTGATGTCCGACATATGTGAGTTCACGACGGCATTTTACTGGCCCCTGAAATGGCGCTCAATGGTGATTACTGGTCCTGATTTCTGCTTGCGACAAAGGGTTAATAAAGGTTTAGGACAACATGCCTGCTGTTGACGCAAATGTGGCACATTTTCTTGAAGAGTTCAAATGGATAGTGGCTTTCCGTCAAGAGAAGAAGATGCCCACCCTTGACAGCCTTCATGCGAAGAAACTCTATACAGGCAGGGACCAATCCTATAGCGCTAAAGATGTGCTATGTTTATTCAATGAAGAATTTGCGGAGTCGGTGCTTTGGAGCCAGGTAGACAGGTTACTCACCGGTAGCTTGTCAACAATCCTCAACACTTGCCTCCTATCATTGCGCAAGGTTGAAGCTGGCATTCCTCTCGGGGAGGCCAGCTGGCGCCACGATCTCGATCGATTCTTTTTCGATTTCATTAATGCTGTCATCGATACAGCAGGGCAGTCCGACGGCAGTGAAGTGAAGCAAGATCAAGTACATGTCTCGTAAGTCATCTGTTTGTGCATCAGGAATTTAATCTGACAACAATCATTACCCTAAGTTTGGAGCGGACAATCGCACTCTCTCGAAACATCATTGCAAGCGGCAACCTGACAGATTTGGCAAGTCTCAAAGACGCAACAACAGATTTCATGATTACTATTCTCAATCTCGGTCCCAAGCTGGAGCTTTTCCCACAACACTCCACCAGTAAAGTGAAATCAGCGGAAGCAGCACTACACCCTAATCTCGTGACTCTCTGCACGACATGGCAAGATACTCTAACGCTTCTGGATATCAAACACCGACTGGCTTTTAGCCCCACCACTGCCAGGTGCGATGCCATAGGTGCTGTACGCATGCCAGTCAACCTATCGAAGGCTGCTCTCAAGTCTTATCACTTCGTAAGGCCACGTAGCGGCGGGAGCAAGCCACCGGCCTCGATAAATCGGGATCAGCCAGACGCCGCGGACAATGATTCATCCACATCATCGAGAGCCTCTACACCTGATCCAGCAGCCTCTACATCCGATCCAACAGCCTCTACATCCGATCCAACAGCCTCTACATCCAATCCAACAGCCTCTAAACCCGATCCAGCAGCCTCCTCATCCGCCTTAGACTACAGCCAACTCGATTCTGCCATCTGCGACTCTCGTGATGTCTATCAACAAGCCAAGCAGAGCGGTCGGGCAAACCCTGCACAGGCCGATGTCAACCTAGTCGCAAAACTCGACCAGCTGCGGTTCGAAGATACACCTCGCACGACATCGCATGCTACGGGTGATGTGTCCAATACAGAATACTTGGACCTTCCCTTGATCGTTGTCGAGTACAAGCGACCTTCGGACACTCACACCGACCACATACAGGGGCAGAACCAGCGTCGTATATACTGTGTTTCCGCCGCACGGTTCTTGGAGGCGATCGGCATCGATGAGTTCCCTATCTTCAGCGTGCTCTCGGACGGTCCCCTAACGGTCCTCGCCGTCACCTGGGCCAAGGACGGGGTGTGTTCCAGCGTTGCGTGCTTTGGGAGGTACTGATGCTTTCGCAGGTTGTCCGGATATTCGAACGTCATATGATGTCGTTTGACGTTTCCAGCCCACTTGGTGCGTGGCACTATGCGACGGTCATGGCGCGCATTGCCGTGTTCTGGGGGACGGCGCTGGCGAAGCGCTTCGCGCTGGTGAGGGATGCGTTTGTGACGGGCGTGGAGAAGGACGACCCAAAGCTGCGCTGGACGCACGCGCACCAGGTCGTGCACCGTCCCCCCGGGGAGGCGCCGCCTGAAAATGCGTCTCAGGATGGGTCTTGAATGCGTACGTGCCGGTCAGGGTGGAGCTACCCGTGGATACATGTTGTGCTCGATGCTGTCTTGTGCGAATGCGATGAACCCGATCTCGCTGTGTGTGGCTACGGCCATTGGCCGTCGTGTGAAGTGAGTATCCATGAGATGAGTGGTATGACCTCTCGTACTAGATTGTGCCTTGTGGCAAGATGGAGCAGAAGCTTACGGCAGGGGGGCCGGCAGCGGTGCAGATGGCATGGGCTGCCCGACGAGGATCGTAAGGTAGACACTTGCTACGATCTCCCCGTCCTCTCGCCGTCGTAGTCGGTACCGGTAAGCGACGACGTACCCATCTTCATCCCGCGCACAAACACTCACTCGTCATACACACGTCTGTCCACGGCTCCACGACTGGAACAAAGCTCGACCGCGGCGTAGACCGTCGACCGAGCGCGACCGTACCCAGACCAATGTCGAGACCTCAACGTTCAACGGCCAACGTTGACGTGAATCGCTTACTGCGTGTGGCTGCCGCGACTCACAGCACCTGTCTGGCAGCCGGGGCGCGTCACCCCCAGGGCCTACCGAGCACCGCTAACAGGCTATGCTCCGTGTCCCAGTGCCAGGTGCGCCTGCGCGCCATGTCCATGTCCCGCCCTCGTATCGGCCTCACGCCCTGCAGCGCGTCGTGCGCGTCAACGATCGAGCTTCGGAAGATATGGCGGGCCATATACATAGCGCTCTTCATTCATTCATTCATTCATTCATTCATTCATTATAGCGGCGCCTCCGCCCGGCGTCTTGGCACGTCGATGGAACGGGTCTGTTCGTAATCAAATCAACGTCGCAAGCGCGCCCGATCGAGTATGCACCCCTGCCCGCCTGCCTTCCGCAGGAGCCACGGCTGCCATACCAATACGCGGAGCACACGAACACAGGCACCCACGCCGAGGACGCCGCCCCTACCGCGCCCGCCGACAGCCATATGCACCCAGCGCGTATCTAAGCAGTACGTACGCACCGGACACGATGCATGACCGGCTGGCCGACCGCGTACACGGTACAGAGTCCGGCGCAGCCCCTTCGCCCCCGCCATCTCCGCGTCGAAAAATAAAATACGTACGTGCACCGAGCGACTCGGACTGCCCCCGCGTCCTCGCACTCGCAAACCGCCATCGCGGCGCACAGCCACGTCCGCGCGTCCTCACGCGCAGCCCATCTCCGCTGGTCATTCATCAGCGGCGCAGCCGCGGCTTACGTCCAAAAGTCGCGCTGGGCACGTCTCTCTATTTAATATTACAGCGATAAGGTTACATGCACCGGAGCAGCGTCCGCCACGGGCGCAGCGAATCGTGGACCACGATCCACGCGCTGCGGGACGGCTTCCCGCCGAGTCCCGGCGCGCTCGAGTGCTGTGAAGCCACCCGCGGGTGAAGGCGGGCTATGGGTATATGGTATATGGGTACAGGGTAACGAGCGGCTGCAGAGCGAGTCTGTCTCGATGCGAGTGAGAATCCGGGATGAGGAGAAATGGAGACGAAGGCAGACGGAGATGAGCGAGCGTGTATGTACAATGCCGCGGTGGCTTTGACGGGTGGCCGCCGGTGGACGCAGCGCGGGCCCACCGCGTCATGCAGGCCGTGCGAAGGGCGGGCATGAGGCGCTGGACGGCGGCGGCAAGGGGTATCTAGGTGTTAACAAAGTCCCCGAAGTGTGTCCGCACGTTCATCCGCTCGCTTCATTACTCATTCTACGCTTCAGAGATCGTAGTGATGTGTTTGGGCAAGCGATCTACGTTACGTTCTCCAAGTCCTCGCGCTAGCAAAAGTGACTATTGGATAATAATGAACAAGATTGGCATTCGTACATCAGAGCATGGTGTTCTGTTCGCTATTATTCGTGCCCTAGATAGTCATCCTGGTCTACTGTTCTGGGTATCGATGTGCAATCGTTGAGCTCTCAGATTCGGCATGTGTGGTACTACTCGCTTCATTTGCCTGAAACCCGACGAAGAGTGGACCTAACAGCCTTTAGCCTGAACTTTGTGCGGGGTGTAGCCTTAGATTCTTTCCAGTACCCACTTGAAGCGGATGAGTGCTGCTGCGCCCGGAGTCAAGTGTTGGAACACTTACATTTGCAGGCTTGCGTTGTCTTTTCCCTCCTGGCAGCAGAACTCATCCGTCTACGGCTCTGTTCGTAAGCGACCGACACGAACTGAGCACGTCCGTGGACCGACGATATGTCATTCTATCGACGCGATAAAAACGGACATCACGGAGAGCGAGTCAGCATACATTCAGGTAGGCCACCATCGAGAAATACAAAACCAGTCGTTTGTCGGCGATGCCAGTGCTCGGCACAAACCAATCATCTCCTGTAGTCGTACCTGTGTTCTTGACTTTTCTCCGCCCATATGTCTGTGTCCTGTTTCCAACGTGAGCTTGGACACTTGATTTGAACACGCCGAATAAAGTCGCCTTCCACTTGAGCAAATCAATCCGCAAACTATGGGCCATGAATGATGGCGATGCGTGCGAGCCCTGTTGCGTAGTGCCACACCCCAATGGCAGTCGACATGTCAAATGACAACAGATGCCTCAAAGATATGCACCGTCTGCCATTGCAACGTGGGCAGGCAAGACGCGTTTCGGAGAAGTGCGTTTTGCTTATTCACTGCCACAGGGAATGCGACGCCAACGTCCGCAGTGCTGTGGTATTCAGTGTCGTGAAGGAGCTCATAGGTACTGTTCGAGCGTTTAGATCTCTGTGGGAGCGGTCGGTCATGTGATCGCGTAATAGCAGGCGCGACGCGTTGAACGTTTAGCGCCCCACCCTCTTGTCATACCACGAATTACCAAGTCTGCGTTGACAGTGTTGACGTCTCTCCTTACTTGTACTCGGTCAATGAGTCCGTACGACACTTATCTGGGAGAGGTCTATCGTGATGTGGTGCACCACAATGCTTTGGATGCTAATGACACCAATCCAATTCCACGGAAGGTGAAGGAGTACGCCCACCTTCTGGAAGATGCATTTGAACTTCCTCAATGGGTGAAGGAGGTTTGATACTACATATATACTCTCGCTCGCCAACCAATAATGGGAAACAGGGACCATATCCGTGGCTCTATCCTCGAGTAATACCATTAGTGCGGGAATTACAGAGCTCGTCTCGCACGACGTATCGATCTCAGGCCAGCGGGGATGGCCAGAATGACGAGCAGTTGACAGAAACACACCTCAGGCGAATCTTCAACACTGTTCTCGACGACTGCGCTAGCTTGCGTCATGTCATCTCGGTCGATCAGGAGGATGGCATCTGTAGTCCAAAGGAATCATTTGTTTGCATATTGGTACGGAATGCGCTATGTATTACTAGACCAGCTCTGCTTGTGGAGTATGCTGATGATCTTCCGACGTGTATACACGAATACTGACTGTACAGCATCTGCAGCGAAGAAGCTCTGGTTGCATTGCCTCGACACTGGAGTGGCGAACTGAGTCCTCTATTCCACTATATGAGCACCAGCGTCTGCGCTCCCCTGCTTGTGTCTATTGCTGCAGAGGTCCCCCTGGATCCATCAATGCTTCTCCCACAAGACGAGGATCAAGATGGCGAGTCTGTCTCGACTAGAAGTACGGATAGCGATGACGAGGATGTTCAAAAGAGCACCGCGTGTTCACCTCGCCGTGGTAGCTCTCCTAGAAATTCAGTGGTGATACAGACACCACAACATTCTGATTCTCTGCCGGTCTATATTGTTTCGGGCCGTTCTATCTCGGCGTCGGAATGGCTCAGATGTCCTTCGGTGAAGGAGGTGGTCTATGAGCAAGAGTCTGAAGACGATGCAATCAACGAGGACCAGCGGTGCCTTGCTGAACTAGATTTGCATGTGTTCGACTATCCACGAGACAAGCCCCTTCCTGTCAATGCCGTGATGCCCGTTTTGTGCATGGCTGATGATGCCACGCTTCCCATCATCATGGCCAGTGCGCTGTATCAGCGACAGCTCTGGCATGTTCGGGAGCCATTGATAGGCATCTCATCCGAGCGGTATAGTAGCTGCATCTCATTTTGTTTGGGGTGGATTGAAGCAGAGCTCGTCGATGGCCGACAATTGGTGAGAATGTGATTGTGTACGCGATTATGGGATGTGTCTAACCCCGCCTATGGTAGCCTCATGTGCATATAGCGCACATGGCTCATCTACCAGAGATTGACCTTGCAAATCCTGAGAGTGTGCTGACTGTAGCACAATTTCTCCTCAGTCTAGATGACCACATTGCCAACATTCAAAGCGAAGTTGCCTCGTCGCAAACAGTAGTGGCAGATGAACTCCGGCAGCAACCTCTTGTACAGTGGAGGATCGACTCGGCAATTGCTGTCGAGGACTCAACTGGAGACCCTGAGGATTCCGTCTCCGCCTGGCTTTGCAGCCTTGAGGACTCCGAACTGTCTAGGTAAGCTGCTTAAATTGTCTTTGTTTTGCGTTGATAAGCCCATCCGTTTCTGCATTGTCTGCATGCCGGTGGTCTAGCAAGGAACCACCTTTGACGACATTGGCACCGCTGTCGCCACACACAACTGGCATGTAAGTGTTCTATACTCTGGTATACATTAAGGATGGTTTTCCGGAAGCCGTGAGAGTCCAAATCATGGGCTCCTGTTGTTGTTAACTGATCAATAGGACTGGTGACGATGACTCGCTGTTATATGATGTTCATGAAAAGTCAGAGCAGTGTTCAATGTACGTAATGTTAGCTCCTAAGGCCGCCATACCCGTAAACTAAGACAGAACGGCCAGCTTTTGTGAGCGGGATTCAAAGCCACTGCTAAGCAATGCTACAAGCTGGTTATGTGATCGAAAGTCATTCCCCGTGTCACGTTTTTCGGACGCCCTGATGTCCGACATATGTGAGTTCACGACGGCATTTTACTGGCCCCTGAAATGGCGCTCAATGGTAATTACTGGTCCTGATTTCTGCTTGCGACAAAGGGTTAATAAAGGTTTAGGACAACATGCCTGCTGTTGACGCAAATGTGGCACATTTTCTTGAAGAGTTCAAATGGATAGTGGCTTTCCGTCAAGAGAAGAAGATGCCCACCCTTGACAGCCTTCATGCGAAGAAACTCTATACAGGCAGGGACCAATCCTATAGCGCTAAAGATGTGCTATGTTTATTCAATGAAGAATTTGCGGAGTCGGTGCTTTGGAGCCAGGTAGACAGGTTACTCACCGGTAGCTTGTCGACAATCCTCAACACGTGCCTTCTATCACGGCGCAAGGTCGAAGCTGGCATCCCTCTCGGGGAAGCCAGCTGGCGCCACGATCTTGACCGGTTTTTTTTTGACTTTGTTCATACCGTCATCGATACGGCGGGGCAGTCCGACGGGAGTGAAGAAAGGCAAGGTCAAGTGCATGTCTCGTAAGTCATCTATTTGCGCCTCATACCTTTGATCTAACAATGGGCATCACTCTAAGCTTGGAGCGGACTATCGCACTCTCTCGAAACATCATTGCAAGCGGCGACCTGACAGACTTAGCAGGTCTGAAACGCACAACAGCAAGGTTCATGTCAACTATTGCCAATCTCGGTACCAAGACGGAGCTTTACCCACAACACCTCACCGATGACGCGATATTAGCAGAAACGGCACGACACAACAATCTCGTTACTCTCTGCACAACATGGCAAAATACTCTAACGCTTCCGGACATCAAACACCGACTGGCTTTTAGCCCTACCACTGCCAGGTGCGATGCCATAGGTGTTGTGCGCATGCCAGTCAATCTATCGAAGGTCGCTCTCAAGCCTTATCACTTCGTAAGGCCACGTAGCGGCGGGAGCAAGCCACCGGCCTCGATAAATCGGGATCAGTCAGACACCGCGAACAATGATCCATCTACACCGTCGACAACCTCTACACCCCCCTCAGCAGCCCCCCCATCTGCCCTGGACTACAGCCAACTCGACTCTGCCATCTGCGACTCTCGTGATGTCTATCAACAAGCCAAGCAGAGCGGTCGGGCAAACCCTGCACAGGCCGATGTCAACCTAGTCGCAAAACTCGACCAGCTGCGGTTCGAAGATACACCTCGCACGACATCGCATGCTACGGGTGATGTGTCCAATACAGAATACTTGGACCTTCCCTTGATCATTGTCGAGTACAAGCGACCTTCGGACACTCACACCGACCACATACAGGGGCAGAACCAGCGTCGTATATACTGTGTTTCCGCCGCACGGTTCTTGGAGGCGATCGGCATCGATGAGTTCCCTATCTTCAGCGTGCTCTCGGACGGTCCCCTAACGGTCCTCGCCGTCACCTGGGCCAAGGACGGGGTGTGTTCCAGCGTTGCGTGCTTTGGGAGGTACTGATGCTTTCGCAGGTTGTCCGGATATTCGAACGTCATATGATGTCGTTCGACGTTTCCAGCCCGCTTGGTGCGTGGCACTATGCGACGGTCATGGCGCGCATTGCCGTGTTCTGGGGCACGGCGCTGGCGAAGCGCTTCGCGCTGGTGAGGGATGCGTTTGTGACGGGCGTGGAGAAGGACGACCCAAAGCTGCGCTGGACGCACGCGCACCAGGTCGTGCACCGTCCCCCCGGGGAGGCGCCGCCTGAGAATGCGTCTCAGGATGGGTCTTGAATGCGTACGTGCCGGTCAGGGTGGAGCTACCCGTGGATACATGTTGTGCTCGATGCTGTCTTGTGCGAATGCGATGAACCCGATCTCGCTGTGTGTGGCTACGGCCATTGGCCGTCGTGTGAAGTGAGTATCCCTGAGATGAGTGGTATGACCTCTCGTACTAGATTGTGCCTTGTGGCAAGATGGAGCAGAAGCTTACGACAGGGGGCCGGCAGCGGTGCAGATGGCATGGGCTGCCCGACGAGGATCGTAAGGTAGACCTTGCTACAATCTCCCCGTCCTCTCGCCGTCATAGTCGGTACCGGTAAGCGACGACGTACCCATCTTCATCCCGCGCACAGACACTCACTCGTCATACACACGTCTGTCCACGGCTCCACGACTGGAACAAAGCTCGACCGCGGCGTAGACCGTCGACCGAGCGCGACCGTACCCAGACCAATGTCGAGACCTCAACGTTCAACGGCCAACGCTGACGTGAATCGCTTACTGCGTGTGGCTGCCGCGACTCACAGCACCTGTCTGGCAGCCGGGGCGCGTCACCCCCAGGGCCTACGTAGGTGCCGAGCACCGCTAACAGGCTATGCTCCGTGTCCCAGTGCCAGGTGCGCCTGCGCGCCATGTCCATGTCCCGCCCTCGTATCGGCCTCACGCCCTGCAGCGCGTCGTGCGCGTCAACGATCGAGCTTCGGAAGATATGGCGGGCCATATACATAGCGCTCTTCATTCATTCATTCATTCATTCATTCATTATAGCGGCGCCTCCGCCCGGCGTCTTGGCACGTCGATGGAACGGGTCTGTTCGTAATCAAATCAACGTCGCAAGCGCGCCCGATCGAGTATATGCACCCCTGCCCGCCCGCCTGCCTCCCGTAGGAGCCAAGGCTGCTATACCAATACGCGGAGCACACGAACACAGGCACCCACGCCGAGGACGCCGCCCCCACCGCGCCCGCCGACGGCCATATGCACCCAGCGCGTATCTAAGCAGTACGTACGCACCGGACACGATGCATGACCGGCTGGCCGACCGCGTACACGGCACAGAGCCCGGCGCAGCCCCTTCGCCCCCGCCATCTCCGCGTCGAAAAATAAAATACGTACTTATTATGTGCACCGCGCGACTCGGACTGCCCCCGCGTCCTCGCACCCGCAAACCGCCATCGCGGCGCACAGCCACGTCCGCGCGTCCTCACGCGCAGCCCATCTCCGCTGGTCATTCATCAGCGGCGCAGCCGCGGCTTACGTCCACTAGTCGCGCTGGGCACGTCTCTCTATTTAATATTACAGCGATAAGGTTACATGCACCGGAGCAGCGTCCGCCACGGGCGCAGCGATTCGTGGTCCACGATCCACGCGCTGCGGGACGGCTCCCGGCCGAGTCCCGGCGCGCCCGAGTGCTGTGAAGCCGCCCGCGGGTAGCGGCGGGCTATGGGTATATGGTATATGGGTACAGAGTAACGAGCGGCTGCAGAGCGAGTCTGTCTCGATGCGAGCGAGAATCCGGGATGAGGAGAAATGGAGACGAAGGCAGACGGAGATAAGCGAGCGTGTATGTACAGTGCCGCGGTGGCTTTGACGGGTGGCCGCAGCGCGGGCCCACCGCGTCATGCAGGCCGGGCGAAGGGCGGGCATGAGGCGCTGGACGGCGGCGGCAAGGGGTGCGCTGAGCACGCGGAAGGGTTAGAGCTTGGCTTTGACGTCGGCGGGGCTAGCTCATGAGGCGCTCGCCCCAGACGAGGCCCTGGCGGTGCGCGCGCACGGCGCCCTGGAGCGTGATCCAGGCGATCCACACGCACGCGAAGAGCGCAAAGGCGAAGAGCGTGCGCTGTATTGGGGTGGGCAGACGGGTGAGCGGACGGCGAGGAAAGAGGAGAGCCGAGGGACGCACGATGAGGGCCTTCCAGCGCGCGCTGACGGGCGCGTGCGGGGTGAAGATGATCGTGCGCAGACGCAGGGAGAGCGGGGTGTTGAGCCAGTCGAGCGAGGATATGAGATCGCGGGCCTGCGACGGGACGGGAGGTCAGTGTGTGAGACGAGAGGCAGGGAGAAGGGGGCTGCCGGAGGCGCAGGATGCGGGCTTGTCCGACTGGGGGTGCGGACACGCGGGACAGGTCAATGTAGACGCGCGATGGGCGGATGAGAGCGGGACAGTATGCTCACCTTGTCGCGGCCGCGGTCGTAGACATGGCGGATGTCGCGGACCTGGTGGCCGACGCGGGGGAGGTGGGCGTCGAGGTGGACGAGGGCGCTAAGGTCGTCGTCGAGGGAGTGCTGGATGTAAGGGACGGTGGAGGCGAGTGCGATGTCTGCGCGGCGCTGGTTTTGCTGCGGAGGGAGGGGTGAGTCGGCGGACGATGCTAAGTTGAGAGAAAGCGTACCTGAATGCCCGAGAGGACCTCCTGGAGGAGGTTGTGGATGGCGCGGGAGTTGCTCATGTCGACGGTGAGCTTTCCCTGTGCGAGAGATGAGAGGACGGCGGGGGGAGAGGCGTGGGCAGACGCACCTGGATGTCCTTTATCTGGTGCTCGTAGAGGGCGGTGCGACGGGAGGCCGTGTGCGAGCTGCGAGGGCGGAGCATGGGGTTAGAGACGCTGCGGGAATGCCTATAACACCAGAGACTGACGCAGGTGGAGACGCCGACGGTGCCTGAGAGTGGTCACGGTGTGCGGCGCGTGCCTCGCGGTCAGGTGTCGCGCGTCGCAGGGCGGAGGACATGGCGGGGGAGAGAAGGGAGGCGGGGATATTTATACCCTTGAAGCAGCCAGTGCGAATAGCCGGGGGCGTGTCTGATGGCCAGCCACCGCCAGGATGCTTCCGCTCGCGTCCGTCACTCTTGGCGGCCGATCGCCGCCCCACGCGCTCTCCACACTCGTCATTCCCATTTCCAAAATGCGATGCTAGCGCCACCATACGAATACCACAGCCACCCACAGCCTACGCCTTCACTCGCCGCCGATGCCCCCGTCTCGCGCCGCCCTGCTCGCCTCCGCCCAGGCCCTCTGCGCCGACTTTGCCGCCAGCGCCCCCTCCGACGCCCTCCTCGCCCACTTCTCCACCACCCACCGCATCTCCGCCGTCCAGCACGGCGAGCCCCTCCTCGCCCCCTTCATCGGCCGCCCCTTCGCAGGCCGCGCCGGCCCCCGCTCCGTCCCCGCCTACTTCGCCCTCCTCTCCAAGCACCTCGCCTTCCACGCCATGTCCTTCGGCGCCTGGGTCGTCGACGCCGAAGCCTGCAGGGTGTGCGCAAAGGGCCGCGCGACGTTCACCTGGACAGAGGGCCCCGCCGCGCACCAGTCCTGGGAGGAGGACTTCGTCTACATGCTCGACTTTGACGACCAGGCAAAGGTCACCGACTACCAGGTCTGGGCAGACTCGGGCGCCGCCTACCTCGCCCGCCGCGGCGAGCTCGCCGGCAAGCGCAAGGCACGTTCCGCCTGTAACTTATGTTGTTCACAGCTCACCCACCACACACAGGAGTTCGAGGACGCGGAGGCGGAGAATCAAGCCTAGCTCGTGTAATGGCACATCTACTCGTGTACTTGTACCACCCAGCTTCCCCAAGGATACCGTCCCCGTGAGCATGGTTCTGGGCCAAACGAATACCAGCATCCTTGTCCGATTCTGCAATCTGACGCTCCTGGTGATGCCCGCTGGCGTCATCCGTTGCCTCCATCTAACACCTGTGCTGTTCACCACGTGACCTCCAGGTTATGCCGACTTACTGCTCTCATGCAGCAAGGACGCGCGGATCAACTCACAGCCATGTTATCACAGGTGCATCTAGCTCAAAACACCACTTGTCCCGTCTAGCATCTCAGACCCTGTCAGGTTTGTTGAGCCCCAGCCCTCAGTCGCCATGCGCCAGGACCCAGGCTATAGTGAGTACCAAAGCATACAGTGCGACGTTGAGGATATAAGGCTGAAGAAGAGGGAAACAGGTGCTACCAGATATGTATGGACAGAGGCGAACCCCAACTTCTACTAGACCCCAGGGTACCTGTACCCTACGCGCTACAGACTCCTCTAAAGGTAAGCATTTCTTCTCGGGCCGATCTTGCGGACATCGCAGGCTGTACCCATAGGAGAGTCGCGCGGGCCCTACCTTACTTATGCTCCCCTCCAAACACTATAACCCTCCATACATCGCCCCCAAAAGGCACTTCTGACCTGGAAATTGCGCACAACGGCAGAGCACACGCTCACGCCCCGCCCCGCCACCCACCCTCCCCCCGTGCCTGTATCCGACCCCATGTGCGTCCCGAGACACCAGCAGCCTCGGCAGACACCGCTCCCGGGCGCGCACGGCACGCCGGGACTCGCTCCAGGCCCGCGAGGCCGTCGCGCGCCGTGAAGGCACCGACACGCCCCCGAGTCGCGGCCCGCTCGAACAGAACAGCAGCGGCAGATGTCCGCACGCGGGCCGCACGCGCGAGCGCCCCCAGACGCTGATGCGGAACCTCTGCGGGACCTCGGCGTCCCTGCGCCCGCGCCCGCGCTTCCGTCGTTCTGGCGGGGAGGCCCCGATCGCAGCTCGCGGCCGTCTACAGCTTCCCGCGATGGCGCCTCCGACAGAACACAGGGCCCCCTAGACCGACCAGCGCCAACCGCTCACAAAAGATCTAAACACGGACAGTGCATTGCGGATACAGGACCGAGGCACACCGCGCATGGGCACGGCGGGCGGTACAAGGGCTGCCGAGACAGGTCTGGGTATAACCAAGCTAAGAGGCTACAAACAACGCGAGAATCCGCATCTAACCGGACCCTGCACTCCCACAAAACAAAGTAAGTATAAACGGCGTCGCCCGCACACCACGGCGGCGGCGGCGCGTACGCGCACATTCCTTGTACAACAGTAACAATGTGTGGAACAACCCAGACACCCAGACCATGTGCTGATCAGAATCAAAACGGCAGAAACAAATGAAGCGAGCGAGAGAGAGAGAGAGAGAGATATAAACATAATGGCGGTCGACGGTGGTATCGTCGAAAGCAGTCGGTCTTGCTTCTTGCATTAGTTTTTTTGGCGCGCTGGCGCTGGTTAAGCCAGACTGTCTGTGACGGGAGTCAGGACGTCCCATCCGGCGCCAACGGACGCGCTGTGAAGCAGACGCACACCGTGGTCAGGGGCGCGCAGGCGCCAGTGAAACGAGGATGCTCACCTTGAGAGATGGCACGCGCGCCGCCTATGACACCGGCCACGAGTCGGCGCGGACGGCCGTGATCCAGGACGTGCCGGCGTCAGGGTACTGTTCGTGCGTGCGCGCTCAGCACATGCTCGGCGCAGCGCGCGAGACTCAGCTCACCTCCCAGACCATCACGCCCGCATCTGCACCCGGCGGAGCGCGCGTCAGTCCTAGTCCCTGTGCTTCTGTGAGACAAACGGAAGACGGCACTCACCCCAGCCCTCGCCCTTCGCCTGCTCGACGCACGTCGCGAGCGTAGATGTGCTCATGTAGCCCGTGCTCGCGTCGCCCGTCGTCGCCGGCTTGCCGATGACGAGCTTGTCGAGCGGCACGCCGCTCGCGGCGATCTGGAACAGCGCGGACTCGGGCCACGTCGAGCTTGAGTTGGTCAGGAGCCCGGCGCACGTCGTGTACTCGGTGCTGCCCTCTGTGTGTGTATGTGTGAGTGAGTGCCGTGAGCACACGCGAGCGGCGGGGGCAGACGGTGGCACGCACGGTTGTAGAACTGGATGTTGTACTGGGAGCGCGCGGGGGCGCCGTCAGCGGGGGTCGTTGCGAGAGGCGTGCGGCGGGCTTACCCAGTCGATCAGGTCGCCGACCTCCGAGTCGACCTGGATGTATCCGCCGTTGGTCCAGTAGTTCGGCGAGAACCTGCGCGACAGATGGATTCAGCTTTCGGGTGCGACAGTGGAGTGCGCCCGTGCAAGCGCACGCACCAAGGCGCGACGGCTGATGCAAGTAACAAGTCAGCACAAGTCTGGTCTGCGCGGCGCGTGCTGCACACTCACGGGCGTGGGTGATGATGTAGTCGCTCGCGGGCAGCTGGTTGCGCAGCTGCGTCGTGAAGGTCTCGAGCCACGCCTCGGCCGTGCCGGCGTCGAACGCGTTAAAGTCCTGCGATGCGTCTCATGTCAGCGCCATCGTCGATACTGACCTGCGTCCCGACGCGGGGGAGCGGCCGACGCAAGGGGGGCGACGCGTCCATAGTACACATACTTCGTAATCGACGTCGATGCCGTCGAGGTCGTACTCCTGCACCCACGCCGCGAACGTGTTCGCCGTGTCCGTGGGGTCCGCGCCGCTCGACGTGGGCGTGTCCGTGGAGCCGAAGACGGAGACCATGAGCGAGATGCCCGCGGCCGCGTACTGCGACTTGAGGGTCGACCGGTCGGACGCGCTGAGCGACGCCCAGCCTTCCGCATTGTCCCATGCGCCTTCCGTGAGCAGGAATGCAATGATGCTGTGGGGCGAGGGGCGGGCGCACGCCCTCGGGTCAGTGGCACGGCGGTGCACGCGAGATGAACGACACTTGCAACACATTGTATCCCTATGCGTGCGTGCGCGCGTGTCAAGGGTCAGCGGGCAGCCTCGGGGGTGGAAGTAGTGCGTAGGACAGACCGTGACGTCCGAGACGGGCGGCACGCCGGTGACCTCCGACACGGATGCGTCGAAGTACTCGACCCAGTAGGGCGCGGACGGGGCCCGTTTCGCGGGGCGCGAGAGCTCCGTCGGGAGCGCGAGCACGCCGGCGGCGGCGAAGGCGACAGCGGAGAGCAGTAGGCGGGAGACGGAGACCATCGCGACGCTGGATGTCTGGCTGTCGGTTCGCGCGGGGTGGGAGCGGGGGTGGGCGCAGCGCTTGGGGTCCACAGCCGTTGCGCCGCGGGCATTTTATACGGCTGTGCAGCCCCCCCGGACGGACGGGCAGGCTGGCGACGACGCGTTGGGAAATCGGAATCCAGAAAAGACGCGTTCGCAGCCTGCAGAGGGCACGCGCGGGAGATAGCCATGTGGTCCGCCTAGGAACACCGGGGGTGTGCTGTGCGTATCTATCGTGCGGCGGTGACGGTGCGTGCACACTTGGAAGGCGAAGCGTGGTCGCGGCTGGCTAGCTCGCGAGGACGTATGCAGTCGAGCGCGCGCATATGCCTCTCTTTGAATTGGACAGCGTGGTGCGCATGTGGGTGCAGGCGATAGCTGGCGCTGCGGTGGCCCAGCTCGCGTGCGTCTGAGTCAGGGAGCTCGCCCGAGGCGGCTCGCTGCATGCATTCACATCTGCGTCGCGCGGCGAACGGTGCGATGGGAGATCTGGGGGTGGCGATAGAGTGAGTATCAGTATCAGCGACGGACCGTGTGTGATTTCGGCAGAGAGCCTGCTGTTTTTGACAGGGTACTCACTCCATCGCGGTGGTAATCAGCGCAATGCCATGGCACGAGAGCAGCCGATATGTGGCAGTCGATATGTGGCTGCCGCTTCTGAGTTCAGTGCTCCACTTACCGCTGCGTTCTGCGAGATAATGGGTGATGGCCGGGGCCGTGGCACTGGTGGCGTGAACAACGGGCAGAGATATGTCTTGATGTATCCAAACAAAGCGATACCGCGCGGGGGACATGAGAGAGGAACGCGTCCGCGCCGATGAGCCTGAGCACAAAGAGGCGGAGGGGGAGATTGATGCAGGTGCGATCGCACAGGCAGCTGGATAGCGTTCGATCATGCGTTGCCACGACGCCAGAAGGTCTCGGAGAACATGGATCGGAATCGCTCGATCACAAAGCTATCTTGCCGACTTGATCGACCTCAGGCTCTATCGACTGCACCCCGCGACTCAGGGGCACACCGCCGCGATTATGGCTGCCGTGCGTATTTCATCATGGGCCATGGGCCACCGAGGAATGCAGATACGCACCCACCATGTGCACAGAGTCCAGTTGCGCAGCACGAAGCATCGACACCCCGGAGGAATCCCGCGCAGACGACGTGACCGATCCGCCCGCGTTCCGCACCGCTGCCTCCGTGTGCAATGCGATTCGAGACTCGATAAGAGAGCCGATAGAGCTGGATAGAGCGAGAGAGCCAATCGCCAGCCCGCTCGCATCGACGGCGTCAGGAATAGACCCTCGAAGCCCGGCGCGAACCGGGCTAGACCAACCTCGTATATCCCTGGCGCAGAGGCGGTCGTCCGTGCTGATAAGTGCAGAGGGAAGGACCGACTCTGGAAGGACTTGACGGTACGCCTGGTACCGATCGGCTGCCCCGAGCATCTATGACTGCAGCCGCTCCATCACCCGCCAGGTGTGCGTCGCTGGCGGCGCGGCCGTCCGATTGTCGGCTGCCCCGTGCACCATGAATGCAGCCGCTTCGTCACCCGTCAGGAATATCAATGCATCGCCAGCGGCTCGTTGAATCCCGCGCCTGTGAAAAGACAGTACTAGCACTCAGTCTGACTCAACGCTTCGACTTCGATTGCGCAGCAGACCCCTGTCCTCTATCCTCCCGCGCCCTGCAGCCGGTGCGCGTTCGCACTCACCTGGGAGAGCAGGCGCATGACCGCTCGACAGAGAGCAGGCGCATGACCGCTCGACAGAGAGCAGGCGCATGACCGCTCGACAGAGAGCGGGCGCTGCATGGCACGCGCCGACTGCGGCACGACGCGCGGAGCACACGGTCTCACAATGGCGACCTTGTGAATCCGGGGGTTAGATAAGACTCGACATGCTGCCAGGGTCGGCGGCGCCTTGCTTGCAGAGTCCTGGGATGGGATGCGACCCCAAAAGAAAAAGAAATTGGCCCCTAAGGCTTGAAACGCTGAGATCTTGAGACACTGAGACAGCTCCAGTTTGCCACAAAAGATGTCAGCCACAAGATGATCGTAAACAATCAACGCGTGGGAAGTTCCCGCGCATGGCATGTTTCAGGAGGTCCTCTGTCCGCTTTTGAATAAGGTATTGGTGATGAACTGATCTTATAGACCGGGAGCTGCTGCCAAAAGCAGCTCATGTTGAGTGCTCATATCTCCGTCAGGGGGAATGGGGGAAGGCTGCAGCAAGTTCCTGATACTCACCTCGGACATTGACCGCGAACGGTCTGGACGCGAAGCTCCAAGGCACACAGCACACGGCACACGCAAGACAAAACTGTGTCAACGGGTCATCATGTTCAACATGCGCTGTATATCGAATACATGCTGCGAGCGTGTGTATGTATCTCCAATACAAACAGACGTGCGTACATACATCGCTGGCGATGCGTGCCGGATCGCTCGGATGCCGGCGGGGGCTGTATGCTACACCACGGGCAAGAATACAGGGGTCAGTGAGTGCGCGTCACAGCGCGGCGTGAGGGAGCGTGAGAGAGAGCGTGAGCAGACAAATAACGGACGGATAAACACGCAAAGACCGAATAACAATAGAACGCAAGTTAGAAAGCACAAAAAAGAATGGGAAGAGGAGGCGCGGCGGCGCTCGGCCGCGCGCCCGAGGATGGAAAGCGGTGGAAGCTTGGCAGCTTGAAAGCCCGAAAGCATGAAGCCGTGAAGCATGACAGCTTGTAGTCGTGAGGGGGGGAGGGGGCATCTAGTTGAGGGGGTACGTCGAGCCGCGGACGGTCGAGATCCAGGAGGTGCTTGCGCTGGGGAACTCCCAGACCATGACACCCGCGTCCCAGCCCTTGGCCTGGGCCTGCGAGACGCAAGACGCGAGCGTGGACGCGTCCATGAAGCCGTTGGTGGCGTCGGCGGCGACCGCGGGCTTGCCGATGACGAGCTTGTCGAGGGACACGCCCGCCGCGGCGATCTCGAAGAGGGACGTGCCGGGCCAGGTGGTCGAGGACTGCGTGAGCAGGCCCGTGCAGTCGGTGTACTCGGTGACGCCCTGGTTGTAGAACTGGACGTTGTACTGCGCACGGGGAAGAAGAAAAAGAAAACACGTGTGTGAGCAAGCGCGGGACGTGTGGCAGCGGAGATGAACGTGGGCTTACCCAGTCGATCAAGTCGCCGACCTGCTGGTCGACCTGGAGGTACGCGCCGCCCTTGAACTGCGCGTTGTTCGAGAACCACGGCGCGACGGGGGCATGCGTGATGATATACTGGCCCGCGGGGAGCTGGTTGCGGAGCTGCTGCGTGAACTTGACGAGCCAGTCGACGGCACCGTTGCCCTCGTTGATGGCCGTGAAGTCCTCGTAGTCGATATCAATACCGTCCAAGTCATACTGCTTGATCCACGCCGCCATGGTGTTCGCGGTGTCGACGGGATCGTCGCCGGAGGAGGTCGGCGTCTCGGTGGAGCCAAAGGCGGAGACGATGAGCTTGACACCGGCGGCGTTGTATGAGGACTTGATGCTTTGGCGCGTAGCGGCGTCCAAAGATTCCCATTCTTGTGCCTGGTCAACGGAGCCTGAAGCAAGGAGGAAAGAGAGAGCGAAGACGTTATAGCCCTGCGGGGGTGGATGGCGTCAGTACATGTGGCCTGGAGAAGGAAAAGGCAGGAAACACACATTGATCTCAGAAACATCAGGCGGACCATTCTCGCCAGAAACCCATGCATCACTGTAAACCACGAAATGAGGTGCCGAGGAGGAACCGGAACCCGAGCTTGAAGTCGAGTTGGAGGAGCCTGTGACGGACGTCGAGTTGGATGAGCCCGTAGAAGAAGGAAGAGGGGCAGAAGTCGAGATGGACGGGCTAGAGCCAACATTGGTGGTGCCATTGCTGGACGAAGTCGACGTACCGCCAGTCCTCACACCGATGGAGCATACTGGAACTGGGGCGGCAAGAGCAGCGCCCGCGTACGCCAGGGCGGAGACGGCGGCGACAATGTGTGAAAGTGAGAAGAGCATTGTCTGAACCTCGAAAGAGTGACTTCAAAAAGAAGGTAGTGTGAATGCAAAGGGCGGAAGAGGGCCAAAGAGCGGCGAGGTGGGGGACTGCGTTGAGAGCAGGTCTGAGGAACGGACATGATGAGGCCGCGTTTATATAGGTGGTTGGGATTTGGAAGCCGCTTTGTCCATCAGCCACACCGGATCAGGGCACCATTGAGCGCTCCCCACACGGTCAATGGGAAAAGAAGAAAACCCGCCGAGGCACGCACTGCAAACAACACCCTGCGACTAGTTTGCGCTCTATTTTGATCGCATCGAGATGCTGCTCATCTTGCCCCGCGGCCACAGCATCCAATCACAGCCGCGCACAGCTCCCGCCAACCTGTACCCGGCATTTTCGTTCTCGCACAAACAGCCCCAGAAAATGCGAATGCAAAACGGCAGCAGCAAGTGAGAAGGCATGTGGTCGTGGAGCACACCAGAAATAAAAATTAACGTTATGGACATCCTCGGCGCGATCCGATCGAGGAGGCTTTCTCGGGCCGGCTCCTTCCTTTTCCGCCACATCCTCCTCCTTTGCCTCCAGCGCCTAAACCTCCCCTCGGGCTCGCCCCCGCCACCACCCCCTCATCCACAACAATGGCCCCCGCATGCCCTCGGGCCCTGCATTCTTTTTCGGGGGCGGCCTTGTCCACCCGCCGACAGCTAGTATCACCCAGAAACAGCCGAGGCCACCTTGTCTCACCAACTGTCGAAAACGCCTTCCCGTAACAAAGCACATGGCGATGACAATGCTGCGGTCACATTCTGTGGGACATCTCAATCTGATCGCGACGCATGTTGCTGCGAGACTGCTATTGAGACTCTGCACTCGAGTTTCCACCTCGTCGTGGCAGATGCGCCTCTGCGGCACCTGGCGTAGTTCCCGGATTCGAGCAGCGTCTAGTGTCCATTCCATCTCCGACTCGCCGGCTCTGTGGCCCGGGCGTGCGCGTGCGCCAAAGGCAATATTGTAGCATGATACAGCATGATATTTCCCCGCCGGTACAACGTGTCGTGCTTCTGTTCTTCCATATTACGATGTCTACTTTCCCCATAGCGTTCTCCGCGGACGCAGCCCTGTTCATATACCCGCATGCGAGCTCCACCCACGTCCCAAAGCGAAATGCAAAGCACGCCCGCGTTCGGCTCCGGGCAACGCAGCAGCCACGCCGCACGCTCGGTCAGCCCAGCGCGCCGTTCCCGTTGCAATAGTCGACATTCCCCTCTGCCGGGTTCCCCCACCACGCGGGGAACGGCCGCGGCTGGCCGGACGCGCCAAAGACCGCGAACGACAGTATGAATATCATCACCTGCGCGCCACCGTCGAGCGCGCCACCTACGTCGAGTGACGTATTATGAGCCGCATTCATGAGCAAAAGGCATCGCATTAGCCTCTATCATCTCCCTGGAGATAACACCGCACGTACCGAGGATGTAGTTGTACTGCCGGAACCACCCCGGGTGGTACCGCCGCAGCCAGAGCTGCGACGCAAGGCCGACGAGCACGATCGACGTCGTCGGGGACGTCGTCCCGGACGTCATGCCCGCCGAGTACTGGTAGATGAGCGGCAGGATGATCGACTCCGTGCGGAGGGCCCCCAGCCGCGGCCAGCGCTGGCGGGGTGCGCGATGCAGGACGCGCGTCGTCAGCACTCAGCACTCAGCACCTGTGCCACCGCCCCCGCACGCACCTTGGCGACGAACCACTGCAGGACCGTCGGCACCATGCCGAAGAGCAGGCTGAGCGGGACCCAGATGTACGGCCCGTGGGGCCCGTAGAGCTGCTTCGCGAGCGACCAGGTTATCGCGGCGCTGTTGAGCGACTGCACGTACTGCCCGCTGTGATGCGGGTCGCCCATCGCCCATCAGCGCGACTGCCCACACAACATCGCGGCTGGCGGTCCTGGCTCCTGATGTCGTAGCCAAGCCGCGCCATGCAGCACCGCGATGGTCACGCCAGGGCCACAGCAGGGTTGGGTACGAAACCAGGAGACGCGGACACTGGGGGGGGGGAGCTGCGCACACATACCTCCAGACGTCTGTCCCGATCGGGTCCTTCAGCACCGTGCGCTGCGAGTCGACGATGGACACCATGACAGCTGTTGCCATCGGGCCAGAGTGTCAGACGAGACCGCGCGCCGGAACATGCGAAGACGTCACCGTACCATAATTCACGGCAGCACCTAACATAGCGCGCGCGCGCAGAGGCGGGCATCAGTGGCCGCGGCGCCCCCACACCGCATTGGGACGCACCGAGAATAGTCCCCCAGACCTGCGTGACGAACATCGCGCGCGGCGGGATCTTGAGGTACTGTCCGACCTTGAGGTCGCCCGCGAGCCCGATGGACGTGCCGACGACGTCGTGGCTCCACATGGAGAACTGCGTGCGCCGTCCCGCGGCCAGTGCAGTGTACGGTACCCGCGGTCAGTGCACAGTGTGCAGGGCGCGCAGGGGCTGGACTAGGGAAGCACACGCACGTAGAGGTTTGCGACGGGTCGCCCAGGGTTGATCGCGCCCGCGACCATCTTCATCAGCTGTTGCGTCGCGACGCCGTTGCCCATGCGTGCGTACAGGAGCGTCGAGAACGGCGTGACGAACGCTGGGTGCACAAGGTCAAAATGGCACCGGCATCGGCATCAGCATCAAGTCCACAGCGGCGGCGAGTTCAAATACGATTCGGCAACGCAGCCGCGACATGAACGACGATGAGCTGGGGCCGTGACTCACCACCGAGGAGCAACGCCGTGATGTACGACCACCATGGCAGCGTCGTCTGACCCTTGAGCACGACGATGAGGCCTGCAATGGTGCAATCTCAGCCATAAGTGTCCAGACAAGCTGGTCCCGTGCACGGAGCAGCCTTACCGGAAACAAACGCTAGTAGCAGGAGGCCGAGATACCAGTACCAGGGCACTTCCTTGTAATCGCGATTCATGATCTGGTCGGGGCGTCAGTATCAGTTCAGCAACAGACATCACCGCGGGAGTGCGGCAACGGCGCTTGCCTGCCAGTGTGGGTCCGGCTGCGTCTTGGTGCGTGCCTGCTTGAACGACTGCACGACATACGGGCCCCAGAACAGTATCGCGTGCGCGATGAGGCCGCCGATCTAGATCCTCTCGTTCATTGAGAGCACCTGATGACGTGACCACTGACGCGGACGTACAGCAAGGTTGGCTACCAGGTTGGTCCACGCATTCGAGCCTAACAGCAGAGGGACATCGTTGTGTGGACTTCGCCCGCGAAGTAATCTTAGCACTAACCTGTAAGGGCAGGAAGACCGACCTCGCCCAAGGCTGTCTCGTTGAGCAGCCCCGTAGAACCGAACACGGCCGCCTGGTCGTAGATCGACCCATTCGAGGAGAACAGAGACGTCGATAACATCGGGAAAGCAAGCGACTACAGTGAAGGCGCCCACGTGAGGCAGAATCCCCGTTGATGAACGTGTCCTCTCACATTCCAGGCATTCGAGTAGTAGATGGCCATGACTATACCATAACAAAATACAAATCCTATCCATGAATTGGCTGCGAAAGATCGTGATGTGAGGCGACTGATCACAAATATCAACGTACCTTGTTGAATGAGCGGTAGGCTCATATAGCTACGGCAGCCATGACCGATAAGTCGACGCGCCCACTTTGCGAACTCGTGAATTACTGACCTTGACGTAATATATTGCCAATCAAATGACAGGCTCAGAAGCCCGAGTCCCTCGTTCCCATCTGTGCCTCCGAAGAGGTTCGTGATCACGTCCTGGGCCTTGGGAGACACCCGTTGCGTAGCTAGACAGATTACGTTGACACCATTGAGCAGAGGGAATATGTACGACGGGATGACCTCATAGCAAAACATGCTAGTGAAAGCAGACCAAAATAGCTTCACCCGCCGGGCGTTAGCGTGAGAGTCAAAGTGGAGAGCTGATTGTAATGAGATCCTATGACGCGATAAAATTGACACGTCGACTGCACCTTGGAATATCGACACTGTAGGCAGGTTCTACATGTGTTCTAGTCAGCACCCCATCGCAATTTCGACAGTCGCCGACAGACGTACAACCCAATAGACCATCTCACTAGGATAGACTGTCAGTGGCCGTAATAATCCGACCAGTCCGTAACTGAGTGGCGAAATGCATCAGATAACCATATAGGAGTCAAGTTTTGGATCGAGGCATACCCGAAACAAGCGGTCGAGAATGTTGCGAGAATGGCGGTGGTGGCTTCGACGTTTGTATCATAGTATAGCTGCAATCAAAGTCCTTTATGTGCTGTGCTTGACGTAAGGTAGTATGTCGTACCCGTTGAACAGCGAAGTTCATAACGGCAGTGCTGCCGCCTGATGCCGTAGAAGCTACTAGCGAGGCAATGACGTGCTATTGCGGATCAGCACTGGCAAATCTCCGAAGATGTATGATATTCATGAAGACGTACTTCCTTAATTCTGAATTCCCCAGGGTTTACAAAATCGAGGATAGGCTTTAACGGCGCAAATCGCGTGCCTTCTACCAAAGATCCTCGGGGGAGGAATTTGGCCCATGCCATACCAACGGAATATATAAGGAGAAGCAGGAATACGGTCGATACGGTGACCTGCACTGGCTTGAACAGATATATCTGGCGACAGCATCTCTTGAGTATATGCCAATAGTTTCGATGCAAATCTCGAACCTGACATAGAGCAGCACCTAAGCCGGCAAATATGGTACCCAAGAAGAGCGATCTGAATGTCAGTGCAGGATCGTGATCATCCCGAGTGTCGACTAGATAACGAGAGACGTCTTCGCCACTGGTGATCACGGGCTCCTTACTTAACAGCGATGCCTTCTCGTCTGATCCTAAGTTTACGCAAGGTATATCGTAAGTCATCATCATGCATTAGATATTGTCTATTACCCTTGTCGTCATTGTAGCGAGCCGCCTCGTCGGTCAGAGCGTCGTCCTGCTTGTCATAGAGTGACTCCTGGATAGACTGTACGCTAGGCAGACGTGACAAGGACGGAGCTGTCGGAACTGCACCGGTCGAGGACGCCAATTCGAGTGTGGCCATCGCTGAGATAGAGGGTGTCAGGAGCTCGGGGAGTCAGCCTTTCAGATGGCCCCGTAAGAGCTTAAGAGTAACAGGTTCAGGAACATCGAAGAACCTCGGCGCGCATTGCGACATATTGTCATATCGGTGGGTTCTAAACTGATCCTTCGGCGATGATAGCAGGGTCTGTATTCACACGTCCCACATGCAGTGCGCGGTGTTCGGCACACAACCTGCGAATGCCGTTTTCGCATTGCGCCCTAGATGCCAATGTGCACGAAATCCCTTTGACTGAGTTAGGATACGATCAACATTGTTAGCTGGCATTTCAATAATCCATCGAAATCGCAACAGGACATCTACACACCTTATCAGACTTGGGATCGTAGTCACGCAAAAGTCAATGCAGACAATTAGCTTGTCGGCGGCTCCAGAAGAGACTTGGAAATCTGCGAGGCATTACTGTGATGCCAAGGCACTATGAAAAGCACAAGGATGTCGTGAGCAAAGGTCTAACTTGCGGAAGCAGATTCGGCGGTTGTATCATCATTATCTGCACATGTATCGGATTAGGTGAGCTTAACTTATTTACATTCACCGTCCTGCCTATCGCACTAGTAGGCGCTCCGAGTGTTTTGTGGTAACATACAGCACATACGGCCGTTGGACACATGAGGCGTCTCCTTGAAGAACGAAACAAAACGAAGCGCCCAGCCTAACTGCGGAATCTAGATCTGAGTGTCCAGTCAGTCCGCAGATGTATTCATTCTCTCACTAACATGTAGGGATATACATTGGTACAGTACAGATTGTGCTTGGTGGATGACAATTATCGAAAAGCTAGAGGTCAGGTATATGTAGTGCGGGGAGTCGGAGGGCTTGCAAATTATCGAAGCAGAGGGCACTATAAGTAATAAAGACAGTGGTGCGAAATGCGAGTCGACAGGAGTCCGATGTAAGAGAAAGAACGTAAATTGCGCTTGAAACACGATGCGATATATAACGACAACATGAGGAGATATCAGGGGATTGTAGAGGGTTCACTGCACGCTGCAGCCATTGTTGCTAGACTTGGCGTCCCGGTCGCGACGCTTGGTACGCGATGAGCGAGACACTTCTTCTATGACGCCAGACAATCGAGATCCGTTTTGTTCGGTGCCGGTACTAGAGAGGACAGAATAGTCCGTAACTTGGGAGAACCTCGAGTCGCTCTTCTCATTGCCAATCTCCGTAGCATCGGATCGCATAGATTCACTGGTGAGATGTGTCATGGCACTGCGCATGCTAGCCGATTTGGGATCGGTGCTGTTGCTCGCGATAGACTTTGGTCGTTCGCGAGTTTCTGACTTGCGCTTTAGCACTGACCGCTTGTGGGTGACTTGCCGGCGCTCTGGGTTAGGTGTCGAGCTCGGTCCGGCCGGCGGAGAGGGAGTGGAAGAAGATGGCACAGGAGAAGCCGTGTCTCGATGATCGGTGAGGAAGGATTTTGAACGTTTGAAGGCTTGCAAGACTTTCAAGTTATAAGCGCTGGGGGCATGCCCAGGACTGCCGTAGACAGGCGACTGCAGATTCGAGGAATCCATGCTTGTCCTGGGAGTAAGGTCACCGTCTGAAAGCGGACTGGCTGGACCGCTAGCGTGTAGAGCCGCCAGCAATTCCATGGGATCGCTGTACTGTCCCACTGCGCCACTTTCCGCATACTGGGCATACAGTAACAACTGGGCGCGGAGATCGCATGTGGGTGGTGCATTCGGAGCGCACTTAGCATGGCATATCAGGCTGCATTGCTCGCACAGCACGGCACTCTTCTTGACATTCTGGTTGCATACCCGACAAATCACAGCTATTGCATCGATTGTCAGTGAGTAATCCAGCAATTAGTCAGGCTGTACGCACGCTTTCCAAATGTTGTCCTGACAAAAGAGTGCTCTCGGGGCGATATGGCATCAGGATCATTTGACATTCTCCGCCTCGAAGGAGAGCCGTCCGGACGAACGCGTTCAGGCGAGGAAGCCTTCTCTGGGTCCGGCATCTCGAGCTGGGCGAGATATCGTAGGGCCTCGGACTTCTGGTTCTGATAATCGGCGCTGACGCGTCGGAGAAAGGGTATACTGTCCTGAGGTCGTAACTCCTAAAGCGGCGTCAGCGTTTTGTACAATTCGAAGATAAGAGAGGTATGAACCTTGTTATGGATCGCCCAATTCTTCTTCAGCCATTCGTGTTCGCAGAGTGCCTCGGCAGTAGGGCGCCGCTTAGGGTCCTTGTTGAAGCAAAGTCTGAGGAAATCCTTCAGACTTTCCGAGCAACCTTCTGGTAAGGGCGGGATCTTGTCTTCAACAATTCGAAACATCACTGCAGCAGGCTCGTCAGCGTTCGTTCTGTCGTCAGGTAGGGACAAGTGGACAGACCAGTCATACTGTTGCTGATCTCCGCATATGGCGGCCGACCAGTCAGCAACTCTATAACAGTGCATGCTAAAGACCAGATATCTGATTTCGGGGAGGCGCCCTTCAACTCGATCACTTCCGGCGCCATCCAATTCGGGGTGCCCGCTACGTTGTTCGGCTCACGCTCCATAGCACGCAAATTGAGCGAGACACCGAAGTCAGACAATTTCACATTGCCGTTCTTAGTTGTCAGTATGTTCGCCGCCTTTAGGTCGCAATGCACAACATCGCTCTGATGGAGGTAATGCAGCCCCTCCAGAATCTTGACTACGTAACCGGCGACAAGGCGTTCGTTGAGCTTGCCAAATGCTTTGAGCGTCTGTCCAAGCGAACCGTTTTCCGCGTATCTGCGATGACGTGAGAACTACCCGGAAATAGAAAGGGGTAAGACGCACTCGAGTACGATGCTGAGCGAGTCGTCGTCTCTCGCCATCCCCTCATACTTGACGATACTCGGATGTGACAAGCTCTTGACCAAGTCAACCTCCTTCATGAGTTGGGCGATCTCGGGCTCCTTCAGTCCCTCAAGTCTAATGCGCTTCACGGCTACCATCTGTCCAGTGTTAAGGTTCAAGGCTCGGTACACTGCGCCAAATTGACCACGTCCGATACAGTTGCCAAGTTGCTGGGCAACCGGGATGTCAGTATTGTACAGCCTCCTGGGAGGGAATGAGTACTCACGAATTGTGTAGGTGGCTTACCATCCTCCCTGACGATGAGTGTCTGACGAACCGCACTGCCCTCGTAGGGATCACGGGAAAGCAGGTCGCTTGCACTCGCGTTGCTCGTCACGACACCGAGGTTGACCATGCTCTCGAATCTTGATCTACGCGGTTTCGCGCCCAAGTCATCGTACGAGTTTGGCCGTCCCTTCCTGCGCGAGCTGGAACCGTCTATCTCACTCTGGAAACGACCTCTAGGCTGCCGTGGTCTCTCCTGGGGAGCAGTGACCTCTGGTTTCGCCGGCACAGCGCTCTGACCGTTCGTGTGGTCAGCCGACACAGCCCTCGGGAATGGTACCCGCGAGTCGCTATCTTGAGAATGCGAATCGCTGCGAGGTATGTACATGCCGTTGCGATGCGGCCCTGCCTTGGTGCTGTTGCGTCTGAGCATGATTCGAGGAGTTGGGGGTTGAGATCCATCAGGACTAACATCTCGCTGCAGAGCCTGGTCTTTGGGCAGAAGACTTGGTGTATCCACGCTGTGCCGCGCACGGTGTGTAGGACGTCTTGGAAACTGTGGCAGCGACTCGACACTCGCGTCTGGACGGGATGCTCCTACAACGGCGAGCTTTCGTGGTGGGGACGCAGACACTGGGGTGCTGGGCTCAGCCAACCCGAACTCATCATCATCAAGAACAGATGTTTTTGGAGGTTGAAAGGCATCAAGGAAGTCGTCAGGCCACTTTCCCTTGCCCAGCTTGATGGGCGGCGACTTCGGCAGCTTCTCATTGTCTTGCGCAAGGTCCTTGACTGAGTTCTGCCTTGGCTTCGTCGACTTCGAGCTCGAGGAACCCTCCTCCGTCTCCTCCACTACTCTCGTCAAGTCTGGGACCGCGGTTTCACTAGGACGTCGTTCCCGAGGCGGCCTCGGAGGGACCTCTCCACCCTTCTTTCGACCAAATTCCTCAGCCAGTGACGCCGCCATCGAGCTGCCCTCCGTGAATGTAAACGATGGAGTCTCTCCGGGGTCCAGGGATGTCGCCTCGGTAGTGACGGTGCGGATCGTGCCAAACTTGTTGTGACCTGCGCTGCTCACCCTGTTCACCTCGAGCAAGCTAGAGAACATGGTTGACTCCGTCATGGCACTCGATGCCTGAGATTGGCGCATTGGAGAGGGGAGGATCGAGTCGGCCATGGATCCACGTACAGAGTCACCCATGGAGGCTCGCGTTGAGTCCGCCATAGATGACCTCTCTACGCTAACCCGCGGTCGCAAAGGCGATCGTGGAGGTGGTGACAGCGGTGGCACATCGTCCATGTCACTATCAGCAGGCGTCGCAGTGCCTCGCGCGGCGCTACCGTTGCCAACGGTTTTGCCGTCACTCGATGCCCCTGAGCCTTCCTCGATCGGACTGTCTGAGCGCAACGTCGGCAGTGGCTGTGGGGGGCTCCACCGTTTCCGCCCAGGAGAATGAGGGCCTATGGGGGACGTCGAGCGCTGCATCTGGGCTAAGCTCAGGTTTGGCGTTGATGCCGCACTCCTGGAGCCCGAGCTATATGGTCCATGTGATTGCGTGCTCGCCCCGACGCCACCACCTTGTATGTACCTGGATTGATCGGGGCTAGGAGACTCCGCTAGCTGCTGTAGCGCAATGATGCACTTCGCGACCCGCGCCAACGACTCAGCATTGGACTCAATGAGGTCATCCCGGCTGAAGAGGTCATCGTACCGAACGCCGACCGAAGAGCAAGCCGCAAGGAACTTGGTGATGTTGGAGGTACGCATGAAGCCGTCCTCACGCGGGTCGACACGGCTGATTGTGTTCGGAAAAAGCTTGTTGATGAGCCTAAAGGATGCAGCGGGTTCAAGGTTAGGAGACACCGCTCCGAAGAAGAGCGAATATTATGCACGCACTGGCAGAGAACATAGCCATCCCGTAATGCCTCAGCAAACAGCCTTCTCTCCCTCTCCTCGCCACCGGCGCTTAATGAACTGGAACTCAAGCCGCCGGCGGAACTTAGCTGACTGGAGCTGCCCATGGCCGCCCCGCTCTTTCCCCAAACCCTCTCGAGCCTAGCAAGGTTGCGCATACGCACTTCTACCTCCTCCCAGTCCTTCGGCTGGAGACTCGACTTGTTGACTTGTGATGGTGGCTTCAGCATCTCTTTGCACAGAAAAGTCGATGCCGCGCGGACAAGCTCTCGATGCTCTGGACTAGTGGCTGTACCGAGGGATGTCGTAGAGGCATTGAAGGGACGGCTCGAGACAGGAGAATAGTTGCGTTGGAGCGGGGACACAGCACGTGGACGATTGGGGGTCGAGGCGGGTGACGCAGCGCGAGCCGGGGGCGAGGAAGAAAGAGGGACTTGGCGCTGTTGGTCCAAAGAAGGGCGGCGCCCGTCCACTGACGTCCGGGGTATATCCAGGGATGGCTTCCGTGCATCCAACGATGGTCTGCGTGCGTCAACTGACGGTCTTCTCGCATCGATGGAAGGTCTACGGGTATCAAGTGATGTTCTTGGTGTCTCAAATGATGGCCGCCGCGCGGTGGATGAGCTTGATGCTAAGGGAAGATGAGAAGATGATGCCGACGGTCCCGCGCGGTGCGTAGGCGTACGAGACGATGAGCGTGCTCGGTGAGGACTTGACGGTAGTGGTGAAGCGGGAGGAGTGGGAGAGCCGCTTAGCGGTAGATGACTGGCACTTGCCGCTGCTCTCCTTGATGAGCCAGACACCAGCCCTCTAGGTGTTGGCGGCGGTGAGTCGAGCGGCTGCGCGCCATCGCGAGATCGTCTCGTAGGTGTCTCAGGGCTTGGTGACTGCGTGCGCTCCGCTCTTCGGGACAGCACTAGGGGAGGCGGGCGGGATTTGGGAGAAGGCGAGCTTGGACTAGCCGCGCCATTGGCGCGTCTAGGTGCGAGTGGTGTCGGTCCGCTGATCTCCCGGATACTCAAGCCAGACTGTGAGTCCGACTTGCGCGAACGCTCCCGAGGCGGCGATACCTGGGCGGCTAAGTTTGACGACGATCCCGTCGGGAGCGCAAACGATTGGGTATAGGCCGAGGGGATAGACAGGACGGGCGAAGACATGGATGCTTGTCTGAGGGAGGGTGTCAGGAAGCTCGTGTTGCCGGCGACGTGGCCTTTCGTTGGCCCCCCGTCCTTGCCCGCCTCCGCTCTCCTTGAGTCCGTATGTTCAATGGCAACAGGCGGAACAGGTGCTGGAGGTAATGAATCCTTCCCACCGGCCGGCCGACGAAATGAAACCTTAGATAACATCCGTGATCTAGGCTTCTCCCTCTCCTGCACGACTTGGTCTTCCGACGCTCTCTCCTTTCCTTTACCCTCACTCGGAGGAAGGACGCCCGACTCGTCGAGGGGAGTGCCCATCTTGGCCTTGGACTTCGTTGCGGTCCGCAAGCTCTGCTCCAACGACGAGCGCAATCGTTTGAATGTCTTCGGCTGCGCTTCCGAGACGGGGAGACCCTGAGATGACGCCGGTTGCCGCGATGAGGAAGCAGTCGCAGAAGGCAGCGGGGAAGTCGCATCGGGGCGCTTGTGGGCCGCCATGTGGAAGGGATTGGAAATGGAGAGCTTGGAAGAAATAAGGACGGCGGCTGCCATGTGAATACGTAGGGTAAGGGACGCGGCGACGCGAAGCTAGGAAGTTCAATCACTTCCAACAATACGATCAGAGGCGGGCAACGAATGCGTTGCGAAGAGACGAACCTGTAGCAAAGGAAGACTGGGCGCGATCGGCTGAGCCTGGGACTATTCTGTGAGGAGTGCGGAGAGGTGAGCATGAGAGAATAGCAGAAATGCAAAGTCAGGAGTGGCTGCGCGGTCCAAGTATGGGTCACCCGAATACGGGGTGGCAGAGGCTGAAAAGCCAAGTTTGAGGGGATGAATGCGAGGTCCGAAGGAAAGAAGTACATACAGCGACCTGTGTGGGACAACGGACCAGTGCTACGCTCCCTCTGCGCGTCGTGTGTAGAGGGCGAGGACCCTGAGAAGTCACCGAGCTGGGGGAGGCTGATCGTGGTTCGCACCCGGAGTGACCGCGAGGCAAGTGCTGCGACCAGGAGAAGATCAGGGGCCAGGTATCCGCCGAGAAAAATGGCGGCACACAGAGTGGGACGGCGACGACGAGCTCGGAAGGGGCGGGAGGGGAAACGAGTGAAGATGGTGGTCGCCGTTGGCGGAGCGCGGTCGCTACAGACCTCGTGCAGCAAGCCGGCACTTGGACCGTGGGCGCCCGTTTTGCCGAATTGCGTATGTCACTCCAATCCTCGACGTTCCAAGTATCACTAGTATTCGTATTTCCCTTGTTCAATCCCACATTTCCACGATTTGTATTTTGGGCTACACGCTTGTCGAGCACAATATGAATATACTATAGCACTGGATATTGCCAGTGTACCTAATATGCATGCAAATGCAACGTGCATAGAACGAACCTATGTTATGATATCGGCCACTTCAGGTTAGCATGGGAGTTCCGACAAGGCGCCGGCCTGCTGCCACAAACAAAGCCAATTGGATATGTTTCCAATTGCGATATGGCCGTGCAGACAGGGGCGATCTATGTCAGACACCAATTATGACGGAATGTATGACGAGAGACGCCCTATGTCAACATACTGCCTGAAGAATCAGCATCACACTTATAGTCGCTGGAGGAACAAGACATACCCAGACAAAACAGTTGAGAGTCACGAACAATTCCATGTCGCTTTACTTATTGCACGTAGACCTGGGCCGCTCTCCGGAATCATGCCAAATGTCGGAATCATCCACGATGCACCTCAGCCTGCTGACATCGCAAAGCAGGGAAGACGCTCCACATTGAATATCAAAGTCTTATCGCGATCCGAGTATAGGGGACACCATATGGAACGGTCACGTGAAGCGTACTCGACGCGTCCAAGAAGCGCGGCAGTGCAGATAGAAGACAAAGATGCAAATGCATCATTCAAATTTCAAGGTGATATCTCGCAGCTTTCACTCCATAAGCAGGAGATCTTATTGGCATGCTCCATTAGCTCCACAGGTGAAACAAAGAGGATATCAGCTCGAAGGTAAAATTTGGGGGCACTGTCCGACCTTACATATATTCGACTCCACAGGGTCATTCGTGCTGCTGTGGCGTCCACTAGCTAAGAACGGCTGAGTTCGAACCTTCCTCATACGCATAGCTGACTGAGACAATTTTATTTGCGAATGGTGGAGCCAAGTGATCCGTGTGTCGATATTTGACGTGCGGCAGCATACCGTTCAGTTGTGGCTTCAGCTGATCTGCTAGCGCAATACACGCAGTGCGACTGCGAACTATCTCGGAGCTTGAGCCGGTTAACGACACAATCTCGGGAAAAGGGGTACGTGTTAATCTGGAGCGGAATAGTAACTGTCACGGACCAACCGGCAGACCATGGAGGGTGAGAATGAGCTTGACAGAAGGAGATATTGCACAGATGGATATGCTCACCTTGTCAGGATAACGGCGATGAGAGTGAGCCCTTGGGAATCGGTAAACACTGTTCTACACAATTCCATATACTCGAAGTACCGAGACATCCGGAAATAGGTACCTGGTGTGTGTGCGAGTGAGTTGCCACATCAGTTGAACTTGACTTTGGACAGTTACTTTCGGCGCTCAGTTGTTGGAGCCAGACAGGCGCCCTAGGACATTCGATCCTCACCAGGGTTCAAAATCTCGCTCGCCTCCGAGCGGACCAGTATTAGTGGTGATTCATGGGTCCACACTGCAATGATAAGTCATCTGCTACGCCGCATGAAAGAAGCCATGTGTCAAGTCAAGGTTCGAGGTGATAACCCACGTAGAGAAAATCAATGCACCAGCGACATCTGGGAAGACAACGATAGCGTGGCATGATAATCAATCCAGTGAAGACTGTGCATGAAGACTGGGAGCAGGGAACATCGAGGAGCTTGCCAGATTGATAGTTCGGTCAACGTTAGCCGAATACTGGCCACAAAGTCATGGTATACATCCACTGCGCAGCTGGACGACTAGAGGCTGTCTATGTGACAAAGGAGGGACAACATAACATGATACACCGATTAATAAATTACGCGCACCGATAGTACATTATAAATCAAGACGGAATATCTTCCTGTATGGCTGTCGTAGTGGATGGCCGTTTTCCTTCCCTCCCAAGCCCTGCTGCACGCTCGGACTCCTCGATCGTGTAAGCAGGCTCCTTCAAAGCCTTGCAACGCCTTTTGTGAACTTTACTCCGCCAATGAGCGCGCAAAGCAGCATCTGCTTCAAAGTATCTTTGGAAAACCAGTCAATGTCGTAGAACGGAACCTAAAAAGGGGTAACTCACTTTGCGCACTCTACGCAGTAATGTTGTGCCAATCCAGGCTTGTCAAAGTCAAGTTGTTGTGCTTCCAGTGCAGCCCGATTCTGGAAGAGGCTCAGCAACAAAGAGCAGTGCGTGAAAGTAAACACACTTTAGGATCCAAGTCGATAGATTGGATTTGATCTAGATCTCTCGTCCGCACCTGCCTCTGATGTCAGACTCATTATTGTACTACACCAGAGTGACGTACTCTCGTGCGTGAAGCTCTGTGAACATCTCGCTTGGCATGGTGTGTACGAGAGCGGCGTAGGCGACCCATTATAATAGCGACGAAGCAAAATGCAGGGGACAAATCAGGCTCCTTCCCGCCGCTGTGGGAGTTATAGGGGCTCAATCTGACAAATTTGACGCAAGCTAAGTCCTGCAAACCCATCCGCCACACTTGCGCCACAATCCGGCTACATCCGAGGCAAAATCAAACTCCGAATCCCAACCTTAAACCCCCATAACTCCCTACAGCGGCTGGCACAAAACATCTACAAACAGCGGAGGAGCGGCGCATGTCACCTAGATTAGGAAGGCAGGATACTGGCCCATCATTACATAATCGTTACGGTCCCGTGTATTACAGTAGTGTTTATGTGTCCCAGTGTCGAGTCTCGTCGTCCTCGGTGCAACTTTGTGACCATGGCCTTCACCCGTCTAATAAAAAAATTATACTTGGCTTTGACACAGATGCGCGCATCCCTGCCGAGGTTAATTTTTGTCCTTCTGACTGGTGAAGGCCTCATGCAACATCCCTTCGTTGAATAACCCATCCTCGGCCTGGCACTTCAAGTTCAGCACTCTCCATGCACCTGCGACCCAGGTTCTCGACTTTTGCACTGATAATGTGGCTTCCAAGATGCAAAGTGTTGCGAACAATGGGCTTTCTGCGCATCATTGTTACATGCACTCATGGGGGTTGTGATGATCTCAATTGATGAAATTGAAATGTTTGAATGTCAATTATCATTTCCGGGAATCAATCCTGCCTCGTATGGGAGGTGCGGCGCCGGTCCTCCGCTGTTTGTAGATGTTTTGTGCCAGCCGCTGTAGGGAGTTATAGGGGATTAAGGTTCAAATGGGATGTCACATGATATGCACGTGATGGGATGGCACATGATCTGTGGCAAGACTTCTATTCTCGGTTACACAAGATAAAACATTGAGTACGCTATTCGGATGAAGTCCCCTATAACTCCCACAGCGGCGGGAAGGAGCCTGGGGACAAATGCTAATTTGGTGCGAGTTCTGCGAGCGCTAGCTGCTGACGTAAGGAACCCGATCACATGACGGACGCGTCGCGGTTCGGTTTGACTGTCGAGCCATAAGATTGCCTCTCTCGCTTACAATGTCTCGCCTCCCACGCCCCGACCGACATCACCTCCCAGACTCAGCGCCCATGTTCGCGCCGACGCGGCAGCAGTCGCTGAAGCGCAAGGCGGCGACCCAAGACGAAAATGCCGTCGAGCAACCTCGCAAACTGCCCGCCATCGCGGAGGCCGACACGAATCAGCCATTGCGCACAACCAGGGCGGCCGCGAGCAGGCTGGGCAAAGGCCCACCACCCCTTACGAAGCCGAGAGCACCCCCACTAACATCTACTACCACACGGCGGACGGAGCGCGCTACAAGTGCTCCCCCGAAGAGCATCGCAGCCACACGACCACCACCAGCATCGCGGCCTGTAGCCGGCAGGCCGACGCGCACAGCATCGAATACTATCGACGACAAACGCTTTCAGGTCCTCCATGACAAGGTAGCCTCCATCGAAACAGCGCGCGCGGCAGATGCATCGCGCCTCGCGATGGAAATGGAGGCAGAGCGCACTAAGGTCGCCGAGCTGCATGCAAACCAGCTAGCGATGTCCCAGCAGCTGGCAATCGCGCGGACGCAGGAGATGGCACAGCGGCGGGAGCTCGACAGCGCGAGCGACGAGATCGATCAACTCCGGCGGCGGCATACGCGTGAGCTCGAAGACCTGGACGTGGATCTGCGCCGCAAGGACCGCGAGATCCGCTCGTTACGGGATGAGCTCTCGACATGCCAGGATGACCTACAGCGGGAACGCGAGACGGTGGCTGGTTTGAAAGCCACGCTGTCGCACCAATCCACTGCACAGGTGGCTCTCTCGACACAACTGTCAGCCATGCAAGCACAGCATGGCGCCACACAGGCGCAGCTGGATGGTCAACATCGAGCGTATTTGGACGTCACGATTGAGCTGGAGGCGGCGCGCAAGAGAATAACAGAGCTCGAGCATGAGGCCCGGGAGAGCGAGACGCTCCGACGTAAACTGCACAACCAAGTACAGGAGTTGAAGGGCAACATTCGCGTCTTCTGTCGTGTGCGGCCGCTACTTTCGTCGGACATCTCGTCATACCCGAGCCCATCATCGTCAATAAACAGCCCCGCAGATAGCCCAGACCCAGATGTCGACGCGATCCTGAGGGAAGAAGCAAAAGCACGCATGCTTTTCCCTGATAAGATGGACCACAAGGAGATAGTTCTGAGCTCATCTAGTGAAAGCGCAACTGGACAAGAGCGTAAAGATGATTGGATGTTCTCGTTCGACAGAGTGCGTGAAGGCACATTCATGGCTGAATCCCTGCGTAATAACACACCCACAGGTTTTCGAGCCTCATTGCTCCCAAGCCGAGGTCTTCGAAGAGATCTCTCAGCTAGCCCAGAGTTGCACGGACGGATACAATGTGTGTGTATTCGCGTACGGCCAGACGGGATCGGGCAAATCCTTCACGATGGAAGGCGGTCAGGTGAGACACCAAGCAACCTGTCTTCTGCAAGAGATTGACACATGGGACAGACTGAGGCCACGGCAGGGATGATCCCGCGTGCTGTGGAGCAAGTTTTCCGAGTAGCAGAGCAGCTCAGAAGCAAAGGATGGGAATATAAGATGGAGGGCCAATTCCTCGAGATTGTGGGTGCGGCTCAATACGATCCATCCCTGTCGCTCACCCAAAGTACAGTATAACGAGACGATCAACGACTTGCTTGGCAAGGGCGAGTTTGACAAGAAGAAGCACGAAATCAAGCACGATGCCAAGACAGGCCGTACGACAGTGACGGACGTGAACGTCGTCCCCCTCGCATCTTCCACTCAAGTGCGCACGCTGCTTGCGCTAGCACAATCTCGCCGTACTGTTGCGGCTACGCTTATGAACGAACGCTCATCGCGCTCGCATTCAGTGTTTACGCTGCGCATCCACGGGGAGAACCCATTGACGGGTGAGGTGTGTGAAGGGAGCCTAAACCTTGTCGATCTTGCCGGGAGCGAGCGGTTGGAGAAAAGCGGCGCTGCAGGAGACAAAGAGCGCCTGAAAGAGACGCAGAATATCAATAGGAGTCTCAGTGCGTTAGGTGATGTCATCGCTGCCCTTGGGGAGAAGGGTGAGGGCAAGAACGACAAACACATTCCATACAGGAACTCGAAGGTATGCTGTTATGGCTTGCCCACATTTAGATGTCGTTGAACAACTCGCTCCGTTGTAGCTCACCTATCTGCTGCAAAACTCCCTGAGCGGGAACTCGAAAACACTGGTAGGCCAGGTGTATCTGTGAGCAAAGGCGTGTGCTAATCGCCCTTTAGATGGTGTTGAACCTTTCGCCGCTTGCCACGCACTTAAATGAGTCACTGTGCTCGTTGAGATTTGCCACCAAGGTAAGCGTATCAGCTCGAGCTACCTGAATGCGTTAGGCTTATATGACCCCTTAGGTCAACAACACGACCATTGGTACAGCGAAGAAGCAGACGCGAGCTGCTATTACTTCATGAAGTACCTATTCACTTGACTTATTTCCTTGGACCACACGCCATTCGTATTATTGTACATATTGTAGCTTTACAGATCCAGACCATTTGGCCCCGTCCTGACGTGTGCGAGCGAAAACTTATGCAGAAGAAGGTCCCAAATGTAATAAACCTGGTATAGCAACATGCCAACCGAAGTCGTCTTAGTCTCGGCTAGCCCCAGACTGTTGCAGCGCCTCCCGCCTGACCTCACTTGCCCACTTGAAGAAGTTGCAGCGATACTCGTAATTGACCTCTTCCCGAAGACGTTCGCCCTTGCCCTTATCATATCCTGGACCGACCGGTCTAGAAACGAGGAGACAGTCAATTTCCGCACTTTTGCTGAAGACAGCACATACCGGGAACAAATGTAGAACTTCTTGCCCTTATTGGGCCCTTGCTTGTTCACTGTGTACAGCTTCGCAGGCTCACCATGCACCGTGCATTTCGGGGGCCGAAGAGGGGTGAAGAGGTTTGACCAAGCATTCTTGCTCTCATTTTTCGAAGACGACTCTATGAGAGAAGAATCCTCCTGGAGTGACACGGCTCCTTGCGATAACGAGAGTTCACATGCGAGAATATAGTCCGCGTCGAGTCCCGACGGCACATCCGAAGCTTTTTCTGGGTGAGTGCTAGAGGAGGGACCCGCCGTGCACTCGAAGTCATCAGCATCGAGTATGATGACTTCTTTGGAAGTGCTTTTGTTGCTAGATGGTTTCGAGAAAAACGAGGCCAGCTTCGCTTGCCCCGGATCGACCTTGTTTTTCTTGTTTGAACCACTGCTTAACCCTTTGTCAGAAGGCTTCCGCTTTGCGCTCTGCCCTGAAGTGCGTTGGTCATTTATTCTGGAGGAGGAAAAGGAGCGAGTGATTGACTTCGAAGATGGTATAGTGGTGCTTGTGGAGGATGATGCTGTGGATGAGAATGGAGCGGGTGGCTGAGCAGAGGAATCTGACTGGCTATCCTGCGACACCAGAACGGGTGAGGCGCTAGGAGTCTGCGAAGGCATCTCTTCTCGTTTTCCAAAGAAGGTGGATAACACCGTCTGTTTACCAGAGAACTCGTCCCAGAATTTGGCACATAAGCGCGGTGGTTGTGTGACCTCGTTCTGTTTCATGGCGTCCCGGAGTTTGATCGTTTCGCCATTCTCGAGCAGAAGCTCGTCGTGCAAATCAATGTAGATGGGACAATGATCAGATCCCTTCAGCGACGCTTGTATATCTCCGTGTTTGATCCACGGTAGTAGTCCTTTGGTAACAAGTACGTAGTCAATACGTGCGCCATAGTTCGTCTCGCGCGCCTGCAGTTTCATATTCCAGCCTTGACTTGTGTCAGTAAGAATGAACGAGTGTTAACGACGGGGGCGTACAAGTATACAGGCCTTTTCTTTCTGGCCAGAACATACGAATCACGTCGACCATAGGCCCGTTGGGATCGAGCCAGTTGCGGAACCACTCGCGGGCAGGATGATCCCAGAACGTCGCTATACTGCTTGGTAGATTCCCTTCAGCATGATCTAGAGGTGTGGCGGCAATGTTGATGTCTCCAACGACGATGACCTCTCGGTGCTCTTTTTCGATCAGCTTTCGTATGCGCTCCTGCAGTAGAAGATGAAAGTTCATCTTGAATGGTAATCGGGCGTCAGAGGTCTCAGCCGGGCAATACACGTTGATGAGAACGAACAGCCCGAAATCAACCACGAGTGTGCGTCCTTCGCTATCGAGGGCGTCAAAGCCTGAGTCGGTTTCGCCATTATCGTCCGGGAATGGATCGAAATCGTGTGCAAGGGGGTAGCTCATAGACACTCGTTCTTCGGGAGACATCGGGGGTTTAGGCTGTAGCACACCTGTTAGGCCCTCCTCCGCTCTCAGCGGAGTTGCCTTTCTCGAGTCTGCGTAGACTGCTACGCCACTGTATCCACCCTTATTCACTGGGAAGGAAAAGAAGCCGTGATATGGTCCGGGCAACGCAACGTCGCGAGGTAGCGTCGCACGCGACGATTTCATCTCTGAGAGATAAGGCTCGTCAGTGGTCTTATATAAGAAAACATGAACCCAAATACCTTGAAAGCAGATGATGTCTGCTCCAAGGGCATAGAGTATTCCTTCAGTGGAGGTATACGAATTCCACCTATGAATCATAAACTTGGAGCTGAACATATAGAGACTCTATAATTGCCTCACGGATGATACTTTGGTAGTGTACGTATTCCATTCTGTTTCTGGTGGTCAGTTTGAAGGGCGTGAGCACGTCGAGAAGGGCCTACAATATTCCATGATAATATACGCATTTCTTTGACAAGCGGACTTCCCTTGTAACGATATGTTTCTTATTCGCCTCACTATTCCAGAGTGTCAGAGTGTCCGCAACTGAGATCACCACTGCTCATGCATACGCGGTATTCAACGAAGGTCCGAACTTGGACATACTGCAATGGCCATGGGTGTCGCGGCCATCAAACCGGTACCAATCAATCACATTCCCACGTCGCCGCGCGAACCACAGTGTACAATACGACATGTCTATTTTTTATTTTCAATTCGACACACCTTACTTGAGCTCTCATACGCTATCGTACTCTCCTAGTGCTACAAGTTGAGATATGCATGTATTGCATGACTAAGGATGGTCACAACTAAGCAAACGCCGGAAACATCAAGAGGGTGATGCACGAAGAATCAGTTCTGCACAACTGGGCCCATAACATCAGAACAAAACAGGCACTGGCCCTAGGCAGCAAACTGAGTGGTGATAGTGATGATGATAGTGAATTGTGGATGGTGATTACGTACTCTATCGAATGTTCAGGTAGAGAGACGGCCATTGGGAAGATATCAGTGTCATTCGCATCCATGTTTGGAGCGCAATAGTTGGCATGCATTCCAGGGGCAGATCAGATTTAGAAGTTCTTTGCTCTGATTTTCGAAGTTTGGGACGGCATACACAAACCGTATTCTACACTTGCAGCTGGTGGCATGTGTGAACAGGGCGAAGGCGGACCCTTTAGGTGGTGAGGATATTGCATCCAAATTCTCTGTGGGGCCGTCATACAGTCCTCCATCTCGCATCCCGAAGGCATGAACATCAACTAGGAACTGCTAGAACACTAACCTTCTGTCGGCGATCGTCTGTTTGGGCATTGTCTGGACAAACATCCAGATAGGAGGGATTGCGAGATGCCGATCGAACTGGAGGAGCCTCGTTTGTGTCCTGGAGACTGCGCGAGTATAGCAAGAGTCTACTAGACGTCTGAGCGCTAGACAAATTAGTATGCGGGGTGAAATTCTCTTATGCACGAGGTGTCAACATGTGTATACCGCAGCTGAAACTGACGCGGCCTGTCTAGACAAGACTCTAGTACGAGGACATGGTTGACAGAAGCCCCTTCCACACGAACGCCCGCGGGTTTCCGCTTGCCTCGCAGTACTTCGTCATGAACAGCTCGTCGTTCGGCCCTGCAGTAGGCGCGCGAAGAATGACGATCAGCACTTCATCGACACCAGGATGTTTGTGCACTTACTTGACTGCAGTTCGCCGTCCGTGCCTCGCACCTCACCAGAATGCAGTGCGTTGTCCTTCATCCAAAGTTCAAATAACGACGCTGCCTCATCCACGCTCAACTGTGCGGGTACGGGGAAGTTACGCAGCCCCTGCGCGTACTCTGCCAACTCCTTGGATCGCGCCACGTACGGGCCTGCAGGTCGCAAGGGCGGAATGCCAAGGGCTTCTGAAAGCTCGAGGGGCATTTGGAAGGCAGTGTTCGACGTCGACTCGGCACCGAAGACGGCCCCTCGTGCCTGATAGTCATGTTATTAGCGTTATTAGTAGGCCTCTAGAATGGAAAAGGAGACACTTACGAAAGCCCTTTTGCCGCTTGCGTATTCAAGGACTATACGGGGAATGGAGAGATGTTGCGGCATAAGGGCGCGGTAATGAGGATCTCGGTAAGCGGTGTAGTTGTACAGCGCCTGAATATCGTCGACGGCCAGGAGCACAGGGTGGCTGTGGAGATATTCAGACCTGAAATGGTGAGATACACAGTAGGTACATACGTAGTCTGACGAGATAGTTCGTCCATTAGTGCGGAGAGCACTGCAGGAGCGTCTTCTTTGTACGACAAACCCGCTTGCACGAAGTTTGACAGAGGTGTCCCCTCAGGGAGCGATTGGAGCTCAGTGACCAGCTCTCCTCGAGACTTCATGTGTTGTAGAGCCGACTGGTTGACACTGAAAAACCGTCGCAGTATCTCATATGAGAAGTTCGGTTGGAGATACGTCCGTGTCCGCGAGTCATATGTATAGGCAGTGGATGAATCAACCATCTTAATGGCTAAGAAATGGGAGTGCGTGAGATGAAGTATATGTGGGCGGGGGTGGGGTTTCTATGACATACCTCTTGGTATGTACATTACTATCCACTTATTATGTGCGGCATACTCTACTGCTTGTAGCAGGAGGAAACTCTTTCCGCAACCAGACGGCCCGGCTTGCACGCAGTCAGTTTCGCCCTTCCTCAGCTGAATAAAAACTCACTCATGACGAGTCTTGTATCTCGGCTAGACTTCGAGCTTGCCTCGTCCAGAGTGTCAATAGCGGTCACAGTGACATCCCGGACCACAGAGCATGGTTTTGACAGCACACGGAACTACGAATGCGTGCGTCGTATGGCGCTCCCATTCGATATTATGAATTTTCATACCTCTACAACGAGATTCTTTGGCACTCCATACGCTCGTATTGCCTCGTTCTCGGACATGGGGAATGCCATAGCCTTCCCTACCGCAGCACTGGTCAATGCTTCCTAGGATGCGTTCCGTGCACGGTGAGTAAACGGATGACGGAGACACATGTCTCACGCACTGTAGAGTAGGTAGGAAGGTCAAGCACAACACGGTTGTCAGGTTTGAAAAGAGTGTTGGTGACTTGGTTGGCTGGCAGGGTCAAGAAGGTCTACGAGGAGGAGTAAGTGCGAGATTAGTGAACCACTAGTTGGGCGCACTCCGTGCTTCTTCTCTTTCTTGAATCCCTTCTCCTTCGGATCTTTGCCCTTGTTTCCCTTGAAGCCCGACGCTGTATTAATGGGTAGTAGATATATGAGTATCTTCTTCGACAGACGCTGTATTATCTGGCCGGGAGACTTCTGAAGTACTCACAATGCTGCTTCACAGCCACTTTTTTCTTCTGTGCATATCCACGTGTTTGCCCAAGTCTTGACACAGACGGAAGGCTACGGGAAGTGCTCGTAAACGCTTCCGCAGACAGTCGGCTGGACCGCAAAACGAAAGTAGCAGACATGACCACGTCGGTCCTGTTGCCCACCACGGAACTCGGTCAAGCCAGCATGTAATCATGTATAGCGAGTGAACATACCAAGGATAAAGTCCGAGCGGCCGGTGGTGTCTGTGGGTTACAGACGAAGCGTGTAACGTGCAGCTCGGAAACTTGGCAAGTGCACGTCGCACGTGACCGACGCGGTGCTCGCAAGCGCCTTGTACAGTCGCCTACCAGTATCGGGGCATTTATATCTCAAATCGATGTTCCAATACGCTCAATGTCTCAAGCCACACTGAGAATAGTTCAGGGCGATGAATCTGGCTGGTGTCGGACGGAATCACGTTCGGGCCTTGTTTCCGCGAAACGCGGGGTCTGTTGTCGCAGCTCAGGCAGTCATGACGACATTGCGGTTCTGGCGCCTCTCATGGAGCCGTCGGTTTCTCGCATGGATGTTATAAGAGTCAGGCGATATTGTCGCACAAGTGCGAAAGTAAGTGGTCCTTCTAATAGCAAATATCATTTTAATTATTGCGTGCGGGTATAGCATCTAGGAAGGCGGATATCCGTTCGTGGCGATTGTTGCGACATCTATGTCAGAGGTGCCTGCCACCGCTACGCTAGCTGCATTTCTGGCCGACTTCTTCCTTCAACCTTGTGTATAAACACTCTATTTCTGTAAATATCCGACGGTGACTCAACCGGTCTGTAGTGAGGTACCTCCCTACATGGATGCCATGCGGCAGTTGGAAGAAGGATATTCTCGTCCTGAACAAGGATCTGGATGCCATGCGTTATGTTCACTCTAAATTTGTCAAAGAACAGATAGCACGTGGAGATTGGTCCATTTCGGTGGCATTTGACTCACTTTCGCTCGCATGCTACAGGAAGCTATGTGGCAAGTTTTACGTCAAAGCACTTGGACGGCGATCTCAACATGACTCGAGGGCAGTTGGCCAAAGATGCGGCATTTTCTTTTTATGCTGGTGAGTCGACATCCAACTCACTCTGAGCTGGTAGAAGGAGTTTCTCATGCGACAAACAGGTGGCTCAGATCCGGTCAGAAGAACCCTTCCGTGAGGTGGTGATGTGCTCCTGACTCGCCGCAATCAAATTGTTTCATAGCTATCCGCCTTCCTTTTGGCCACGATGTGCTACCCAGGGGCTCATAAGAAAGCACAGTCTGAGATTCTCCCTATGTCGATTGAATTCCACTAATGTGATGTATACTATCAGATTTTCCCTATGTGACGAAGGAAGACGATGTCCGTGCCGAATATTCCTACATAAGGGAACCGTAAGTGATGGCGAATGTTAGGTCAGACATACACTTACTCTTCTATGTACGTCTGTGACTGATAGACAAAAAATATGTGCGTCGCAGGAAGATTTTACGTGACCCTGATACATACACCGACCCCTTCAAGCTTAAGCCTGACAGGTTCGTCTTGACTGAGAGGCGTGTCACAGAACAAGATCCTTGTGTGTACGCCTGTAGTTCTAGTAGACGGTAGGTCATCGTTATTCATGCATGAGGCCGCCAATGCTGACTTACATGACCAGCCTGAGAATTTGTCCAGGTATGGTCGCAGTCTGACCGAGGAAATTGTTTGGCAGGCGGAAATAGGCAGACACCTGGAGGACAGGTCATAAACTGTGCGATGAGGTCCTGAGGCTTCAGCAAGTCCCTGAAAAATCGAACTGTATGCATTCTGTCCGGGGTCTCTCGCGGATGACAATGCCCTTCTGTAGCCATGCGCCTTGACAAGAACATGATGGCAGAGTACGGCCATACATCCCGCGTCAAGCTAGATGTATGCTTCTGACAAGCAGAACAGTGTCCTCGTCAAGAGGCAGCATATCAGGCACCATAGCTCGCGAATTGCATGGTTGGGAAAGACGGACAAGGGGCAGCAGAAACGGTATCTACATTGCTATCTGCGTCTCGCGGTTAACGAATCGTGCGCACGCGCTCACCGCTGAGACAATAGTTCCGTATGCATAAGTGAGCGCGAAGATAAGGTGTGGAGGCCGATGTGGCGGCGTACATGCGAATCATTCCACTATCGAGAAGGCAGATCAGGCCACGTCGACATTGTACTTCCCCCTTCGCGGACGGAGTAGACCTTGTTATACTCAGGACGGAACACAGGTGTTTGCCGCATCACGATGTAATACATCATGATCGATCATGATCCAGCGCGGCGAACCTGACTCCTCGGATCTGGCTTGAACAACGAACATACTACAATGAATCACGTACAGGTAAGCTGTGTACTTCATAAACGTCGCTCAAGGTCCTATTGGGAATGGATCTGCATTGAATTGCTACAGTCCGCACATTCGGACCGGTTGGTTCCTGTTCAAAAACGATCAACACACTCTGAATGCGATAGGACACACTGATCGGTGTGGCTAGTATGCTACTACGGACACTGATTTATTGTAACAGTGTCATATGCACAATTTTTCCAAATGAAAGCCCCTAAACGCACTGCAGGCGCTGCTCTTCATCAGCTGATCTCACGCTGAGTGACATGGCTTCCACCCCCTTTCAACGCACGTAGCCACAGAAGCCTGTACTAGACATATATATGGACTCAAGCCCCCTACATATTTGTTGCTATCTTCTCATTCCTGGTACTTCCCTTCATCTTCCCTGCAACCATTCAGCAGGAAATGTCAGCGCTGTTGTCGGAACAGGTCGTTGAAGACATCCTGGAAGGCAAGTAAGTGAAAATTATCGCATCCACCAATTTCTGTAAGACTTACCTCCCTGTCATGCTGTAGCTTTCGAGTGAATTGTTTCAGTTATGCAAGTGCTGGTCAGTATTTCTGTTACCTATCTGATGCTCTAGCATCAATCAACTCTCAGCACTCCTGATCTATCATGTCGCCTTGAACTTGCCACATGATGTACGCCATCTGTGGGGGCGAAGATCCATTGCAATACTACTCTCTGCCATCAACTGGCTTGCTATCACTGGTACTATCATTACGAATATGCCCCTTACACAGGATACCACACAAGTATGAAGCATCAACTCTTTGACGTGCTGATCTTGTATTGATGGCGTACATTTAAGAGGTTGGATCCTCTCTACCAGGTTACCATTCTATACAGATTATTTATTTCACAAGATGTGTGTCTTCCAACTATGCATTTGGAGTGGTGTTATATGTCAACACTGCCATACCTCCATGTAAGCAATGTGATTCCCGTTCCCCGAGCCATCCTTATCCTGTTTTTGAAGTGGTAGCCGCCCTGCGTGTACATGTCGTGAGCGGAGGCAGCTGGCGCTGGGTGTTACCAGTCTGGCTTTTTGGTATGGTGCCCGTGTGCACTAACATAGTCAGTACATGACGTATTGCAGGGTGCTCTCGACTCAAGCAGAAGTATGATAGTGGCTTATGACGCAAGAGACATACGTCCTACTGCCTCTGCTTGGATGTGAAGGCGTCGTGTTAATCTCCGACGCCTTATATAATGCGTATGCGGATTATACTGACTGTTCAGGGTCCTACACATTGATTAGAATCTACAGGGGCGAGTAGTATCCTCCCATATTTCTAGATGCCCTGGTTGACGTCCCTACTTTTGTTGCAGTGTTGATCACTACTCGTGTATCTGTGGTCATCTCGGACATCCTCGTAGTTGCAGCAACATGGTACTACATCAGCCGTACAAGCTCCGTGGGAGAACAGCTGGTACGTGGGGTCTGGGCTACAAGGCCCAATCTCACAACCGTCATGTTCCGCAACGGTGAGTTCTAGCCGGAATGTGTGACATTGTTAACCATGATTGCTCATGCTCTATGATTGCAGGTACTCTGTACTTCATGTAAGTGGGGAAATATGGTTCCTTGGAGCACGGCACTCATTGCCGGTACAGCATCATCTCGCTACTTAATACTAGTGACCTTGTTGTCGATTTCATTAGCATCAATGTGCGTGTTGATCTACGATCAGCCGATAACCCGTACAGAAACACTTGTTCTAGATCTCTTACAGCGTGAATATACCGAACGTGATTACAGCGTCTGTACATCCTCCACCACTATAGTTTCAAATGTTCGCTGACATATGAATTCTGCATCTTACAGGATGTCGAGCATACTGGTCTCCCACTTCCTCATCTGCATCCGCGAAGCCGCAGAATGCTCAATACAGGCACTCGGCTCCCAATCTCTGTCCTTCATTGACTCGCAAGGTTACTGTGTCTCACAGCCGTGGCTCTCTAGCATAGAATTTGGGGCCGACATCGCCAACCCCTCTGCGAGAGATAGTAACGAGGATTCTTCATCTGATCTTGAGGACGACCTGGATTCAAGAGGCGAAGATGACGCAGGAGACGCGGGCAATGATGGAATAGAACTAGAGCATACGCAGTCTCTGTCCATTCCGTAGACGCACGTACATCTTGATCTTCCTTCATCTTGCCATTCATTTATATTTTCTTCTGACTGGCACGGAAATGTGCTTATAGGCATGAAGAAGTGTGTCCTCAAGACAGTTGCACCGCATAGCGAGCCTATCAATTCTTCTGCGCAGATGTCAAACTGAGTTCTTCGAAACCACACCGCTCGGGATATGTACATCATGCTCAGAGCTTCCGGAGTCGGTCGAGGCCAATTGTGTCGCTCGCGCGAAGCATAAAGTACGCATGCCTCGATGAATGGCAGCTGTAGATCTGTCATGCTTTCGTCGCAGTACACTACGGGGGCCGATCGATCACATTGGCACGCTGCCTGTTCATCTAGTCCATGTGCCGTGCATGCTGTTCATATGGACGGGCAAGTTGCAGCTGTCCTCTCTTGCCTTTGACCCTCTTCAGACATGAGCCTGCAGAAATGTATGCCTCGGCTCCGACTCTGATGCTGAGAAGCCGTGCTTCGGACATGAGCCTAGGACTAACGTACTGACTGACTCTGATCACCAGCGTCGACCCTATATCTGAGCCGGAGATGGTAGAAGTCAGCGCTCCTTACAGAATTGAATACCTTTCTTACGTGTGTAAGTACGTGTCACGAAGCACTGTGTGTCCTCAGAACGCCTCTGGTGGGCCTTCTTGTAGGCTCCGCTCAGAGATTCCACCCGAGTCACATCAACGGTCATTAGTATTGATACGAACTTTCAGAAAAATTTTGACACGCTGCACTGCCGCAGGCTACTTCTGTCGCGCACACAGCACCCAAAGGGTAACATCTGCGCTGTGCAAGGATAAACCTGGAAGACCCATTACGTGGACTTGTCTGCATTCGCGGTGCGTGGCTTGTATTTATTCATAAAACGCGTGCCGCCCTTTAACGCGGCCTCATTTTGAGGTCATATGAGAGGTTTCGTTGATGACCCCACCACGGTTTACCTCAGACTCGAAGGTGAGTATCTTCCAAATGGTGTTTCCAGATCGTTCATTCGAGACAAACCATTATCAATTTATTCACACACCCCGCTGCCGTATAGGAATCGTGAGTTCACCGCAATGGGTCGGTATATAAGAGGCCAAGGTACAGCACAAGGCAGTGTCACAGCTCTAGCTCTAGCCCTGCCATGCAATTAGACCAAGACTCACACTCGCAGCGCAGCGATAGTGAAATGAATCCACACATACCTTGTTCCGCCATCCAAGTTCCGGTCGGCTTTGTTTCGTCAGTCGCAGTCACCATGGGATTTTCGCGATCTTCGAAAGACTACCAGAAATTCGCGGTATGTGGCGCCGTTTCTACAGCACCAGATCCATTCATGATAATAACTATGTGCTGCCTCGAACCCACAGAGGGAGGTGCGGCGGCTGGTACCGTTATATCTCGACACCTCCTTGAGGTACCCGTACCAGAACCCCGTTCAAGTGGTGCGACTGGTGGAAAAGGTCTGGAAAACAGCGTGCATGTCCTGGTGCTACGCTGATGCGTCTGTCAGGCCCAACTCGAGGTGCCTTGGTTGAAGGTGTACCATGACGCTTGGCCCGTGCGTGCATACCTGAAGCGCCATTTGGAGAAGCCCAAGTGCCGTCGCCGTGAGACAAGCCGCGGCACCATATACCCTTGCAATCATCGTGATAGCCACCGGAGGCCTGTCTCTGGCTCGGATGCCCCCGACAACAACCGGCCTCCCAACATCAACCTAGCTGTCTCCACCAGCAGTGAGGTGCGATGAGCTCGACCGGCTACGCGAGGCTGCCGATCTGATCATCTCAGTAGATCACCAGAAGGACACAGTGCACGACTGTGGCGGCCGATACCGCGTCAAATTCACCTCTGGCTACTTACGTGCCAGAAGCCGCGCCGTCATTGTGCGCTGACAGGCCCGTCCGCCCCGCTATCAAACCACGCCCCTCGTACCACGTCGTCCATGATGTGACGAACGAGGTATCGAGCTTCTTGGGGTCACTCGTTCCAAATCTAGACCATCTAGCGGCGCGGTTCGTGACTGCGGGCGTCACAGATCGGAAGTGCCTGGAGGGCCTCGCCGTATTGTGGGATGTAGAGAAAGATGCATTCTTGCTGGACGACCTTAGGCTGACAGCTTTCCAGCGGCGGGTGGTTCGTGGTGCTCTGGCACGGACGATGGCCCGGCGCAGTGAGCTCGGGTAGGTGTTTCAGAAACCATGTCTGCCGCGTGGTTGTTGACTGTAAAACTGCAGCCATTCGTCCTTGAATCCTTGAATATAAATCGACAGTGATTCAGCGTCCAGCAGAGGCATGGGATGGAGTAGAAATATGATGGTGTTACCGTGGCGGTAAATCGAGTCTTCACAACCAGTACCTGATTTAAAGCATGTCCAGCGTATGGTACGACGGATGGTATACATACCATACCATACGTGCGCGTGCAAGGGTCTTAGTGATCGTGAGGCAGCGCTTGTGTCATCTTGCGTTTCAGTGCCTTGATCTTGTCCTCGACTAATACCCACTCCAGCCTCCGTAAATGGTCGCCCGGTTTGAAGCAGGAGATGGTCTCATTGATGGGGGGCGATGTCCAGTCATTCGATGTGTTGGCCATTGGTGAATTGTGGAGAGGAGAGTCGGATGTCCCGCGTTTCGGTCATATGATGTACGAGCCGGGGTTGACTTTCGCAAGTTGAACCATGTTCCAGGCGACAGGCCAATAGAAGCGTCGATCCGCATCGATCCGCATCCAGCGAGATGTTTCTTGATGTGCGTTGAGAGGCCCGGGGGAGGTCATTCACAGTCGATACTTACGGTAGTATATCACATGACCGCGTATGTACCGTCCGCGGATCAAACACCGTTCAATGTCTATTGCCTTCAGTCTCGATCCCTGCCATAAATCTAATAAATGACATCAGGATGATGTTGATATAGTAGTTTAAGCGTTTCCGATGTTGTTTCGATGATGTTTGAATGGCCTATAGCCGGGGCCCGACAGCAGCCTCCTGCGCTCTACGCCGACAGGTTGGCTCAATGATGGGGTATGGGGCGTGAGGACACTAGGGATGTCACCAACCCTAGAGCTGACACCAGGCCGATTGGGCAGCGCATCGGCGCGCGATGAGAGGCATGCACGCTTCGTGGCCTAAACCAATGTCTGCCACGTCCAAAGCGCATCGGCGTTGGCCATGCGTACCTCGATCTCTGAGTAATGCTTGCAAGGGGTTCCTATGAGACTTGCTCTTGACGACCAAAATGAACGAACGAGCATACGAGGACTCGAACCGCAGAGTTGTGTGAGCCGGGCGTAGGTCGCTAGACAGGGCGAGACGATCGCAGCACGAGGCGCCGCGCCGCAGGTGCTATGCCAACAGACTGGACGAGATGCGGACTCTGCGCGGACAGCACATTTGGTGCGGGATAAGCTAGACAGCCGCACTCGAATGCGATCGACAGAGACTAGACGATGGCTGCTTCCCGGGCAGCAACTTTCGAGGTGGTAGAACAGGAAGACATGAAATACGGAGCAGCTGCACGTCGTGGGAAAGACGTGTATTCACATGAAATCAGAATAGGATTGGAGACTTGCGAAGCGTACGGGAACTCGAGCTCGTGCCGACAGCGACGGAGTGAATGCGACGACCCTGCATGAACGTGATGAACAGTGAAGGAAGCCGTAGTGTGTACGATGAGCCAGTCATGTCACAGCACCCGCCGCCGCCACCTGTCGACTAGACATCAGGCTCCGAGGGCCCTTCGCTAGCTGCTTGGGTGTCCGTCCCCTTCGTGAATGATTCGTATGAAAGGTCCCGATTCGCGCGTATGGCGCTTTCCGGTGATTTTTGGCAGTGTCCCCGGAGTGTACTTCGGCTCATCGGCCTTTTGGGTATCTTAAGCAGCGAAGATGCCCTTCTCTCTACCTGGCCAAGGTTCTACGGGCATCCGCTTTGCTGGGCCTGGCCAAGTTTTCCGAGGTACGAGGTTATGGACGGCGTACGTAAAGAACTGTCGGTTGTACAGATACTGCCAGCCAACGCATCTCTGTCAGCAAAGCAAGGGCCCCGCGTATAATTGAGGCACTTACAATAAAAGGCCCCGATCGTCAAGATTGGGCAGGTATCGTGCTATCTCGTCTTCTAGTGCCCGTGGTTCTGGAGTAACCAGAAGTCCAGACCGAGTCAGATCCAGGTAGACCTTCTCCAACCTATCAAAAGTCGGAGAGGAGAGGATGGAATCAAGGTAGTGTAGGACCCTCATCAACATCTCAAAGTCTGTGTGGCGCTCCGCGTTTCTCCCGGAGCGCAAAAGAATTCGATCTGAATGTCGGTCATGTGCTGCGACGTGACATGGATCAAGAGCATGAGCATGGGGATACACGAGTCTAGTTGGACCACAAGACGTAGTTCTTTCAGCGCTACATTATTAGAGACATCGATATAGTGATCCGAATGCACCATCGTGAATGCCCGCTCATTCGGTTGCAGACGGTACACACCTCCTGCAGCAGTAGTAGCAAGAGCAGTAGGCGTGTGTTCGCAAGTCTGCTGTTGTTCGCAAAGTGGCCCAGAATAGAGGGTAAGGTAGACCAGAGAGTCCCCCATCTGTTTGAGCAGTCGTTGTACAGCGGAGACCAACCTTCCTGTGGTACGGGAAACCTGTGGAGTGGCAAACGACTCGAGACGGCCACAAACACCAGTATGTACGAGACAATCAAAGATGTCGGCAAGTGAGTAGGGATCGGAGCGGAGACCCGAGCGGTCCGAGACTCCCAAGGTCATCAGCGTTGGTGGAACAGGGTGTGCTGGAATACTTATAAGATCGAGCCCGTGCTTCAAAAACGTGCATATGCCGCTCAAGCCGAGATGAGAGAGGGCGGGGAGTGCACAGAGGAGGCGGACAATGGTGCTGGGTGTCGACAAGGTGACATCGCAGAGGGTCAGTTGTACGACTGTGGACCATAGAGATGCATTGGGGGGATTGCACATTGGCACCGTCGAGGCGCACGTGGCGGAGGCGACAGCAGCCATGACGTTGATGAGCTCGGTGAGTGCGGGCGATGCGGCTGAACTCGTGTTATTGGGGAATTTCACATCGTCGCCGTTGCAACTCCCCCCCAGCGAACAGTACTGCAGGTTGCGCGGGACAGGCACACGGCATAATTCAGAAAACATACGGGCGTCGAAGGGTTGCCCGCAGAATTGCACGCCTTCCATGCGGAGGGATCGGAGCCATGGGATCGCGGCGACAAGGCGGCCAAACGTCGCCAAGGAAGGGAACGTGACGTCGTACAGGTGCAGCTGTTCAACCGGGCGGCGGTTGATTCGAGCGAGATCGCGGAAGACGGCGTCGGGATCCAAATCCTGCGCCCGCCATCTCGCGTACTTGATCATCAGGCAATGGAGGTTTATCCATCTTCCACCGAACCTGGACGCCAACAACCCCAGGTGCGGAATCGGCCCCCGACACTTGCCTCTCTCTCCGCCCACAATGCGCACCACTCTCGGCCCTAACCAGCCATATCTCCACCGGAAGTCCTACAGCCATGTTGGACTGCGTATTCCTTGAATACGGATATATGCTATCTCATCGCTGCCTCAGCATCCTCCGTCTACCACGCAAACATAATAACTTACTGAGGAGCTGAGTAATGCTAGCGATGCCGGGATGTCACGTCAGAATGAAAGCCAGAGGGTGAGAGGGTGCGTAGTGGCATCCGTATGGTCCACATATATCGCTACAGCGTACAGAAGCTTGATGCCATGAGGCGTCCGCGGCCATAGTACAAGGTCCCGTGGATGTCGCCGAGGTATTATCCCGATAGACGCTTCCTCACACATCGAGGTTATCGTTTCGATCTGTCAACACACGCCCACAATGCCATGTGCATTGACTTCTGAGACGCTTCAGCGTGTGCGACATAGAACTGCGCGCGGCCTCGAACCACGTCTCGCTGTCTCCTTTGTAACTCCCTCATAGTTCACTTCTTCAGCTATACCATGCAGCGCTGTCGGTGCGCCACACATGGGCATTGGCAGGCAGAGCTCTTGTCTGTGTGCACCTCCTGTCAGCGTACAGTTAAAACGTTGTTTGCGGGCAACCTACGTGTGCGTACCATGTCCTAGCAGACTGCAACCACGTAGATCCGCGTTGTATCCTGAGTATTGGCGAACGATGAAAGCGGCAACAAGACCCGGTGCGGTGCGCTGCAAGAGCAGCACGATACCCGTGAGTCCTTCACATACTCAGCCTAATCTCACCTCCTGCTCCGTCTTGCTGCCGCACAGATACCATCCTTTGCGATGTTCATGGTCCGGCGCGGCCCTCTTCTGTGCATCTGGAACACGACCAATGCAATCGTGCGGCGGCTGTCAGGATCACGAGCATATGCATGCTGTGGGAACGAGGACACACAATTCGCTCTATCCACTATCTTCATCATCAGACGTAAGACAATCTCGGATATCGCCCTGACGTGGACCGCTCACCATTCCTCACAAGGCGCATATATGTAGTTGTATGCCACGGGCTCCCTGAACTCCTGCCTCCTGAAGATGTGCGGGCGTATGGGCCCCGTGCGAGCCCAGATGCGAGGTTCCTCGGAATGAGGAGTGCACGGGACGGGCATAGGCGACTGGCTGCCGTAGCTGCTGTTGATGTAGTTCGTCTTCCGATGCCTGCCCTATGCAGTGTAGGCTGGTGTGGGTATGCTGATTACGCCGTAAGGCGAAGAGTTGTATGCGATGCATGGGCCCGTGGAATACCAGTACAATACATTCGGCGGATTCATCCGGGCTCTGCGAAAGGCAAAGCGTGTTCAATGGTAGGCTACGCGAAGGTGAGTGGTACCTCTTATCCAGTATAGTTCTATTGTCGCACTCTGGTGCGAGGCAGAGAGTATTGATGCCACGAGATTGTCCAATGTAGCCATTCCACGACCGCGTGGGCGCCTCGATTTCGTGTCGAGTACCTCGTCTATACGCGTGGACAAACCGCGATAGAACGCGTCGGATTCCGCGACGATCTCACGCGTTCCGCTATGAAGGCGAAGCCCGTCCTGCTTCGAACAATGTCAGAGCCGCCCTTTTATCCCCACGGTTCTGCCATCTTCCTCGGCAAAAGCATGCATACGCCGCGCGAGGGATTCGGCGAGCAGCCGTGTCTTGGTATATATCATCGCTTGTGCATAACGACTTTCGGGTTGCAGAAGAGTGTCTTCAAAACCGCTGCACCGTATGCTTTCAGCGACGAATGCTAAGGAATGTAGCGCTCCCCGCGCATCGTGCGATTCAGAAGCATGCACCGTGCAGTCACTCGGTCCCGATTCCTAGAATGAGCGTCGCGGCCTTCCGCTGGTGCTCGGGGACCTGCATATATCGCTTCAGTCAATAGCGCGGACCTGCGCGCGGCGGAATACCAAAGACCCAGTCAGCGATCATGACATGGTGTCCTTCCCCGCCATCTGCTAGCGGAATATCCGGGGTGTGGAGTATGTAAAGCACAGATCCATGAGAGACAGAGACGGGGGGAGACACGGCTTGCCCCGTCCTGCAGTGCTACCTGTGGAGGCAACATGAACAATCGCAACAGCACTTACAATGATGGTATGCCCTTTCATTCTAGCTCCAGCTCGTCATGCCTTCGCAGTGCACTGATGATCAATAATCGGAGCAGTCAATGTCCCCGCCTGGGCGATCCCAAAGCCTGTCAAAGAGGATGCAAGCTCCTCATTAGCACGCTATATGGGGTTCTCTTCATGGCGCGACCCCCAATTTGGAAGGTTCACGGTGAGTGAATGTATAACATCCTCCTCCCTCGCCGCAATCAATCCTGATGCTCAACCTATAGTCGATCATGCGCAAGCTGATAGACAAGTATCTGGACACGCGTTGTTATTACAAGTACCAGGATGAAGATGGTATGAAGCGGGTGAAGAAAGAGGTAGGCTGCAGATGCTCAGATCCACGCGAGACATTAACAGGGGGTCACTGATTACCAACTTACAGGCATGTGTCAAGTTGGACTGGCTTCGACGTTATCAAGATGCATGGCCCATCGGCCTATATACCAGGTTGAGACTGAAGTTTTTACGCTTTAATGAGCGGAACAATCCCCATGTTTCTAGCAAGAATGTCAGCGGGCAGGAGCATGATTGTGTTGAAGAGGAACCAAGAACCGGCATGCATGCGCCGAGAGACATACCCTCTAGGTCTCAGGCACGGTCTTTTAAAGTCAGTTGATCCTGTTGCTTGTATCGGAGTGGGATTGAAGTCTTGTCGCCGGTTCAGCGCATCCATCACTCGCTAGGATCCAGCGCAGATCGCACAAGAGGCGGGCTTCGCCGTCGGGAAGAAGCTAAAGTGGGCTGTATTCCGAGCGCAACTGCACTTGTGCCGTGTGGTCCACTTTCAGGGTTACCGGCGTCGTCGCCACGAGGGACGCGGTCAGCCTCAACACCCGGACGAAAACAAACAATGCCGTCTCCTCGAGCATTGGCTCCGGCTCGAACATACAGGGGCACTGGAACACCTAGCAACGATAATAACCAGCGCGCCGTAGCCGCATTCCTGCGTTCGCTGATGCCCGGCCTCGAGAGCCTGACCCCACGTTTCGTCGACGCGGGAGTTGTCAGCGAAGAGTGTTTACACGACTTGGCCCTGATGCCGCTGCAGCAACAGAATGTTCTTTTGAAGGATGATATGAGACTGACAGTATTTGACTGCCGAATTATACGCTGTGGCCTCGCTGAGCTGGTGGGATGACGAGTACCAGGTCGAATCCAAAAGGACATCAAAGTGGACTGTGGTATAAGTTGTGCCAAGACGTTGTACCACCCGTACCTGTAGCGTGTGATGGGACCTGATATTGATGTATAAATGGGATCCACGTGACCATATATCTCATTGAGCCCGCGTCACTCATCAAGCTACGGTACCATCTCTTCCTACCAACCTACGCTCGATATAATTCCTAGCTGCCCCCTGTCATTCGATTGTCCTATCGACCCCAATCATTATGGGAGTAGCGCAGAGTGTCATATCTGAAGCGGCTGTCACTGCAGTGGTTGTTGCGGGTGCGGCAGCAGTCGCGTACGGTTACGCTCGTCAGAATGCGCCGCCAAGCTCCCAGGCCTTACCCTCGTCCACCACGGGGCCTTCGTCGGACCCCGGTGGCAAGAAGAAAAAGAAGAAGCAGGGCGACGCGCTTACGCCTGCAACTCAGCCTCCCACAGACGCCAGCCCCGTTGTCATCCCCTTCCCTGCGGTTGTCCCAGGCAGCTTCGACGCTCCGTCTGACGCGCGGGACACCTCGCCTCCCGCGTCCACGAAGGCCGGCAAGCCCAAGAAGAAAAAAGGAAAGAAGGCGGGTGCCGCTGGCAGCGGCACCCCGCGTTCCCAACCCGCTGATGCTATGTCCGAGTCGTCCGCGACAGCGCCAGAGTCCCCTGTTTCTGCGCCCGTGCGCCCAGCCGCATCCAAGTCGCGCAAAAGTTCCACGCCCAAGCTGCCACCTGTGGACACAGACGAGTCGTGGACCCGCGTAGAGTCTCGCCGGCGGCCTGCAACATCCACGCTACAGCCAACGCCAGCCGAGGCCGCGACGCCCAGCGATGCAGGCGTCACCACGATGTCCATGACGGGCAATTCGTCACCTGTGACGGAGCGTACGGATGACGAACTTGCGAGCCGAACCGAGATCCCCGTCGAGAACCGACGTACGTTGGCGGAGAGGCTGCTTCCCAGGCCGCGCAAGACAGGGGTTGACGAGTAAGTGTAATTATCCTATCGTATATACGATGATGTGCTCATATAATCTCCCCAGTATGTTGGAGACGTCTGACTACCCGACAGTTGCGCGTGTAATGCGCATCGCGCCCGGACCAGACGAAAAACCAGCTGCTGGCTTCTCATGGGGCGACTATGAGGACGTAGACGATGCAAGAGTCACTGCTGATGACGCGGATGGAGAGGATGACGGAGGTTGGGGCGTTGTCAAGAGTCGCGGTCGTCCCAGTACGCACTTTCCACAAATACTGCATGCATTGATACTGACATTCTGGCCGTAGAAGCGGAAAAGACTCCAGTCAGTGCACCAACAGCACCAGAATCGCTGACCAAGAAACAGCGGCAGAACGCAGCTAAGCGGGATGCCCAGAAAGCTGCAAAGGCTGAAGCAGAGGCAGAGCGTCAAGCGCGCCTGGCGAAGCATAGCCGCGAGGTCGAGCGTGCCAAAATAGCTGAGCAATACGCCAAGTCAAGCAAGTCCGTGAGTGGAGGGATGACGGCTTACGTTGACGAGAATGGGAAGCTCGTCTGGAAGTGAGGGCTGGGAACGCCTACACTGCGGCTGATCTTTGGTGGCTATGAGTGTTCGATCAATCTGACAGGAACGATGTGCCGATGGACATAATACCAGGAAATTCAACGTCTGTATTTATCGCGCACTGGGCTATTACCGGTGCAGTGGACGCATCATGATCATACCCTTTCCTCGACTCTTACTGACACTCCCTACGTATGTCTAACTTCTGTAATCGCCGTTAATCCTAACGTACTCCTGTGATGCTCATCAGTGTTGTTCTTATGAATCCAGGATTTAGTATGCCCACGTACATAGCTAAAATCGCACGTCCAGTACTTGGCATTTTCGCTCCCGATACCGAGTTGGACCTCAATTTCGAGGTCCTCGACACTGATAATTTCTTTTGCGCGTGCTTCATCTACGGTCTCGGGTTCACCATTCACAAGCAGTGGCAGTGCTGGCGAGCCGTCGGTGGGTATGAAGGAGACGCTGACTCGTGTCGGGTCAATAGGAACTGAAAGCGGTACCGAGCCGGTCGCTGCTAGTATGCGTCCCCAGCTGCCAACGAAGTAAGCACCGCATACATAAATGTTTCTAGTGGCAATGCCGCTTACTTTGCGTCTTGACCATACAGCGCGGTCTTGACAAGAGCAGATGTCGAGATGCGCGAGGCAATGCGGTGTGCATCTTCGTACGTTGCGGCACCCTGTCAGATGCTCCATGAGGAAAACGACACGACTGCAAATGCGTAATGGTTTACATTGACAGACACGGTCACGAACTTCGTAGCGCCCTCTCCGTCCCGTACAACTAGCTGTGCGAGGTCCGCCGCGAACGTCGTGAGCTCATCCCTGAATAACTGGTATGTGCGGGGATCGCGCTCTTCATCAATCTCTGCAGCAGGATCACTAGCAGCAGAACCATTCGCTAGTACGACAATGGTGTCATTCGTCGACATGTCGCCGTCCACACTAATCGAGTTGAAGCTTCGGTCCACCGCGTACGTGAGCGCGGACTGCAGACTCCGCGGAGAGACTGCGGCGTCGGTCATGATGCAGCCCAGGAGCGTTGCGTGCAGCTGCCCGGCCGTACGTGGAGGGCCCATGTCGGGGTGGATCATGCCCGCGCCCTTGTCCATGCCTGCCATCTTGTACTCGCGGCCGTCGATCGAGAACGTGCGCGCACGCAGCTTCGGGAAGGTGTCGGTAGTCATGAACGCCTTCGCAGCGCGCTCCCATGCTGTGAAGTCTGAGCCCAGAGATTTCGTCTGGCTGTCAGAGGACTGTGACTCGATCCCCGCGAGAACCTTGGAGATGGGCAGAGTTTGGCCGATGACTCCTGTAGACATAACGAGGGTCTCGCTCTCCTTTGCAGAACAACCAAGCAGCGCGTCAGTAGCACGGACCATGGCCCATGCGTCCTCCATGCCCTGCTTCCCTGTTACTGCATTCGCGCAGCCACTGTTGACGACGAGTGCGCGCGCTGTACTGGCATTGCGTTGCAATACTTCCTCAGACACAACAACTGGGGCCGCTTTGAAAGCGTTACGCGTGAAACATGCCGCCGCCGACGCCGGTTTCGGAGTGGTGGACAGAATGACTGCGAGGTCGAGCGCGCCCGTCTTTTTGATACCACAATGAAGCCCTGTTAAAACATATCCACTAGGGAAAGCTGCATCCGGTATTGGTGCATGATGATGCGCTTTAGGCGGTGCTGGCCGTGGGCTGATGGTCGACGACAACCGCTTCCAAAGGGATGGCAAGCGTGCAGACATGAGTGCAAGAAGCAACTCTGAAAGCGCTCACGTTCAACTGGACTTTATATGATCAGATGAGTCATTTCATGGCTGTATTCACGCAATGGCACCGAGTACGTGTCGAGTAGTATATTTCCCTCAACTAGAGCTTCGTCGAAGTACAGCAGTTCGAAGATGCTAGCAGGTGGACTGAAGGACAGACCAAGACTCGAGGGAACGTTCTCTCTTCCACCGCTCCGTTACTCGCGTTCGTCGATGAGGACGACGGCTGAGTGCAGCTCTGCACTGCATCGGTGGTTGAGAGAAACGAGACGGCGGCGAGCTCGAAGAAACCTGGGAGGTGTTTCCCACGCTCCGCGTGCCCAAATTAGGCAGGTACGGATCCCACCGGATGACACCGGCGCTATTGCAAACCTTAGCGGTACACCTCAAGACATTCGATATCGGCCGGGACGACGACAAAAATGGGCTCGACAAGGTAAGAATCATGCTGAACAACGTCTGAGCTGGCTTCAGGGATCCGTCTGGAAAGTTGAACGATGTCTGGGCGAGTAGAACTGGGTGGATGGAATCTAGACTAACTGGATGACGCCGCTTTGACCACTCCTGCCGACGGTCCCCATGCTTTTCTGGCTTTCCCTACTGTCGAACCCCTGTGCTCATACATGCCATCTGGTTATGCAGACTTTACAGCAAGGGACGCGTTCTCGGCCACAAGCGCGCTAAGCGCAACACCCGCCCCAACACCTCTCTGATTCAGATCGAGGGTGTTTCTACCAAGGAGGATGCGCAATTCTACCTGGGCAAGGTGTGTTATGCCAATGCATAGCCCGCCCCAAATACTCATGTTGACATTGTGACCAGCGCGTCGCATATGTCTACCGGGCAAAGAGGGAGGTCCAGGGCTCCAAGGTCCGCGTAATCTGGGGGTACGTTTTCACAGTGATACTACTGCTGTCGATGCTGACCTCTTCTATGCAGACGTGTGACTCGTCCGCACGGCAACTCTGGTGTAGTAAAATCGAAGTTCAGGTCGAACTTGCCGCCTCACGTCTTCGGTGCTAGTGTCCGTGTGGTAAGTTTGACTGTATCAGGACCGTTTCCAGAAATTTCTAATGCAAGCACTATTCAGATGCTTTACCCCTCTGCCATCTGATTATCGTATTGCTTTCCTTGCATTTCTGGCTTCCTCCCATGTGTCGACATAGTGCAAAATATGACATGCTCCATGATCTGCACACACCTGAACAGCGTGAATAGCATGAGGTTGTGTTTTCTTACTGACTGGCACTGTTGAGAAGTCATGAATGAGGTTCATTCGACTAATTGAACCAATATACTAAGTGCACACCCTACCTGCTAGACTATTGAACAAGAGTGTCATTCCTGAAAGGTTGAGTTCTTTCAATTTCGTGCACAATAGTTTATTGTCTCTAGCCGAATGCCGTGTTTGCTTCACCGGTGACGACCGCAAGCATCTGCGGGCGCCAACGCGTTATTCTTGCCATGCACAGCAACCTACACCTTGCTTCGCGACGCGATCCCTGCTTATATACCCTCTCGTGTGCTCCGCGGTAGTATAGTCAACTGGGTGGCTGAACTTGATAATGTCTGCTCCTATGATTTCCGCGGCGCAGGCCGTAGGCGAGTACTTACAATTTCCTGACGACCTCGCCAAGATCACGGCGTTTCGCAAGAAATTAGAGAAAGAGAAAGCGTCCATCGATGCTCGGCTGAAGAGTGGAGTGAAAGAGCAGCTTGATGCTACACGAGATGGGTTGCGGAAACTCTTCAGTACGCGGAACAATGTCCAGACTATCAAGGACGAGATGGAGACGGTGGACAGGCTCTGCAGCGACCCTCAGAACAACGTATCGACGTTCGACCAGATAAGCAGAGTAAGTGCCTCGCGCATACAATGTCGTAGCCATAAGTCTAATGAGATACGAAGGTATCTATGGTACATCGGAACTTTGAACGCACAGAGGAGATGGTGAACAACCTCCTCGAGATGGAGTCTCATCTCGATATGCTGGAGGATATGCTAGAAGCAGATAGCCAGGACATTCTCGGACCAGCCCCCAATCTGCTTCGCATACACTACCAGATCAATAGGCTGGAGGCGTTCCGGAACCAGTCCATGCACCAGGCGAAGAAGTCTTCTGCCGACTCGCGACAAACTCTGACGCGGTATTTTGAGCGCTTGTCGCGTCTCATAGAGGCCTTCGACGAGTACATACTCGCCTTGGCGCGAAATATACTCATGATCGTGATGGAAGGCAATCCGGAGACCATCGTGAAGCTCGTGAAGATTGCAGAAATCGAGCAGCAGGAGGATGAAAAGGTGGACTAGATTCCCTTGAGCCTTGAGAGTTAGATGAGCACTAAAATACTTGAAGGCCATAGCCATCAAGTTGGTCAAGAAGGCGGCCAAGTTGGACGCTGCAGCGAAATTCAGGTCTATGCAGGCCGACGCGCGAGTATACAAGCACTACCGACAGAAGGTTAACAAATGCATCGTTGAGTCGATCAAGGCTACGTTGGACGAAGCATATAGTCGTAATGAGAACGACCCTGCGGCATTCCTCGATAACCTCGACTGGCTCTACCAGGACCTGATCCACATCGAGACAGACGTTGTCCCGTGCTTCCCGACGTCCTGGGATGTATATCCTCTCTACATTCGCGAGTACCACAAGGCTCTTAATGCTACGCTTCAGAAAATCATCGCGTCAGAACCCGAGGCGAGCGTGTTGCTGACGCTGAACGCCTGGGTAAAGGATTACAAGAAAAAGATGAAGGAGCTGGAGGTGCCCCCGGAATTGCTCGAGCCCCCGTTGCTGGACGGCAAGGAGCAAGCGCTCATAGAGGACTATCTTAAGCTCATCATCAGGAAACTTGACGAATGGACGGAGAATCTGATGAAGGACGAGGTGGCAGCATTTATCGCACGTGCCGATCCGCCAGAGGTGAACAGCGACGGTCTTTACGGCATGCAAGGCGCAATCATTCTCTTCCAGATGGTCAACCAGCAGGTCGACCTCGCGACGGAGAGTGGGCAGGGCATGATCCTCGCTCGCGTGATCGAAGAGGTCGGGCGGGTGCTGCGCGGCGTCCAGGACCGCTGGACGAAACTTCTCGAGGCGGAGTGTAAGAAGTTTACCGAAAAGCCAGAGGAGGTTCCCGGCGGCCTAGTTGAGTATGCCATCGCGCTCGCGAACGACCAGATGAAGTCGGCGGACTATGTGGAGGCCCTGTCGTCGCGCGTCGAGCCGCTCGTTTCGGAAAAGTACCGGGTGCCTATCCACGATAGGTTGAACGACGCCATTGACGGCTTCCTCGACGTCGCGAAGAAATGCACGCAAACACTCATGGAGGTCATCTTCAATGACCTGAAGCCAGCGACGAAGCAGCTGTTCCAGCCAGCCTGGTACGACGGTATCTCAGCGCAGATCATCGAGACCATCCGTGATTACATGTCCGACTACAATACCTTCCTTAACCAGACACTCCTGGACCTTATGGTCGAGGATCTCCTAGACACCTATCTCGTTACATATCTCACCGCCTTGGCGAACGCACCGAAACTCAAGGTTCCTGCAGCATTGGAGCGCATGAAGGCAGATATCGACGACATTTATAAACTCTTCGGTCAGTACAAGAAGCTGAAAGAACTTGAGCCGCAAATCCAAGTGCTCGAGCTGGTTCTGTCGATGCTCGAAGCGTCTCAGAGCCTGGTCTTCCTGTCGTACTGGTCGTTTGCCAAGGTGTACGGACCAAATATTCCGTTCGTGGAGTCGTTGATGAAGGCACGAGGGGATCTGGACCGGTCAGGCGTCAGCGAGGTTATGGAAAGCATCAAGCGCAAGGTCAAGGAAGAGAACCTGACAGACCGTGAGTTAATCCGGGTCTCCCTGTCTCCGATTATGTTATGTTGACGTCGTACCCGCAGCGGAGGAACCGACAATAATGAAGAGAGTCAATGTTCAGGGTACATTCTCTCGTTTCCTGGCCAATGCACGGTCATAGGAACGTCGGTAACAGCAGGAACATCTGTATTACTAGCATTTTCTGTTCACTTCTCAACACGTCTGTACTCTACATGCATTCTATTCTTATACCGCTATCGCTTCTATTTACTTGCTGCTATGATCAAGTCAGGCTGTCTTCGTCTTAACTCCTTCGGGATCCTTGTTTGATCTGTCGGGTAGTGTTGCCGCGACCTCGTCAATCTTCTTGAACTGCCAGGGGAAGCGCGAAGGATACAAGAAAGGACGCAGATCAAATCCTGTGCAGACCAGTCTAAATTATTTGTGCAAGATGACGTGGGCTCAACCGCTTACTGTTGTCATCCGGGCTATATTGCTCCTGTAGTCTAAGTCAGATCACGTCCCTGGGATACTACGGCTCAATGCACTGACCGCGTGGTAGGACGGCGTGAGGGTCGTCATCTTGTGTCGGTTCCTCGCATATTCAAAGAAGAAAAGCTTGACCTTTTCCGCAATCTGTTCCATCGACCGTCAGCACCCTGCGTTTAGAGCGTCTCAGGAAAACGCACTTGGACAGGCGACAAGAACGAGCCCCATTCGTGCACAAGTTTGGTGAAGACGCTATACGGCCCGCACTTCTCGACTTTACGTAGACGCCCGAAAACAGACAGTTCGTCGTATGTCATTCCCATATCCGCCTGGTGCAACGTCAGGGAACCTGGCACGGAGATGGATATTTATATTCCACAAATACCTCGTCTGCCTGCACATAGTTTTCCGTGATGGGCTCTAACTCGGCAGTTGGGACTGCGTCCAAGAAGCTGCAGAGAATGTATCAGGCATACGAGCTCCTATCAGAAGGACAGACTACGCACTCTTCCAGAATGGGTAGCTCAAAGGCGTCGCGTGCGTATGCAATGAAGCGTTTCAAGTCAGTCTTGCTAATGGCTCCAATGGGATTCACGTCCGCTACAGGGCGGTCAGTTCCGGGCGACATCAGCTACAGAACGCCGAGAATCTTACCAGACGAGCAATCATACTTCGTCAGGTATCCCCGCAAACTACAAGGGGATAGCGTCTGATGAGGCATCTTGTGCAACCTTCGTTTATTACTCACCTTTCATCGACGTTCGCACTACCTAAAACGAGCAGACCACCCGAGCGCCCTCTGACCCAAGGGAGCAGTTGGGCGAACATGTACGAAAGCACCATGCGTAGTCTTGCCTGCATGGGGCCAGAAATAAGCCACAGAGTGCCTTGCATCTGTATCGCAGCGCACCAACATACCTGAATGTTCTGCAACGCGAGGTTCTCCGCCGCAGACCCGCCGTGAATGCGGTATTGCGGCTTGACGCCGGTGACAAAAGAGAACAGGCTGAGTATGGCCGTTACGACTGTGTCCATGTTCAAATCGGTATGGTAGCTGCATTGCGGTTAGTTTTCGGCTCGGGTTTCATCCACAGAGGTACAGCGACGACCTGCAACGCACCTGCCAATGGCCTCCGCGAGCTGCCGCGCGCGCGCGCGCGTCTCCGTGCTCGAGTTCTCTGTGCCCATGTAGCATGTGTGGAAGATGCGTTTCGCGAACTCGCGCGGGTCGCTCGGAAGATAGCTGGAATCCTCCGGCTCACCCGCGATGCGCCGTGCGTCTGCGATCACCTGCTCATCTGCGCACGTAACATCAGCGCCCCCTCGCATGCCGCATGCGATGACACGAGAGACCTACCTCCGCGTACAGCAGCTTCCGCAACTAAGCGGCACATCGAGAAGACAATGATGGATGTCGCGCAGCTGTCGATGCCACCGCTCAGCGGAACGAAGTAGCCCTGCGTGCGCGAGCGGCGGAGATAGTCCCACAGCCAGCATGCAGGCCCGAGCCTACGGTAGACGTTCAGGATCAACGCGCTCTCCGCCCAATTGTACAGATAGCCGCAGGACGCACGCAATCTCCTCCTCGGGCCGATGGTAGCGCACCTCGAACGTGCGGCTCGCGAGCGTGCGCCCGTCCGCGATGCCGGAGAACTTGCCGCCCGAGAGCGCAAAATCGACCTCGATGCGCTGGTACCGCTCTGCGCCGGCGGCCTGCATGCTGCGGCTGCTCGTCGCCCGGTGCGCGCGCACGTCTTCGATGTCGATCGTCGCAGACACGACCTCGACGTCCTGCATGGAGAACTGTGAACCCTGCGCGATGATGTGCCCGTTCACGGCGATCATGGCGCAGCCGTCGTAGTACAGCCGATCTCCATCGCAGCCCTGCTGGTTGGCGTAGAGGTAGATGCCGCCGAGCTGTGGATGGCGTTATTTTTGGTTCTCCAAACATGAGGGCAATGACTACCTTCATGGTGGCCTCTTTAATCAATTCGACGCGTGTATACAACTTACGCAGTTCATGATGGCTTCCACTAGAATTGGTGAATATCTCGACGCCATCCAAACCCATCAGAATATGAGGGCTAAGTATTGGGCCCATCAATAGCGAATTCGCAGTGTAGAGCTTGCCGCATAAGAATACCTAGACGGCGTAAACAGCTCTTCGCATAATTCAATGCCGATGCACGTGTCCACTGTGCTGACTACTGCGTCGCCAAAGGGAACCTTGGTCTGAATAGTCATATCAGTCAAATGTATTTCGCACAAGTCGAGGCCCGATCAGCTTCCGGCATGAGTATCAAGAACACACGATATACTCTCCGGAAGTACAAGATTGCAGCACGGGCTCGACCTCATGAACAACTCAGACTGTCAGATATTACGTACCTGTCCTGTCACCGCATGGATAATCCGGGGTAGATAGTGGTCCTCGGTGTACCTGTGCTTCATCCACGGGGTAAACCACCTAAGCTCGCGGTAGTTACCGTCGTTAGCGAGCCACATCTTAGGTCGGATGAGCAGAATCTTCCCGCTATAGATTACGACCCGGCAATTGTAGATCACGTTCTTGTGCATGACTGGCCTGGATATTGGCAGTGAGAGACAACTTTGGGACCATTTATTCAGTGCTCACATGCCAATATCACAGAGTATGCCTTGTGTATCCTCTGACTCAAGGATCTTGGCGAGCACCTCCCACGAGTGGAGACAGGTATCGCCTTGAATCATGATAAGCAATTAAGCCATACCAATCTCTGATGCGCAGACCTTCAAGAAAATGATCCTGACATCCATAACCTCTGAGGAGAACGTCACTTTGGAGCCAAGGATGTTCATGAGAATGACGCTTACGTGACTTCAAGTTCCGGGCCAACTCGCAGAGTTGCGCCTCGCTCCTTGGCAATTCGAATGCTGGCCAGGATGCGCTCTAGGTTTCCCTGTACATAGTAATGGTATCTGACATGTACTCCAGATAGTAACTACTACACATACTTGGAAGTCTAGCGACCACTGGTTTAGTGAGCTGTAAGGGCATCAACATGGCCGTATTCGTAGCTGCATTGCGAGCGGCGTACCATCTGTGCAATCCGTGTTGCTTAAGTTCCAGAATAATATTAAAGGGACAGTACTCACGTTGCAACTGTAATCAGATGCCCCATGGCTAGGTCAATGCCAGGTAAACTAGGCTATGACTGACGGACGGTGATGAGTCGAAGTCAGACGACGTCAGTCTGAATTTCCCATCAGTTGCGGCCACGTGGGAATTCGATCGATCGATCACAACATCAAATTCGACGAAGCCTCCTTGCAACTGTTCATAGTCGTCCAACGCTATTTCCATGAATGATGGCGATAACATGTCATAAGGTCCGTGTACTGTTAGATCCATATGGCGAAAATACGTCGTCGGAGGTATAATCGCCCCACGAATCGACTCAAAAACATAGTAGACATATATGGGTACCACAATGTCCCGTCCAACTCCTTCTGTTTGCCATTGAGGTTCACTTCCCGTGTGTAGACAGCCTATTTTGTATCTTTTCACCTCTGACAGTGGCAGCGCGGTTACCTACATAGCGCTGTGTCATCACATTAGTGAGCCCAGGCTCTCGTAATGAAGACGTACTCTGAGTTGTTTACAGCCACGAGCCTAGTCAGGCCAATACAAACAACATGGGATTGAAATATGGTAAGTTTCAGGTCTTCTCGCAAGAATGTATTCTGGCCGGCTTCGGGGAACTCAGCAAGACTGAGGAGACATTCCTCGTCGATGACTCCTGCTTGCACGAAGCGCGGTGTTAAACTTGCCAAATTGGGGAGCAACGATCTCAAAAAGCCCGTCACTTCGGTGTAATCGCACGATCGGCTCGGCTCAGCGTGGCCGTGCGTTGCTGGCTTCGATGTATTCGAGAGTGATGGCGCTGCTTGAACAGACGGCGCTGCTTGAACAGATGGCGCTGCTTGAACAATTGGCGCCAAAGAAGTATTCTTCCTCAAATTGTGAGGCGTGGTGATCAGTGAGGATGGCTTTAGATCATCATTACTCGTATCTCAGCTCACAAGGCAGCGTATTCTTGTTTTCTTACCTGGACTGCCAGGACATTCTGGGTATGCAATGTCCGCTGGATTACCTGCTCAGTCAGCTGTGAGTTGCGGCAATTTACGGAGGAGCTGTAATGGCTGTGCTAACTGCGAGCCACTACTGTGCCGGTCCCAAGAACGCTGACCCACCTCGAGCGAATGTCGTTTGATACGTGAGGACCTCCTGATAAGAGATGCCTCATGGTTTTGAAGATCATTCTTCCGGCCATCTGGATCTGTAGAATTGTTATTTTCCCCGAGTTCAGCGTTCCGCGTTTTGCGCAATTTGGTAGCCCATCTATCCTGTTCCTGAATTCGTGCGATACGCCTGCGTATATAGAGTTCAATCGGCCATGCGTCTTCGTACTCCCTCAGCCAGGGAAATCTTCTGAGTGCCTAGACGACTCGTATCTATCAGCAGGTGGCACTACAAGGTCAGCTAACTGTTATACCAACCTCGTCTCGCACATGAGCCATTACGACTGGGTTTTGGGATGAGAACGAAGAATGGAAATCGAGATGCAGGTGCATGAGGTTCCTTATTGTCGCCTATACCAAGCCGACATGATGCGTCTGATAGTTGAATTGGAAACAGTAGGCACGTACGGCGAACGTATTAAACACCTTACCCCCACGGGTACCAAACCCCATATGCCGTGCAAGGGAATACATTGCCACTGAAGGCAGCCGGGGTTTGGGCGTACACTCCGGCGGGATCGCTACGCCTTGCATCAGAGTTAGGGCGTTCCACGAAGATATACGCTAGGAAATGAGACATACCAGTGTGAGCAGTCATCTTGATGCTGCGGTGATTGAATTACGTGGAGCAGGGTATATATCGTCGACTAAGAGGTGCTCATATTGGCACTGACCCTTCAACCAATGTGGTACCCGATGAGAGAAGAACCATACTTTCTGACTCACCTGTAAACGGGGTCTGGCGATGACGGTCACTGTGCGATTCTACTGCAGTGCCCGCGCTGCCCCGTCAAGCAAACGCACGCAGCCACTTGAGCGGCAACATCTAGTCAATTGACGACTCCTGCGGACGGACCTGCACGGTAGAGCCGGAAGGCGCTCATCGCCAACCGCTCTGTTTCCCTGTGGCATGAACTCAGCGTGCCGGTATTGGATCAGTATTTAACTGGCTGAGAATGCAAGAGGTGGTCCCTTCCTTGATATCAATAGGTATCGCCGACGCATATCGGTGCCGGGGCCCACGGTCGGCCGTCGGGAACTGCAGAAGCACTTACGTTGCTCACTCAGCTGCCTTTTGTGTCTAGACCTCCATTGCGGGAACATGTAATAGAGCTCAGTTCACACCATCAAGATTTCTCGTAGCTGGTGATGGAGCAGGTCTGTAACCTGAACCCTCCTTTTACTACACTCACACGCGGCGTGAGTCTCGACCCTGAGGCTGCTTCTCTGATGAGACATACCTGCTGCGGGATCACATAGTCCAGTATAACCGCAAACACGCCGCCCAATCCCATTCCTACCCTTGTTCTTTCCTCGACGCACACTGTCCGTAAGGCCTCGCTGTCCAGGAGAATCACGTCGCGGTCCCGTTCGCCCCATACAGATGCGTATTCCACGACGTCGATCCGAAGCTCGAAGCCACCTCTACCCGCAAGCTCACAGTCCGCAAACGTCAAATGCCTTCTACTAGGGCGTAGGACGCCGTGCATACGTGGGTGTCGATGCAGCCATATACGGACATCGACCACAGTGATACCGTCACAAATCCATCTAGGAAACATGGAAGCAGGGATGACAGAAGCCCCTGGCCAGTGACTACGTAACGCCACGGCATGGCTTACGATAAGACCACGTCTTAGAGACGAATAGAACGGACACTGCCCATCCTGACGTCGAGACCCGCGTCGATATGCGGAGCCAATGTTGCCCCCCTCCTGGTCAGAGCACCCGTGTCGAGTCTCGTCAGAAGCAGAGAAGCAGAGAAGGCGCTGCGCGCCTTTGTTGCAGAGCATTATGGGAGAACCGATGAGTTCGAAAATGTCCGCATCATATTCATACATGATCAGTATGTGAGTTTCATCTATGAAGTGAAAGGATGTGGGGATGTTAGAGGCGTCTTGCTCAGTGCGCTACAATCACCAAAGTTAGTGGCGCCCGCAGGACTCAGGACTCACCCCAAACTGAATTCCCGATTCCAAGTTTGCACGCCAACGTTGTCATTCGCATATGCTATCAGCCCAAGATGATCACCTTTTACGAATGCATTCAACTATTCAGACCTCTCGTGACATCTGCGTTTGATGAGAGGCGCCATCCTGTGAGAATGAGAGCATACGAAGTGAGACAATATACTGCAGCGTAGGCAGGATCTCTATTAGCCGAACGAAGAACAGAAACACCTAAAACCAATGACGCAGTGAATAACACCATCACATCACACGATTGTAACACAAATTTGCTTGATACGCACGCGAAAGAGCACCAGAACGGCTACAATGAGGTCCAAGGGCAGGTCCATGATACTTGGTACAGCCACAGAGAAAGTCCCATGAATGAGAGCAAGAGAGGCGGTGCCCCTAGCAGTGTGGATGGTTCAGCCGGTGCATGTCTGGCAGAACTGAACTACTCAACTTTCTACGGCAGCCCCACGGCACTTCATATGATAATCAGAGACAATGGAAGGGCCCAAGCCCCATACGCGAATACCTTGCAGGGTTTCGGGTAGAATCAGTCCCTTGCACGCAGAACACGCAAGTTGTGATGTACAGTTCCCAATGTCATATTAGGTAGGCCCAACAGTCCACGTAATGCAAATACGGACGGATTGCTAACGGAAGGCATAGTAACGCACGACTGCAATCCATATGGTACGGTAGGTAGGTGAGTGGACCATGAAACGCGAAAGCCCTGTGCGCCGCGGCCGAGTGCGAAGAGAGGGGAGCCATGTCCGATGATTCGCAAGACCCATGAACGTGGCGGCAACAGACATGAAGGGAGAGTACAAGCCCAGGTCAAAATAAATTGCAGGGATATCTAGATGATGGAGTGAGAATGACGCAAGCACACGCATACACTAAGGAGAAATGAGAGGGAATAAGAAATAGTCCAATGTCCGCTACTTGCGTCGTTGTTGTTGCTGCCACATCGCGAGTGGCATGTCTTCGTCCTCTGATCGTCGGTGATTCTGCACTACCGCGTGGGCGCTGGTCCCCTTCTTCAGCTTGCCGTTGACATGATGCATCGTCTGCACAGGTGGGGCGGCCGTAGCGGACAGAGACCGACTCGGAAGCCGCCCCCCACTGTACGGCTGCTTCTCCTGTGCCGGCGTGTAGCGATTAGGCGGTGGTGAGCGTGTTCGGCGTGGTTGTGGTGATGCAGCAGATGATGAGCTGGGAGGAGAGGTGGATCGAGAATGAGGTGGTGATGGTGACGATTGGCCACGAGAATTAGCAAGGGGCGTAGATCCAGACTGGACCAGCCATGTTTGCTCAACAGCAATGGGGGGCATCGCACCAGGAGGAAGCTGTGAGCCGACCACCATCGGAGCGTACTGTTGAGGCTGCATTGAGACGTTGCCCATACTGTACAACCCGCCATTTGGTGCTTGTGGCTGGGGCTGGGCCACAGGTACAGTATATGGCGCAGGAGGGGCAGACGAGGACCTCGTCGCTGGTGGATTTTGGTACCCATTGCTCGCCGACGTAGGGACGGTTGGCGTTCGGCCCGGAGGTACGCCAGTGCTATTGCTCGATGCACTGTATCCATACTCTTGCTCCATAGCACGATGCTGCATCTCATACTGAGGCCCGCGCACTGGGACCTCAGCACGCCTTCCTCCGGGAGTAGAAGAACCGACCGAAGAGGGCTTACTGAGGCTGCCACGGCGCTGCTTCTCCTTCTGCTCCTGATCCCGCTCCAAACGCTCCTTCTCCATCCGCTCGCGCTCCTCCTTTTCCCTTTGCTCCCGTTCCAGTTGCTCTTTATCTGGAGTGGCATTAGGGGTAGACTGCCCCTGGGCTGCCACTTGAACATTGCCATTCGCCTGCGCAGTATTGGTGGCCTGCGTCTTGTTAATGACGCCCAGGTACCAGAACATGAGGTTACTGATCAAGACTTGCTCGTACAGCGGCCGACGTGGGTTGGCTAGCTTAATGTGGCTGAGACGATAGATTGCCCTCTCGACATGGATCGGATACCGCGCATACATCCCCGCTAACTGTGGCGATGCCGGCGGAACATAGTTCTTGGACGACTTGGACGCACCTAGGAGCGCGGCTGCAGTTTCGCGCCCGGATTGTCCAACGCCCAGCGGCGGAGTTGCTTCCTCCTGCTTCTTTCTGGCACCAAAGAGTGATCCAAAGAACCCGGTCTCCTTCTCCTTTTCTCGCTCACGGGTGTCTTTGTCCTTGTGCGCCTTCTTGCTGCTTTTGTCGCTGCTGCCCCATTTGAATAAACCCCCTTTCTTATCCTTCTCGCGGCGTTGCTCGGAAAGGCTCGAAGGAGCGGGGAGGTAGGTCGCAGATTCCTGTAAAGATGGTCTAGAAGAGGGCGTACTGGCAGGAGTAAGGACAGGGCTGGGTTGGGGCTGTGGCTGTGGAGAGGGGGATGTCGACGCAGCAGGAGGCTCTGGTACGTCAGGTGCCACGGCTCGCTGTGGCTGGGGATGGTACAGAACCGGCTCCGGGGCGATAGATGTTGTCGTAGGCTCAGGTTCTGCATGGGATGTGGTAGAGGGTGGAGACGTTGACGACTCGACAGATTGCTCAGGTGATGCCGTTCGAATTGGTGTCTCGGATTCATCGGTGTCCTCTGTGGCATACGCATCATAAATTAGGGCCTCCTCGCTATACGACTCGGGCCGTTGAGAGAAGGGCCCTTCAGAGACGTCTTCTGTTTGGGATAGCCGACTGGACTCGGCGTGACCATGATCGCTGACGGACATCTCACTAGAGCTTCGAGGATCCTGCATAGTATTTGCACGACTGATAGATTTTCGCCGACTTCGGGTAGCCGTAAACCGGTGCGCTCCCTCCCCTGTTTGTCCGGGCTTGCGGATTTTCGTACGAGCAGAACGACGTAGAGCCTGATTTGGACGAGGGATGACGATGGGCGAGTCTGCATCGTCGCCGAGATCAGGCATATCATCCATCTGGTCAATGACTGCGTGCGACTCGTCAAATCTGAAGGCAGAAGTCAAGGGAAGGCCATGTACCTGATGGAGCGACGTTGAGACTCAGGCTCCTTCGAAGGACACTGCGCAGCTTGGAGGGATCATCACTTTTCGATGCTTCCTCGGCTAGTTGTTCTAGCTTCTGAAGGTCGTTGATTGTGAGCTGTGGTACGGAGGCATAGATACTTGTTCTGTTCCTCCTGACAGGAAGAACCGTTTCCTCCTTCTCCTCCTCAATACCATCATTTGGAGACGGTTTGTACTGCCTGCTCAGCATGGATTTCTTGCGCCCCAAGCCAATTGAGCCGCTCGAGAGCGATCGCCCCAAGGCGCCGCTCTCGTCAGATGGCGTTCGAGCGTGCTCTTTGAGAAACTGTCTGAACTCGGCAGGTGCAATCTCTGGGTGAAGGCGAGCCGGAACCCAGAACAGATGGAACGGATCGTCTCCGCCTGTTGCCCCATTGTCGCTACCCTCTTCGTGAGATGAGCTGCTGCTAGAGTCATCGGCGGTCGGCCAGTACGTAGTCGTAGGCGATGTCTGAGACGAAGCACTGGGAAGATCTGGGTCCAGAATAAGCGAACCAGGTCCGCCAGCTGTTGAACGCCTTCTGAGATCACGGAGAGCCTCCACCTCCCGCTGAATCTCGTACTCGGACGGTTGCATCGCGGACTCGACGCCAATTAGACGATTAACAGCCAAACAAGCGGGAATACTCACCTGGCTTGCCTGCGAGTCCGCCACGGTGATCTAGCTCGGAGATGGGGCGCAGAAGTAGTCGCAGGGGACGATGCACGAGACAAGCCGCCCGGGTAGTGCAACAGCGGCTGCGAGAGGCATCAGACATGCTGGCCGGTGGCGCGGCATCTTGCTGCCGAGTATTTTCTTATTCGGTTTCGAGTCGCGAGAATAGGGGCGCTTTCGGAGTGTGTCGGAGCCTGAACGTGAGAATCCATCCGACTCCGCTGCAGGCCTGCCGCGAACGACTCTAGACCAACTTCCAAGTACTAACGGAAACTACTGGGAGTTGCTACAGGTTCAAACTTGAACCACCTTCTGTGCTCTGTCGCTGTTCTATCTGAATCCTCCCTGAAAGACATGCTCGCCCATCATCATGAGACCTGGATGACACAGTGAACAATTGTTCGGTCCGATGGCTTCGCTGCTATCTACTCTCGCTAGTGTCATACAGGCTACAGCCTACTCGAGTCTATCTTATACTCGATGTGTGCGCATTTGTCAATTGTCAGCAATCCTGATGACGAGTATGTGAAAGCGTCGGGTGTTAACATTCTCCGGTCCGAGAACCTGTCTAATTGCAGGTATGTCAGTTCACGTCCTGCGTTTCCTGATTGCACTGATAGTCGTATGCAACACAAGCGCAAGCTTAGAGTTCATTCGGGAGCGAGCGCGCATTTTGATATCGAAGTTCCGTCCGAAGAAAGACTCTGTCTACTTTTCTTGGCTCATCCTACGGCGCACGAGCAATGTATGAATACTGTTACCCCCGATGCACATGCTGAGTCGAACCGCGAGTTGAAACACAGCCCATGAGCGCATACCATGCCTGTCAGGAGTTCTGGAAATCTATCCAGAAGGTTCTGCCATGAGGTATCACGTAAACGACTCAAACTCTGTGGTCACGATGCTGTGCAGTGGACGTTGATAACAGACATCCTTTTTCAAGGTGCACGATCTCTCTTGTCATTTTGGACTCACCGCGTAGAGATCGCGTATAATTGAAGACGCTCCAGTTGTTCTGATCGTCGACGTCGTCGCCAGTGGGTGTCACTCGGCTCGACTGGTCATCAAGAAAAATTCCTCCACACAACCGGACGTATCTTGTCATCTTAAGACGCCTGTCAACTCGGCTGGACAGCGCGCACGTATAAAGTTCAGGACCTCTCAAGCGCAATCACCGACCACCCTTCGTCAAACGATTGTCCACTATGTCCTGGTTACCTCTGAGTCGGATGACTCGGCATATTTTGTGTCTTATACCTGTTACGCTTGCAGTCAGTGCTCTGGCAGTACAGGAACATTTTTCTATGGGAACGCTTCGCACGGACAACCACACCATACTACCGCATCCGTCAGACGTGTGGTCGCAGGAAGCGTGGAATGGACTCACCACCTTCGCGGGTGCGCAACCGTTGCGTTGTTTTGGCGCCGATGTCGGTGTACAGTACGATGTTGCCGTAATCGGTACGATGGTTGATGTATTGATGACTCCGAGGATATCAGTGTACTCACATTCGTGTGACGCACTGTAGGTGCGCCTTTTGACACAGCTACGACTTACCGATCTGGGTGGATTCATATGTGCTCTCTCAATCGGGAGACTGGTACTCATCCTCATTTTCTAGGACTCGCTTTGGTCCGAATGGCATCCGGCAAGGCGCTCGGCGTCTTGGAATATCGAGGATCAACGTTCCGATGAAGGTCCGCATCACTGACCACCTAGAAGTGGTGGACTGCGGCGACGTTCGTGTGTACTCCGGGCCGTCACATTTCATCGCATATGTCTGATGGAACGCACAGCGATGGTATTTATCGATAATAAAGTTGCCCTGCGCCAACTGGAATCAGCCACCGCAGAGCTGCTCTCGAAGACAAGCCTGCGTACGTATGAAGGCGATAGTTTAGCAAAAGACGGCAAGTTCCACCCCAGGCTGCTGACTCTGGTGGGAGGCAATATACGCGTTGTGTGCGTGGTATGTGCGATTCTGACGCCATTGTAGGGTGGTGACCACACTATAACACTATCCTTATTACGGGGTTTGGCGAAAGTGTATGGACCGCTTAGGTATCCCACCCTGTCGCCATGTATCGAGAGGAAGTCGCTGATATCAAGCTAGCGTCGTCCATTTCGACAGTCATATCGGTAAGCAGATGCAATGTCTCAGGGCATGTGTTATCTCACCGTCATTGGACATTGGACACTAGATACTTGGAAGCCGACTCGTGCGGTCAGTGGCTTGATCTGTATATCGTATCTAGACGCATAGCTTGATGCCTTTGCACAGCCGGATAGCCCTTGGTTGCCTGATGAGGTGCTTTTTGTCATTGGCTTCCCGGTGGATGCAACTCATCTTCAACAGGAACTACCAGTCACGCACGACAATTACTTCTGGCACGCGCACGAAGAAGGATTGCTCGCGCCGAACCATTCAAATATCGTAAGCTCTCTATCTTTGACCCATGCATGCGCTTCATTTGCATGGCATCTTTAGCATGTTGGAATCCATGGCGCGTTGGATAGTTGGCAAGACTACGACGATGACTACGAGGCGGGCTTCGTGATTATCCAAGCTGAAGAGATCGAAGATGTAGGCTACCAAGGAATAGTCGACAAGGTTCGACAAGCCGTGGGAGATAATCCTGTATACAGTATGTCTTTTCATGTCGTCATCCTAATCACAACAGATACTCAGAGCGCGGGACAAGTATCATTTGATATAGACGTGATTGATCTGGGCATGGCACCTGCGTGCGTTCTCTGTGGTTTATTGATTTGTGGACACACGGAACTCACATTTTGTACCATATGTAGCACCGGAACGTTCGTGTGTGCCATCGTCTTCGGTTTCTGATGATCTGACACGTAATACAGGCCTGAGATTGGAGGATTCACTACTAGAGTACGTGGCTATGCTTATGCCTTTACGCGTTTGAAAGTGATGGCTTTGTGCTTCCACAGGAAGTCAGGAAGATTCTGAAAGGCCTTAGCGGTCTCAAGATCGTAGGGGCTGACATCGTAGAGGTTGCGCCAGGTGCGTTTCCCTTGACACATGCATCAACACCAGTATAATCTAAAGTTGTCTCTTATACCAAAGGCTATGACACACAAGGTAGGTGCCATGGAGTTCCTGGTCAAGATGCGCACTGAAGAGTACATACAGCGGAGATCACACAGATTGCTGCAGGCAACATCGGATGGGACCTCCTCGCTCTGATGGCGAAGACACCCCTAGTACGAGGCTGAAGCTAGATAGCTGGGGTAGCTATACAACACGTGTAACTCGGCTGTGTCGATCGAGGCCGCCTTGCTCTCGTTCTCAGCGCGGGCGTCTAGCCGATGACGTCACGCTTTGCGTCTAAAAACGGCATGTACGCCTTGATCAGATACTTCGATACGACATACGGTGCGTTGTTCGGTGCAAAAGTTCGCCTATAACAGCAGACTCTAAGGCAAAGCGACTTCTCCGTATCCTACTCCGTATCCTCCCCCATCCCTTTGAGTGTCTGTCCTGTCGGCGTGTGCTATTCGGAACCACTTCGCCGGGGATTGAGTAAAACACGACAATGTGAGATTAGCTTTTTCATGACACGCTCAGTTCCCCAGCACATCATGATCTCTGGTGGTGATAGCATTTTTCGCAGCCGGAAGGTTTACAGTATTGTTTCTACGTTCTTCCTCCCTCACCCAGTGCCTGAAATGCGGCCATGGCATGGGGCATTCGTTCGGATTTACGTACATGCGAATGATGCGCGTGTTGTCGACTCGACAAGTCGCCTGCAACTCTGGAGCCTTGCAGCTTACGGCTGTCAGACAGCGTGTCAAGTTTCTGACGCCTCGGACCTTTTTGCCCCAGCCCCAGCAGTCAGCTTACATAAGCCGTAAAGGTTGGGGAAGACCGGCAGCGAAGCGTTTTAACCAGAGACTGCCGCTCCCAATCTGCCCCCATACCCTCGGACAGCTGTGCTCTCGGCCATGGCATCCTACGATCATTCAAGAGTAACGCAGTTTATCGGTAAGTCTGGCGCGATTCCGGCTTGGAACGCGACCACATGACTGACGCGACATAGGCGGTAATACCCTCGACAAGGCACCGTCTGGATCTGTAACCGACTTCGTCAAAAGCCATGGCGGTCACACTGTCATCACGAAGGTCAGCTTCACTTGAGGTCCTCGAAATTGATACCATATTGACGCTCGCCTTCAGGTTCTCATTGCAAACAACGGTCGGTTTAATAGCATGCATACAGCCCCTGTGCTGACATCGCCGTACAGGTATCGCTGCCGTTAAAGAAATTCGTTCAATTCGGCAATGGAGCTACGAGACCTTTGGGACGGAGCGTGCAGTCGAGTTCACCGTCATGGCGACGCCAGAAGATCTGAAGGTCAACGCAGAGTACATCCGCATGGCCGATCGGTACGTCGAGGTCCCTGGCGGGTCCAACAACAACAACTACGCCAACGTCGACCTGATCGTCGACGTCGCTGAGCGCTCCGGGGTACATGCCGTCTGGGCGGGCTGGGGACATGCGTCGGAGAACCCACGTCTGCCCGAGTCGTTGGCTGCGAACAGGATTGTCTTCATTGGTCCTCCAGGTAGTGCTATGCGCAGCTTGGGCGACAAAATCTCCAGCACGATCGTTGCGCAGAGCGCGAATGTGCCAACGATGGCGTGGTCCGGGTCCGGGATCTCAGAGACAGCGAAATCGGAGCAGGGCTTCGTGATTGTGCCAGACGAGGTGTACAAGAAGGCATGCGTGACGACCGTAGAGGAAGGTCTGACGAAGGCGGAGGAGATTGGTTTCCCTGTGATGATCAAGGCTAGCGAAGGTGGAGGCGGGAAGGGTATTCGGAAAGTGGATGCTCCGGAACAGTTCACGAATGCGTTCAATGCAGTTGGGGGCGAGATTCCAGGTGCGTGTATATGTCGGTGTTGTCTGTCCTCCCTTGATGTCGTTGCCAGGTTCCCCTATCTTCATCATGAAGCTCGCTGGTCAGGCCCGTCACCTCGAAGTGCAGTTGTTGGCCGATCAATATGGCAATGCTATCTCTCTGTTTGGCCGTGACTGCTCGGTACAGCGGCGGCACCAGAAGATTATTGAGGAAGCGCCTGTAACCATCGCAAAGCAGGATACGTTCGAGCAGATGGAACGTGCCGCGGTACGACTTGCGAAGCTCGTCGGGTACGTAAGTGCAGGAACAGTAGAATGTGAGAAATCTAGTCTTTGCGGAGGTGACGATAGCTGATTGCCTATATCAGACCTCTACAGCCATGCCGATGACGTGTTCCACTTTTTGGAGCTGAACCCGCGTCTTCAGGTCGAGCACCCAACGACAGAGATGGTCTCTGGCGTCAACCTGCCTGCCGCCCAACTCCAGGTCGCCATGGGCATTCCCCTGCATCGTATCAGACACATCCGGCAGCTCTATGGCGTTGCGCCCAACGGCACCTCTGAGATTGACTTCGATATGGTCGACCCCGATGCAAGCAGTTTGCAGCGCAAGCCCCGCCCCAAGGGGCATGTAGTTGCTGTCCGGATCACAGCCGAGAACCCCGATGCAGGGTTCAAGCCGTCCTCGGGTTCGCTGCAGGAGCTCAATTTCCGTTCGAGCACGAACGTATGGGGCTACTTCTCCGTGGGCTCTGCCGGTGGACTGCACGAGTTCGCAGACTCGCAATTCGGACACATATTCGCGTACGGAGAGGACCGTGGCGAGAGCAGGAAGAATATGGTGGTCGCGCTGAAGGAGCTGAGCATCCGTGGTGACTTCCGCACGACGGTTGAGTACCTGATCAAGCTCCTCGAGTTGCAAGCATTCGAGGAGAACACTATCACGACTGGCTGGCTCGATTCCCTCATCAGTGACAAGCTGACTGCCGAGCGACCAGACGCAACGCTCGCCGTCATCTGTGGTGCCGTCACGAAAGCACACCTGGCATCGGAAGCATCCTGGGCGGAGTACAAGCGCATTCTGGACAAGGGCCAGGCCCCGTCGCGGGACGTGCTGAAGACCGTCTTTGGCATCGACTTTATTTACGATAATGTTCGTTACTCGTTCACCGCTACGCGCTCGTCTTTGACCACCTGGACACTCTACCTGAATGGCGGTCGCACTCTCGTGGGGGCGCGTCCTCTTGCGGATGGAGGTCTGCTCGTGCTGCTTGACGGCAAGAGCCACTCCGTCTACTGGAGAGAGGAAGTTGGCGCGCTGCGTGTGATGGTTGACTCGAAGACATGTCTGATTGAGCAGGAGAACGACCCCACACAGCTGCGCAGCCCGAGCCCGGGCAAGCTCGTTCGTTTCCTCGTAGAAAGCGGAGATCACATCAACGCGGGAGAGCAGTACGCCGAAATTGAGGTAAGCGTTACGATGCGGATAGGTGGGATATGTATACTAATATATCTCTAGGTCATGAAGATGTACATGCCTCTCGTCGCTGCGGAAGACGGTATCGTGCAATTCGTCAAGCAGCCGGGCGTCAGCCTGGAGCCTGGCGACATCCTTGGTATCCTCGCACTCGACGACCCCGCCCGCGTGAAGCACGCGAAGCCTTTCGAGGGGCTGTTACCGGCTATGGGCCCGCCGAGCGTTATCGGGAACAAGCCTCACCAGCGCATGTTGTACTACCTCAGCATCCTCAACGATACTCTTGACGGCTTCGACAACCAGGCCATCATCGCTTCCACGTTCAAGGACCTGATCTCCGTACTGGAAACTCATGAGTTGCCATTCTCAGAGGTGTCGGCGATCTTGTCGGCGCTCTCCGGCCGTATGCCGGCCAAGCTCGAGGAGAGCGTCCGCTCCACCATCGAGTCTGCACGAGGCAAGGCAGCGTCGACGCCTGAATTCCCTGCTGCGCGCATCAAGAAGCTCCTTGAGCACTTCATGGAAGACAACGTCCGCCCGCAGGACAGGCCGATGTTGAGGACGCAGCTCGGGGCCTTGTTCGATGCCGTCACCCGCTATGCAAACGGCCTCAAGGCGCATGAGGTTGAGGTCATCGCTAGCCTGCTGGCTCGGTACGAACAGACGGAGAGCCTCTTCGGAGGGAGCATCGAAGCACGCGTGCTCAGCCTGCGCGATCAGTACAAGGAAGACCTCGATAAAGCTGCGTCTCTCGTACTGAGCCATATGATGGCGCAGAGGAAGGGCAGACTTGTCATGATGATCCTGGATCACGTCAAGAACAGCGGCGCCACGGTGTCGGATCCCGAAAGCAAGCTGTACCAGGTCTTGCAAGGACTCGCGTCGCTGGAAGCCCGGTATGTCCTGGCCATCACATCAGGAATTTCATCCTCATGACAGATTTGTTCAGGTCGTCTACTCATGTGGCGCTGAAGGCTCGTGAGGTGCTCATTGCATGTCAGATGCCCTCGTATGAGGAGCGTAAGGGGCAGATGATGGGTGTTCTCAGGTCTTCCGTCTCGCACAGCTTTTACGTCGAGCAGGAAGCCCAGGGAAGGTGAGTGTTGCAACCCACCCATTGCAGTGCACATCAATTTACGGCGATTCAAGTGTTCCTTCAATCGAGGTGATCAAGGAGCTAATCGATTCCCGGTATACCGTCTATGACGTATTACCGACGTTCTTCAACTTCCACGATAAATCGATCACGTTCGGTGAGAGTTATTTTCGCCACCAGTCTCCAGCTTACTGACGGAGCTTTATAGCTGCAATGGAGGTGTACATCAGGCGTGCATATCGTGCATACAGTCTGCTATCTGTTGACTACGCGGAAGGCGACGGTCTCGATGACGGCGACGCCCCACACATCGTGACATGGCGTTTCAACCTCCCCCAGTCTCATTCACCACCTGCGACGCCTAGCCTGTAAGTTTATCAAGTCTGGAGGGAGACATTGAGGTTGACGTCCATCTAGCAGCAGTAACAACGCCGCCCGCCGACAGGGATCCGTGAGCGACCTCACATACATGATCAACAAACACCAGAAGCAGCCGTTGCGAACCGGTGCTATTGCCTCATTCCCGAACTTGGCCGCACTGTCTCGCGGATTCGACAGAGTCGCGGCTACCCTGCCTGCCTTCGACGCTGAAGAGTTTACTCAACGTTACGGATCCAACAACCAGCCACCAAACGTGCTCAATTTGGCGCTGCGTATATTCGACGAAGTGGATGACATGACGGAGGATGTCTGGTACCAGAAGATTCATCAATTAGTCAACGAGCGCAGTGGCGTCCTTGCTCAGCGTGGTGTCCGTCGGATTTCCATCATGCTCTGCAAGCCAGGCCTATACCCACAGTACTTTACTCTGCGCAACATGGGCCAGTCCTGGGACGAAGAACAGGCCATCCGAAACATCGAGCCTGCCCTCGCATATCAGCTGGAGTTGAGCCGGCTGTCACACTATCACCTCACTCCATGCTTCACCGAGAACAAGCAGCTCCACATCTATCACGCTGTAGCTCACGAGAACCAACTGGATAGCAGGTTCTTCATTCGTGCTCTTGTGAGACCCGGGCGTATCAGGGGCGAGATGAACACGGCGAAATACCTCATTTCGGAGACGGATCGCCTTGTCACGAGCATCTTGGATAATCTGGAGGTGGTATCCGCTCAGCACAGGAACGCCGACGTGAATCACATCTTCATGAACTTCATCTACAACCTTCCCGTTACGTACGATGACGTTCTGCAAGCCATCGCAGGCTTCATCGAGCGACACGGCAAACGCCTCTGGCGACTCCATGTAACCAGTTCGGAAATTCGCATTGTTCTCGAAGATAGCGAAGGCAACGTTACTCCTATCCGCTGCATCATAGAGAACGTTTCAGGATTCATCGTCAACTATCACGGCTACCAGGAGATCACCACCGACAAGGGTACCACTATCCTGAAGTCAATCGGCGACAAGGGCCCTCTCCACCTGCAGCCGGTACACCAGCCTTACCCAACGAAAGAATCCTTGCAGCCAAAGCGATACCAGGCTCACCTCATCGGTACCACTTACGTGTACGACTTCCCTGACCTCTTCTCCAAGGCTCTGAGCAACGTCTGGGTCAAGGCTCGCGCTATCAACTCCTCTTTGTCGTTGCCGAAGAAGATTCTCGAGTCTAGGGAATTAGTCCTTGACGAGAACGACCAGCTCCAGGAAGTCGATAGGGCTCCTGGCAACAACAACTGCGGTATGGTGGGATGGGTGTTCACGATGCGTACTCCCGAATGCCCTGATGGGCGACGTGCAGTTGTCATTGCGAACGACATCACGTTTAAGATAGGATCTTTCGGTCCTCAGGAAGACCAGTTCTTCTACCTAGCCTCGCGGTACGCGCGAGAGCAGGGTCTTCCCCGTATCTACCTCTCAGCGAACTCGGGCGCTCGCATTGGTCTTGCTGAGGAGGTCTTGGGCCTTTTCTCGTGTGCGTGGAACGACCCTGGGAACCCCGAGAAAGGTGTCGAGTACCTATATCTCACACACGAGAACTACCTCAAGCTGCAAGAGAAGGCCGCTAACACTGTGCGTACTGTCGACATCGAAGAGGACGGAGAAGTGCGTCACAAGATCACGGACATCATTGGTCTGCAGGACGGTCTTGGTGTGGAGTGTCTCAAAGGCTCGGGTCTCATCGCTGGTGAGACGTCCCGCGCGTACGACGACATCTTCACGATCACGCTCGTCACCGCGCGTTCCGTCGGAATCGGCGCCTACCTCGTTCGTCTCGGTGAACGTGCGGTTCAAGTGGAAGGCCAACCCATCATTCTCACCGGTGCACCCGCACTCAACAAGGTCCTCGGGCGTGAAGTCTACACGTCCAACCTGCAGCTCGGTGGTACCCAAATTATGTACAAGAATGGTGTCTCTCACCTCACTGCCGGCAGCGACCTTGAGGGTGCAACGCACATCCTCGAGTGGCTGTCATACGTACCTGAAGTTAAGGGCGCGCGGCTCCCTATTCTGGATCTTGCTGACCCTTGGGACCGCGACATCAGCTACAGTCCGCCGAAGGGACCGTACGATCCCAGATGGTTCATTGAGGGCAAGGCAGATGAGACTACGTCGGAGTGGATGTCCGGATTCTTTGACAAGAGCTCGTTCCAAGAAACACTTAGTGGCTGGGCGCAGACCGTTGTCATCGGCCGTGCACGACTCGGAGGGATTCCTATGGGCGTCATTGCCGTCGAGACACGCACGATCGAGCGTGTCGTTCCCGCCGATCCTGCGAACCCGACTTCGTTCGAGCAACGTATCATGGAAGCAGGGCAGGTGTGGTATCCAAATTCAGCGTACAAGACCGCGCAGGCTATTTTCGACTTCAACCGGGAAGGTCTACCACTTATCATCTTCGCGAATTGGCGAGGGTTCTCCGGTGGGCAGCAGGATATGTACGATGAAATTCTCAAGCAGGGAAGCAAAATTGTCGACGGTCTATCGAGCTACCGCCAGCCAGTGTTTGTGTACATCGTGCCGAATGGCGAACTGCGTGGCGGAGCGTGGGTCGTACTCGATCCGTCAATCAACTCCCAGCAGATGGAAATGTACGCGGATGTCGATGCACGAGCGGGTGTACTGGAGCCGGAGGGTATTGTCGAGATCAAGATGCGTCGTGACAAGATCCTCAAGTTGATGGAGCGTCTTGATGCGACGTATGCCGAGCTGAAGAGAGATAGCACGGACCCGTCGAAGACTGCAGACGAGCGCGCTGCGGCAGCGGAGGCATTATCACAGAAGGAGACACTTCTCATGCCGACGTACAAGCAGATTGCGCTGCTATATGCTGACCTGCATGAGTGAGTACTTCATACATCACAATTACTTCGTGGTACTGATGAGCATTATCAGCCGAGTCGGCCGCATGGAAGCTAAGGGCTGCGCGTCACCCATGGTCTGGAAGGACGCCCGTCGACGCTTCTACTGGTCTGTACGCGCGAAGGTCGCATGGTCGAGCGCCATGGCTCAGCTTGCGGAAGCTAGCCCTGATTCGTCTATCGAGTACCGCACACAGTTGCTCCAAAGGCTAATAGGGCTGGAGGATGTGACGGACCGCCGTACGACCGCTGAAGCGCTCGAAGCATTGGATCTGACAGCGACTGTTGCTCAGCTGAGAGCTGATCATCTCATGCGTCGCGTGTTAACACTCGCACACGAAGACCGCAAAGCCACCCTCGACGGGTTGGTACGGCTGGTGGACAACCTAGCGGACGATGAAAAGGCGACGCTGATTAGTGCGCTACAGAATTCGGGGCGGTCACCTGGTGAGTGTGGTGGTTACGTTTTGTCATCACCAACGATCTGACCGATGTTGGTAGGCCCGCCGTCGTATTCGAATGTCACTGCATCTACATAGATACGATCTAATGCCCCCTGAATGACATGTGCTGTTGGATTACCGTGTAGCGTATACTCATTAGTGTAGTGTTTTCTTGTTTGCGAAACGTTTTACTTGCATTGTCTGCTCTCGTTAGAACTACCAAAGATATTGTTTTCTTATCATTTGCGATACTTATGAGTATCATGTTTGCTATTACAAACAGACGCTCCTCACTTATTGGGAGAATCGGATACGACGCCCTGGTAAGCCCAGATTCTGATCCCGTAAGGCGGTCTCGTACCCATCTGTCTAGGTCCTATACTCACCACTGCGGAAAAGACGGTCTGGGATTTAGATGTGTGGGTGCGACTCCATGAGACAAAAGATAGCTAGCATAAATTCCCACTGTTTGTTCTAAATGACCTAATCGACGCCCCACAAGGGTGACAACATATTCCTGGGTACATGGAGAATGTACTCGCTGCCACCAGAAGGAAACTTCGCGGACGCGGCCAGCAGCGTTCTGTACCGCTGCCTATTGAGAACTGAAGGGGCTGATCTTTCTCTCGCAGGGAAACACGCCTAGTCGCGCAGAGATTCGAGAGATCCAGGCTCTTTCCCACCGTCTTCGTTCGGACTTCATACGAGGGCGGTATTCATGCTGCGAGAGATCATGATGCTGATGTATGAGCTGTCTTAGTGAGACCAAGACTTCTTTGTCAATCAACGATGCAATCGAATCCGGCTGGGCAGGCACGGCCGCGGTGGTTGTGGCGCGAAACGGCAGAATCCTCTGAATGATACTAATCGAGTTCGAATGGCCCCGGTTTGCGTCAGTCTTCGCGTGCAGTCTGAACGCGCGGCGGGGACTGCTGCACCTCGCGATTCCGAAGCTCGATCGTTGACGCGCACGACGCGCCGCGGGGTGTGAGGCAGCGCGGCGGCGCGTGTGGGGATGACGATACGAGGGCGGGACGTGGGCATGACGCGGAGGCGCACCTGGCACTGGGACACGGAGCATAGCGGTGTCTCGGCACCTACATAGGGGTGACACGCCCCGACTGCCAGACAGGTGTTGTGAGTCGCGGCAGCCACACACAGTAAGCGATTCACGTCAACGTTGACCGTTGAACGTTGAGGTCTCGACATTGGTCTGGGTACGGTCGCGCTCGGTCGACGGTCTACGCCGCGGTTGAGCTTTGTTTCAGTCGTGGAGCCGTTGACAGACGTGTGTATGACGAGTGAGTGTCTGTGCGCGGGATGAAGATGGGTACGTCGTCGCTTACCGGTACCGACTATGACGGCGAGAGGACGGGGAGATTGTAGCAAGTGTCTACCTTACGATCCTCGTCGGGCAGCCCATGCCATCTGCACCGCTGCCGGCCCCCCTGTCGTAAGCTTCTGCTCCATCTTGCCACAAGGCACAATCTAGTACGAGAGGTCATACCACTCATCTCAGGGATACTCACTTCACACGACGGCCAATGGCCGTAGCCACACACAACGAGATCGGGTTCATCGCATTCGCACAAGACAGCATCGAGCACAACATGTATCCACGGGTAGCTCCACCCTGACCGGCACGTACGCATTCAAGACCCATCCTGAGACGCATTTTCAGGCGGCGCCTCCCCGGGGGGACGGTGCACGACCTGGTGCGCGTGCGTCCAGCGCAGCTTTGGGTCGTCCTTGTCCACGCCCGTCACAAACGCGTCCCTCACCAGCGCGAAGCGCTTCGCCAGCGCCGTGCCCCAGAACACGGCAATGCGCGCCATGACCGTCGCATAGTGCCACGCACCAAGCGGGCTGGAAACGTCGAACGACATCATATGACGTTCGAATATCCGGACAACCTGCGAAAGCGTCAGTACCTCCCAAAGCACGCAACGCTGGAACACACCCCGTCCTTGGCCCAGGTGACGGCGAGGACTGTTAGGGGACCGTCGGAGAGCACGCTGAAGATAGGGAACTCATCGATGCCGATCGCCTCCAAGAACCGTGCAGCGGAAACACAGTATATACGACGCTGATTTTGCCCCTGGATGTCGTCGGTGTGAGTGTCCGAAGGTCGCTTGTACTCGACAATGATCAAGGGAAGGTCCAAGTATTCTGTATTGGACACATCACCCGTAGCATGCGATGTCGTGCAAGGCGGATCTTCCAACCGCAGCTGGTCGAATCCTTCGACTAGGTTGACGTCGGCCTGTGCAGGTTTTGCCCGACCACTCTGCTGGGCTTGTTGATAGACAGCACGAGAGTCACAGATGGCAGAGTCGAGTTGACTGTAGTCTAGGGCGGATGGGGAGGCTGCTGAATTGAATGTAGAGGATGCTGAATCGGCTGTAGAGGCTGTCGATGATGTGGATGAATCATTGACCGCGGTGTCTGACTGATCCCAATTTATCGAGGCCGGTCGCTTGCTCCCGCCGCTACGGGGCCTTACGAAATGGTAGGGCTTGAGAGCGGCCTTCGATAGGTTGACTGGCATGCGTACAACACCTATGGCATCGCACCTGGCAGTGGTAGGGCTAAAAGCCAGTCGGTGTTTGATTTCCGGAAGCGTTAGAGTATTTTGCCATGTCGTGCAGAGAGTAAGGAGATTGCAGTATAGTGCTGCTTCCGCTAATTTCACTTCACCGGTGGAGTGTTGTGGGAAAAGCTCCAGCTTGGGACCGAGATGGGCAATAGTTAACATGAACCTTGCTAAGTCTGTCAGGTTGCCGCTTGCAATGATGTTTCGAGAGAGTGCGATTGTGCGCTCCAAACTTAGGATAATGTCTGTTGTCAGATTAAATGTCTGATGTACGAACATATGACTTACGAGACGTGTACCTGATCTTGCTTCACCTCAGTACCGTCGAACTGCTCTGCTGTATCGATGACAGCATTACCAAAATCGAAAAAGAACCGATCGAGATCGTGGCGCCAACTGGCTTCACCGAGTGGTGTGCCAACTTCAACTTTACTTCGCGATCGTGAACAAGTATTGAGGATTGTCGACAAGCTACCGGTGAGCAATCGGTCCACTTGGCCCCAAAGCACCGACTCCGCAAATTCTTCGTTGAACAAACATAGCACATCTTTGGCGCTGAAGGGCTGGTCCCTGCCCGTATAGAGTTTCTTCACAAGCAGGCTGTCAAGGGTGGGCATCTTCATTTCTTGACGGAAAGTCACTATCCATTTGAGCTCTTCAAGAAAATGTGCCACATTTGCATCAACTGCAGGCATGTTGTTCTAAACCTCTATTGAGCCGTTGTCCCAAGCAGAAATCAGGGTTAGTACGTACCATCAAGCACCATCCCCTAGGCCAATAAAATGCTGTTGTAAATTCACATATGTCGGCCATCATGGCGTCCGACAGACGTGACACGGGGAATGTCTTTCGATCGCATAACCAGCTTGTAGCATTGCTTAGCAGTGGCTTTGAATCCCGCTCACAAAAGCTGGCCGTTCTGTCTTAGTTTACGGGTACGGCGGCCTTAGGAGCTAACATTACGTACATTGAACACTGCTCCGACTTTTCATGAACATCATATAACAGCGAGTCATCGTCACCAGTCCTATTGATCAGTTAACAACAACAGGAGCCCATGATTTGGACTCTCACGGCTTCCGGAAAACCATCCTTCATGTATGCCAGAGTATAGAACACTTACATGCCAGTTGTGTGTGGTGACAGCGGTGCCAATGTCGTCAAAGGTGGTTCCTTGCTAGACCACCGGCATGCAGACAATGCAGAAACGGATGGGCTTATCAACGCAAAACAAAGACAATTTAAGCAGCTTACCTAGACAGTTCGGAGTCCTCAAGGCTGCAAAGCCAGGCGGAGACGGAATCCTCAGGGTCTCCAGTTGAGTCCTCGACAGCAATTGCCGAGTCGATCCTCCACTGTACAAGAGGTTGCTGCCGGAGTTCATCTGCCACTACTGTTTGCGACGAGGCAACTTCGTTTTGAATGTTGGCAATGTGGTCATCTAGACTGAGGAGAAACTGTGCTACAGTCAGCACGCTCTCAGGATTCGCAAGGTCAATCTCTGGTAGATGAGCCATGTGCGCTATATGCACATGAGGCTACCATAGGCGGGGTTAGACACATCCCATAATCGCGTACACAATCACATTCTCACCAATTGTCGGCCATCGACGAGCTCTGCTTCAATCCACCCCAAACAAAATGAGATGCAGCTACTATACCGCTCGGATGAGATGCCTATCAACGGCTCCCGAACATGCCAGAGCTGTCGCTGATACAGCGCACTGGCCATGATGATGGGAAGCGTGGCATCATCAGCCATGCACAAAACGGGCATCGCGGCATTGACAGGAAGGGGCTTGTCTCGTGGATAGTCGAACACATGCAAATCTAGTTCAGCAAGGCACCGCTGGTCCTCGTTGATTGCGTCGTCTTCAGACTCTTGCTCATAGACCACCTCCTTCACCGAAGGACATCTGAGCCATTCCGACGCCGAGATAGAACGGCCCGAAACAATATAGACCGGCAGAGAATCAGAATGTTGTGGTGTCTGTATCACCACTGAATTTCTAGGAGAGCTACCACGGCGAGGTGAACACGCGGTGCTCTTTCGAACATCCTCGTCATCGCTATCCGTACTTCTAGTCGAGACAGACTCGCCATCTTGATCCTCGTCTTGTGGGACAAGCATTGATGGATCCAGGGGGACCTCTGCAGCAATAGACACAAGCAGGGGAGCGCAGACGCTGGTGCTCATATAGTGGAATAGAGGACTCAGTTCGCCACTCCAGTGTCGAGGCAATGCAACCAGAGCTTCTTCGCTGCAGACGCTGTACAGTCAGTACTCGTGTATACACGTCGGAAGGTCATCAGCACGTACTCCACAAGAAGAGCTGGTCTGGTAATACATAGCGCATTCCGTACCAATATGCAAACAAATGATTCCTTAGGACTACAGATGCCATCCTCCTCATCGACCGAGACGACATGACGCAAGCTAGCGCAGTCGTCGAGAACGGCGTTGAAGATTCGCTTGAGGGGTGTTTCTGTCAACTTCTCGTCATTCTCGCCATCTCCGCTGGCCTGAGATCGATATGTCGTGCGAGACGGGCTCTGTAATTCCCGAACTATTGGTATCACTCGAGGATAGAGCCACGGATATGGTCCCTATTTCTCGTCAGTGGCGAGCGAGATCATATGTATAGTAACATACCTCCTTCACCCATTGAGGAAGTTCAAATGCATCTTCCAGAAGGTGAGCGTACTCCTTCACCTTCTGTGGAATTGGATTGGTGCCATTGACATCCCAAGTATTGTGGTGCACCACATCAGCATTGACCGCTCCCAGATAAGTGTCATACGGACTCATTGACCGAGTACAGTAAGCAAAGGGGACAACACACAGATTTGGTAATTTGCGGTATGACAAGAGGATCGAGCGCTAAGCATGAGTCGACGCGTCGCGCTCTGCTAACGCGATCAGACGACCGACCGCTTCCGCACTTGAAAAATGAAGGCTGCATTTTGTCCCGCAAAACTGCACAGACCAACATAACGAATCTACTTCAAAGTATGTATACCTCCAGATCCTGCGGGAAGACATCCCCTACTTCCTAATTGTTGACTGTACATTAGCAGTCAGCCTGAAATTCACAGCCCTGTCGCTTAAGGTCCGTTCTCTACGCTATTATCTCTCCTGGTTGGACATTGGTGAGGTTCCATCCAAATCCAGAGATAGCTATATTCGCGGATTTGACCCCCCGCCTCCCTGTCATCTGAAGTCAGCTCCACCGTAGCGTTCAGTATCTCTATAGTCCTGACGCCGCCTTGGCAAAATCTTGACGCAGTGTACGCCTTCAACACTGCTAAGTATCAAGCTAATATGGGATGTGAAACCATAATCTGAGGAGATAGTGGATGCTACGCTGGTGATGCAGTTAGCCATATTGGTTCGCACTTCCCCGAGCTCCGGGCTTCCTGAGCGACAATCAAATACAACCAATCGACCCGCATTTGGGCAAAATAAGTTTGATTCTACTTACTGATTTGACAAAGTTGGCAGAGACTGCGTGTGCTGTCCATCATATATTGTCAAGTGCACAGCATGCTATGTGTGAGAGAGATGTATTGACATGGGTCATACTGCATACGAATTTCTATGAAAGTAGCCGTACAAGGAAACATCTTCCCTAGGGGGGATATTAGACAAGCGACGTACTCTACCCATAAAGGTATGACGCCAGCCCGAAATTAAGCCTTGCAACACCGCCCATCCCGACGTTGCGAGGCAAAGTATACTGGTATCAACAAGATGGACATTCGGAACTGCCAAGTCAAGAGATCAATAGAGAACAAGAGATGATGCCAAAAGGATACGGTGTGGGCGAGCTTGCAAAACAGGGGACACAATATATAGCTACGAAACGACGGTTCCAGAATGAGGAAGCGCAAAGGGAAATAGAAGACACTAAAGGAGAGGCAGGGGTAGCGGTTATTCGCGTGCGACCCAGTCAGTACTTCGAGAGACCAGCTCGATGGAGTTGTCGATCGTCCAGAATAAGCGTTCAATCGCACTGCGGCCGCTCCAGCTCTTCTGGTCACGGAGGACCATTGCCTAAGACAGAAGGAGGGGCGATTAGCAAATCGGCCCTGGGACAAGGCCATGTTACATACCTGCTGAGCACCAAAGTTACGCTGATCATGAGCAAAGAAGTCGGGATTGTCGTCTAGCGCCTCCGACAGGATCTGCATATCTTGGAGGACCGCTTGGATAGCGCGTACAGCCGAGAGCGTGAGTATCTCCTTGCGGTTGCGCGCCGTACCACCTTGAGCATTAGGCGGCGGTAGCGACTGCGTGATGTTTTGAAGGACCGTATGCAATATACGACGGGTCTCGCTGAGCAGCTTCTGTGCTTGCGGGAGGTTCTTCCGCGACACAAGCACAAGGGCACGGGTAATCATGTCTGAAGCGAGCAGCTCCATCCTCCGGCGCACAATGACGGGATCGGATCCGTTGGCTGCTGGTGTGCGTGGTCGGCTACCGCTGTTGGGTAGAAGGGTGACAGTCAGGAGGACGGGGTGTGCCAACCGCGACACGTGTTTGGCGGCTGCAGGGTCGAAGAATGAACCGTCGACTTCGAAGACGGGGACCTCGTCGATCATACGGTCCATCATGCCATCTGCCAGATCTGGCAAGTCCGCTATGGACAATGAGTCGAGCCCCATGCGGCCCATAAACTGATCCGTTGCGTTGAGGGGCCGCTGCGCTTGATTGCTATTCTGGAGAGCAGCAATTGGCGATTGTATGACATCGCTGTTATCAAGTTCCAACTCGACAAGCATCTCCTTGCGTTCGCCATAGCGCAGCTCGCCAAGCTCGACGTCAACATCACGCCCGTCTGAGGATAGAATTGCCATCGGTCCGCCTGAGATCTTGCGGATGCGGAAACGCTGCCCGTCAACGATCTTCATGTGCAGCTTCATGTGTAGCAGGCCAATAGACATCATGCCACCGATACAGCCCGCAAGGCAGTCTCGAAGATCATACCAGTCCTTGACAAACGTGTATGTGCCGCTTGTGTGGTTTGACATTAGCCAGAGCGATGCGGGGTCGTGTGCGCGTCCGTAGCCGAACGAGTGGATTGGTACATTTGCAGCTTCCGTCCGCGCAAGGACGAGATCCATCTGAGCGCGCCGTGTCGTCTCAGCGGTATCGCTAACGAGGATCATTCCCGTCACGGGGTTCCGCGACTTGCGCTGCAAAACGACGTCCAGACCTGTCAATGCATATGAAGAGTCTGAGCTAAAAAGCCTGGAAGTGTATTCACGGGGACACATACCGTGATTGACCGCGGTCACTACATCCGTCTTGTCGTCTTGCGATCCTCGAACCAGGAACTCGTCCTCGAAGGGTGTGCCGTCCTCTCTCCGCCCGATCTCATCCACGAACTTCCGCAGTCTCGCCTTGCTCTGCGGCTTCCCGGGGGACAGGAACGGCGTCTTGCGGACCCTCCCACCGATGCCCACCTCGAACGTCACCAAACTCAGACGATCTTTCGGGCCGAGCGATGCGACGATGAAGTCGAGCGATGCGCGGATGACACGGACCTTGAGGGCCGCTGTGCTCGGCGTCGCCGTTGGCGACGGCACACTCACGACGAGGATGAGGTCCAGCGGCGGGTGCGGCAGCGGCGCAAGCGAGTTGCTCGGGCCTGCAGACATGTGCGGTGCGACGAGCGGCGTCGGCGAGCTATACCGGCTGAACTCCTCGTCTTCCTCGAGCGTACTGAGCTTGTGCTGGAGCGTGCGCGCGTGCGGGTATGCCGAGTGTGATTGCGAGGACGAAGAGCCGTAGGACGTGTGCGAGGAAGCCGTTGAGCGCGCGGAGCCGTTGAGCAGGAGGCTGTCCGTCGTGCTCACCGTTGTCCCGGTGCTGCCGCTGAGCATGCGCATCGCCTTCTGGCTCCCGCCGAATTCTTCGTGCAGCATCCGCGCAGCCTTCGCGCTCCCGCCGAACTCCTCTAGGTCTGGCCCGCCCACTGAACTTTGCCCCCCGGTTGAGTCGCGGCCTTGTGCGGCGGCGCTTTGCTGCTGGTACACCGCAACGAGCGCCTGGACGTGCGCCTTCCACGTCTCGAGCGACGGGCGGTCCTTGAAGATGAGGATGAACGAGTCGAGCCGCTCGTCCTCCATGTCAATCGTGAGGCTCAGCTCGCCTGCGACACTCGTGTCCGTGACTTGCTTGATGTGGCGAATGTAGATGCGGCCCTTCAGCCGCAGCACACCCTTCTGCTGTGCGTTCTGCCCGGGGCCCGGGCCCTCCCCGAACCCCGCCTGGCCAGACGCGGTCGACAACAGCCGGCCGAGCGTGCGCCGCTTTTCCTCGACGACGCAGATGATCGCCTCGCGGAAGAGGTACACGTAGAACTCGCGCACCATCGCGTCGCGCCGCACCGAGAGCAGGTCGTACATCTGCAGCGGCCCGAGCCCCGCGAGCGGGTGCCCTTTCCAGTCGATGATGCGCGCGCGCAGATCTTCGGTGATGGCGTTGAACGGCGACTCCTCGGGGGGAGGCGGCGGCGCGTGCGCGTGGTGGTGTGGCGGCGGGGACATGTCGTCCGCGGGCGAGAGGTGCCGCTCGTGGCTCGACACCGGCGACATGTGCTGTGACCCGGGCCCCGACTGGCGGTCGCTGGGGATGCCGCCGTGCCCAGACCCGGCATACTCCGGCATCGGGCTCGAGCGCACCGAGCGCGCGTCGGGCTGGTAGCCGCCGGCGCCCCGTTGTGGGTACGCGTCGGACATGTGCATGACCGAGCCCGGCACGTGCGAGCTGAGCCGCTTGCCCGGGAGCTCGATGACGACTATGCACGTCAGCGGCTGGCTGGACTCGCCCGTGCGCGTGATGCTCGCGAACTCGGAGCGGACCTGGATGGAGGGCGACACGATGTAGTGCGACTGGTCTGGCTGCGGCGCGCTCGCCTTTGCGTGGTGCTCGTGCTCGACGGGGTCGTCTTGCGTCGGGTCATATGGTTGTGGTGGCTGCCCGTGCGGCGAGCGCGGGTTGAAGGAGCGCACGGACGAGGGCGTGTCACGGCCGGGGAAGAGCGACGCGCCGTTGGGGTTGCCCATGCCTGTGAGCGCGGCGAGTTCTGTTGCGATCTGTCAAGTCGTATCCCACTACCCGAAGACGGAAGACATACTGTTTGATTTCCCCCCATCACCGTCGCCGACTTTCATTGGCCGCCGGCATACACCGCATACACCGAGGTTTGATTTGCGAATGACGTTGCCCGCCCTCGAGGGGGCGGGCGGTGGGCCGTATACGGCCGTAAAGCATGCCTACGCGACCGTTGACATTAGCACGTGCATGGTTGCGCGATAAGCATGAGGGCAAACGATACATCGGAGCCAAAAGGCTGTGCCGCTATAGCAATTGGGGATACAACGCGGGGATACAACGCGTTCCCAAGAATGACGTGCGACGGCCCGCCATGGAACACGACGGCAGACGCAAGCTCTATATATGCGCGAAGCAGGGAATATTGATGATCCCAGGGTGTCTGGGAACGCAGACAAGTCGTACATCCCCGCTGCCAAAAACAGTGCTCGGCATGTAACGCCATGCACGGTTTACAACAGCTTGGATGCGGTTCTATACCATTGCGGTAGACATCCCGACAACCACTGACAGGCCGTTGCCACGATTCTCAGCACAACAGGCAGGGACCAATCTGTCTGCTTGCCGTTCCTCACTGAGCGTGGGGCGGTTTGGGCAACAAAACAGTCGATGAATACGCTGCGTGCGCGACGAGCGCTATATGATGGCGGGGCGGCAGCGGGCTGTGCACGACTTTACGCATACCGCGACGTAATGTGCTCTGGTAGCATCACCATCGAGAGATGGAAACACCCAGGTATCTGTGCGAGGGCTGTGGGCCTACAGATGTAGGATCGACGGGGCCCGCGTACCTCGACATGGGCGATGGGTGCAGACGCGCGATCTGACGACCGCGGATGCTACAGCATGCAGATCGCTCGCAGTCACAGCCATATCGGCGGAGGAGTAAGGAGAACAAAGCAGACTATACGGAATGGGAAAAAAAAGCATGACGGGTTCGCTCACCTCATGCAACGCGTGCCCACACTCTGGAACGATATGCGGTTTCTCGCCAGGCAGCCTGAAGCTGAAGCTGAGGGGTTCGAGGCAGACGGGGCACTCATCTTCGTCGTCGGTCGCGTCATGGCTGGAAACGACGGGGAGGGGAGCGGCGACCATGACGGCGTACGGGTGGGAAAAGCGGGGGTCAGCGCTCGGGTAGGACGCGGGGTTGTGGGAGGATGAGGCGGCGGAGTGAGATGAGCGAAGAGAGTTGGAGGAGGGAACGCGGGAGGGCTGGCGTTGGAAAACGGAGCGGAAGGAGGCAGAGAACGTATTAGATTTGGGCAGGAGGGAGCGGGAGGAGAGTGCAGACGGCTCTCGAAGCTGATGACCACTCGACGTCTGATGCTGATGGCTGGCGGGGATACTCTGCGGGCTTGCAGTCTCGTTCCTGGGTGCCCAGCTAGAAGAATTGTCGCCCTTCATCGGCCAGCATTCGTCCAAGTTTCCAGCGCGTGAATAGCGTCTTGAGCAAAAAATCAGGTCGTTCGCAACCAAACTACAACAACCCCGCAGCCGAACGTCTCCCACCATCATACCGCCGCTACACTCTCCGCTCCAATGTCCTCCTTCTTCCCACCCTTTCCCCGCCATTCTCCCGCCCCCATTCTTCCCTCGCAGGTCACCCTGTACAGCGCACAAACACCCCCAGCATGAACAATGTCCCCGCTGCTCTATTCAACGCGTCGGCGGCCTTCAAACAACATTATCCGTCCCCGCACGTGGCCGCTCCAAAGACGCCCCTGAGAGCTCTCGATCGGATAAGGCAGTTGTGCGCCCCAGCCCAGGAACAAGAACATCTCCAGGTCCGCGACCCTCCCACCGCCTTCGTCTCCATGCGGCTCTGCGCCCGCTCACGCCTCGACAGCAAGCACGTCGCCGCAGACAACCTCGACGTCGCGCTGCTCGTCTTTCACGACACACGCGACGGCCAGCGCCCCCGTATTGCAAATGCTCAGTTCCTGTGGAACGTTGCCCAGGCGCGCTTCTCGGCCGTTCCTGCCTGCATGACCTCGAGCCAAGGCCCACGTATGCCAGCAGCTAGAACCCCCCGCTTCTCCAGAACGGGTCTCTCGCCCGTCTTGTCGGCCGGCGGCGACTTCAAGCGCGAGCTTCTCACAGGGCGGCCCGCTGCAGACTCCCAGGCCTCACATGTTCACGCGCAATGACAATCCGATAGCTTGAATATTGTATCATCGCGAGCTCTCCGCGTCCGCGCAGACCTATCTGAATCGCCGAGAGTTTTCTCGTATCACGCCACGACGAAGTGTTCGTGAGAGTTACTCATGACACGTCGCACATCGAGGCCGAACAGACATTCTATCATGTTGATGTTGATGCGACCGACGGCGCACTCACGTCCTCCCATGTCCAGGGGTTTTCTCTGATGGATCTGATCGCGTGAGGCCGCGAAGCTCATACTCCTAGTCTTCTAGCTCCTCCGGATGGGTACTTCGAAGAAATACAATTGAATGGAATCCACGAACTTCTGCGACGTGTCCGCAAGTAGTAGGCTGCCCTAGAGAGCACAGACGACCTTCGCAGTCAAACTCAATTTGATAAGTGGGTGAACATCAATCACGGAGCGTTCTCTCATGGTCCGGCCACTACCGTTTGAATCAGGTCTTTGATCGCATCGCACCCGGGCTATGTCATGGGATAACACGCCTTGGAAATCAAGCAAATAGCAAGGAGAACGCGGATGTCACATACCCGTGTCTTCCCGCGAAGTCAGACGTGCTCCTAGATCTGTTACTACCGCCGTCGCTTCACCGCCCATATCGCCAAGCCTCCTCAAGATCTTGACTTGTTCGACATCTCTACCTTTCAAACAAACCTAAGCATTACTCGCTCATCTTCACGCCAGGCACGCGCCGCAATGTCGCGCAGTTTCATCTCAGTTCGCGGATCATCATCTCAGACCTGTCCGCGCGATCATGATCGTTTGATCGTCTTTCATAGATCTCGCTCCATGGGCCTCCGAACCCGGCCTGCATGCTCCCATGCTGCGAAGTCTCAACATCTCCGCGTGCAGGCTAACTATGCCAGGCAAGTGATCGAACCCTGGACCAGCGCCATCGTTGCACCCCGCGAGCGTTAGGCACACAGAGGCACGTTCGCGAACTGCGTCTGACATGGCTCCGATCAGATCTTGCACATGTCGACACGTCTGCATTGGTTGCCGAGAGCATTCAGTGCTGTCATACACATCGCTTTGCCCCTTCGCCTCTCCAAGGCACCGTCGGAGGTGTTCCCTGTACACCGATTGCGCGACGTGGGTGAAGCGTCAGACATGACTTTTGTGACTGGCATACACATGCGTTCAGGTCACGATACTCAATGCACATACGCTCTAGCAATATATACATCCGGGTCCATATGTCGCTCGGCGCATGACGGCTGTCGCGATTGTCTCCACATTCTTTGATTGGCTGGCTATTTCTCGTGGAGTTCTCGCCTGGGATCTGACGTGGTCGTCAGCCAAGATGCGTCCATGTCTCAACCTGTCTGAACACAGTCGTCTTAGTGACATACGAGGACTAATTCGTCGCCGCAGTGCCCGGCGGAACGACACATACAGACTGCGCAAGGACAAAATCGCGTATGGGAATCATGAACTCTTGGCAACATCAGCGAGCACGGGAACTTGCATACAAACAAATTACTGGTCCTTAACCTGCTCCTCGAGCCATGCCCACAACCGCTCCCCAAGAGCATCATCATACGCTTCTGTCCTGCAACTGCCCACTCTGGCCCATGGTATCAAGAACTAAGTCCTCATCAGCAAAGTGTTTCACAGTATAGCACATAGGCCGAATGCTTACCTTGCCATTGTGATTGAGCGCTTCCGGCATGGTTCCCGCCCAAAGCTGCGTCAGCGCACCCATCGGCACAGGGTTCAGTATGAGCTTCCGCTTCGATATAGTCAATTTTAGATTTTCTATCATATCATCCTACGTGCGTCCTCACCATCACGTTGCGCTTTGTTCCCGGGACATAGCGTTGCAGCTCAGTATCGATACCACCTTCAGAGGTGTCATTTCACGTCAGTATCCTAACACATTCGTTTGGCCATGTTGTCGACTGACCAGGATTCAGGGATATAGAGATCACGCCTTTGTCCGCGTACCGCTTAGCAATTTGACGAGCCACGACCACATTTGCCTGTCCCGCGACATCCTGTCATCCGGGGAGGTCGCGCTGCACATCGTCTCGCACTCACGAATTTTGACTGGCTGTACAAGTTCTCCGTAGACACCTTCCTGCGCTCAGGACCGTCTTTGAACGCATCCCAGTTCAGCGTGTACAGGTACGCCGCAGAAGACGACGTCGTGATGATACGGGCATGGTGGTCTGGCGACGTCTCCTTACCGGCTAGCAAAGCTGGCATCAAGAGCTCGGTGAAGAAGAAGTGGCCTATGCGCAGACTGCGTGAGTACAGTATCTTGATCTGTCTTGCATGAAAAGCCTAGTCTTACCGACGACATTCGTCCCAAACTGCAAGTCATAGCCATTCGCGGTCAACTCGCCGACTGGACACCACATGACGCCTCTGTGCGAATCAATGTATCAATGTATGTCTTGTTTCTGTGACATATGGGACCTACGCATTGTTGAACAGGATGTGTAGTTCAGACTCCTTGCTAAGTGGGAGTCAGTAAAACAGTCGATTAAATCCAGGCGTGTGTAGCAACCTCATGAAGTCCTCGGCAGCTTTGCGTACCGCGGCGAGGTTGCTCAGGTCAAGCTCAAGGAACAATGCCTCCTTGCCGGTTTCTTCCTTCAGCTTTCGAATAGCGGCATCTGCCTTCTCTTGGCTGCGCGACGCCATGTACACCTTCGCATTGTGCTCCAACAAAGCCTGAGAAATGGTCAGTACCAGATATTAAAACAGAACCATGGCGCCGACCTTGATAGTTTCATAGCCTATTCCTACATTTCCACCTTCGCGATTCCCAAGACTCGTTCATAAGCTCACGATTCAGTGCTGAAATGTTCACTTGCTTACCTGTGACAATGGCAACCTTCCCAGATAAGTCCGGGATCTGGTCGGTGGTGAACTTGGACTTCGGCGGGAATAATTGAGCCACCACGGCGATGAGGTACTGAAGTTCTGCAAAGAAGCCAGCCATGACTATTCCGGGGACGTCGATGAAGGCGAGAAGTCGACGTTTGACAGCGGCAAACGTCCCGGAAGATCCTCTTTTGGTCGCGATGGTGATCCCATTCTTACATAAGATTGCGGGAAGTAGTACTACTGATCCCCTTTTGGACTGGACAACACACGTGTTTTACCCTTTGGCCGCGTGCATGGCTCTCGCAGGCGTTGTGTTTCAAGTCTGCAGTTGACTCGCCTCGTACATGCCACTTACTAGTGAGGAGACTATGTTTCTTCCCTTTTCAGGGATTTTTGAGTATTCGTCGTAGGCGCTGCACACCGCATGCATTATCTTTTAGAGTCCGATGCCGAGAATAAGTGGAGTCTACATGAAATGTGAAAGACATTGGTTGTAGTGTCGTGCGCACCGCAGTAATAGTCAGTCGCCAGCGCTGTAAGGAGGTTTTTGTGGAAATAGTCATCACAACTGTTTGATGCTGGCGGAAGATCTAGGCCACTCCCAGGGGTTCTATCGTCAGACACGAACATCCGGAGTCGGCGCAGGTCGAAGGGATCGTCTATTCTGCTCTCAGGATCCAGGCTGAAACGGCCAGTTTCGGGAGTAGATCAAATATGATTTCTCACGATCTAGGCGTGGGAATATTGCATACATTCGACGGATCCTGGAGATAACTGTCCCCTTACCAAATTTGAAGGATATCGGTACAAAGAATGACTAATTTTGGAGTGTCGTGGGGTGAAGGGAGCTGTTTAGAGATCGGAGCTCTGTCGGAGAGACTCGTTTAAGTGCTGGCGGGCGATGCCTTTGGACAACAGGCAACAAACACAAACAAGTCACCACAACACCTCGATTTAGTACACGGCGCTAAGTTCAGTACCTACACGTACACCTCGCTGCTATAGAGAGCGATGTACGTTGCTCATCTACAATCTTCAATGATATATAGCCCTTTCCGAATGTGCACTCTGGCGCAGCGCTTGAGATTTAGAAGGGGTACTCACTCAATGCATCGAGTCTTCCATATTTGTACGCCACTGCTGTCGTTGTTCAGATCTTCCGAACAGAGCGTACTGAAAGGCGCCGCGAATACAAGGGTCGTGCCTGTTGCTACCCCAGCCAACATGCGTGGGATAGTAAAACAGCCATTTGAACGCAACCAATTGATTGCCACCTCACATCCGAGGCACCCACTGATCGATTCAGTGCCTTGACAGGCCGTTAAGACAACCTCGGGGTCGTCACTGCCAATCAGCGACAAGGATTCCCTGAAATGTCTCGGCATGACCGCTTGCCAATCACGTACACGAGGCAAGGAAGAGGGTACTGACTGCCAGGTGAAGTATGGTATATTGCCGTGCCTTTATAATGTGATGTGTTCGTCTCGTTTCTCCTCTCCCGTCTTCGTCGTCGCCCATGGGTTCCACTCAAGCTGGTATTGACGTGTACCTGGCGCAGTTGTGAGTACCTTGTCATGTCTGTGGCGTCGCGCCTGTCGAGTTGACGAGTATGTGCCAGCAACTACGAGTGCTATATCTACATTGCAGCGACAGGTAAGCTCCTTGCTCGTTCATGGACTCACGGCGACTCTGATGGCACATATTTCTAGCATTCTATTGCTATGATTACTGTCTTACTTTCTCGGACGAAGTGCGATTCGTTTGGAAAGCCAGGCCGTCGGTTATAGCGGCACTCTTCTACGTGTTCAGGTATACGGCACTCTTCAACACAGTCTTCATGATTCTTGGCCTACATGCCTGGCCAAGCTGGCAATCAGATCGAGTAAGCGGTGTGCTTTCCAAACATTCACCACTGATCGCGCATGCAGAGGTCGTATCAAAACCCGTTGCACGTAGAAGCCGAAGCTAAGAGATTTATCGCAGCTGTACCATCCTCGTACGCACGGAGATGGTATGCAACATACTCCTGCTTTCCAGTTCCGCATGTAAGCATATACCTGACTCCTCGTCGAAATAATTGATGTCCTGTCACAATAGTATTCGGTGCTTTTCGTGTGTATGCCATTTGTGACAGGCGGCTTCTGCCGTTTGTTGCCACATTGCTCCTTGGTTTGATCAACCCGGCCATCTCCATCGTGCGCTCATAACGTATTCCTCTTCATGACAGAGGCTCATATTGACGTAGTACACGTTCATCATCAATGAACCAATCCTGATCACGTTTCCGCGATTAACCTGCGGCCTACAGACACAGGAAGAGTATGCGCAGCTATATGACAAGTGAGTCCTCCGACTTCTCATAACCTGTCAGCGAAGCTTACCATCATCCATAGATGTGCGTACTTCTCTTCTTCGCACAGTTTGCAAGGCTTGACTAACATACTATGGCAGTGATTCAAGGTGCACGGGGATCTTCCTTGCTGTTCGACTTGGTCGTCTTGATCATCACGTGGACGAAGCTCAGGGTTGCCGCGATGGATATTCGGAGCCAAGCGAGGGTCAGTGTTGTGCTGATCAGGGACAGTAAGTGTTTCTACTCTCTTCTTGATGCTGTCGTTGATTTACTTGGGTGAATAGCAACCTTCTACTTCAGGTACGCAGCAACTTCGATGTAAACGTAGTCACAAATACAAACAGCTTTGCACAGTCTGCAGCTTATCGTCAATATTCTTGGAATCAGTATCGGAAGCCTTACTTCCGTAAGTTGAAGTCGACATCGCTATTTGGACACTCATAACACAGAGCCATTAGCTGTTGATACCTATGTCGACCTGGATCGCAATGTAAGTGTGACATCAGAGAGCTTCTAGGTAGGTGAAACATACTGATGCTCATGCTGTGTCAGTTTGACATCCAGTCTCTTATCACGGCTTCTCTTTGACCTGCGCAAGGTCTCTGCGGAAGGCCTCGGCGTGTCCATCACTCACACCATGGGGACTCTTGCCTTCGCTGATGCACATTCTCTTGGAGATGACACAGTCATGGACACACCAGACGTTACCTCCGGTCGTTACCTAGATGAAGAGAATGTCTAAACAAATTGTTATTCATTCTTGTCATCACTGTTCCAGCACAGCACGATCTCATAGCGTGTTGACAGTTTTCACGGTGGGACCCCTCCCCGATTATCCTCACACACAACGGCGACGAATGAACCAAAATGTGGTGATTATCTGGAGACGCGACAGGCCGTAAATGTCTCTTATTTTGTGGTCAGTGTCAGCTATATCGGGTCTTTCTCAGCCGGCACGCGTGGTATGAAGGACCCCCGAAAGCACGCCAACGGCTTCTTTTTTGTTATGATTAAGTTACATAATCTATGCTAAGTTCGGAGCAAGCTGTGATCAACAGACGTGCCCACAAGCACCCATAAAGGTTTTGACTTCCCCTACCCATTTCTGTCGAATTCTGACATTCCCGATCGGGATGCTTAGCGTCCGCGGTCGTTACTCGCGATCCCGACGTCACTGTCCATCCGCACGTGGTACGTCCTCCGCATACATAAACCTCGCTCCCCTTTTACCCCTGTCTCCCTTTCTCACTTTTTCTCCTCAGTCATTGTATCGAGGTACGCTCGTTCTCATCTATCGTACCAAGACTGACGCGACCTTTTCAGGCTTTAGACTCAAATATTCCCCCGCCGCAGAACTCTTGTATCATGTTCCCGTTCCCTCCGTCCGAGATGGAGGCAAATGTCTACTACGCCGGTCTGCCCTCTGCCCCGGCTTTGGTCGCTTGCACTAGCACCACTCCCTGGGAGGCCCCCACAGGCCTGGAGGCGTATCGGAATATCAAGGAGCTGCGCGCGGTCGGCAACCACGCGCTCAAAGAAGCCTGGGAAGACGACTTGGCTAAAGCTCCACGCCCTTCTGGACTCGATGAAGGTGAAGTGGACTAGCACGGATGTCGTCCGCGTCTGGGACGCAGGAGAGCCCTCCACCCCCATCATTCTCTGGATCGGCGTGATGCCCGCATCGCTCGCTGGCAATGACGGCGTCGTCGTGCCGAGAGCTGCTGGTGGAATCCAATATCGCCGACGTCGACGTCGAGATCCGTGAGTCGGTCGTTACCCGCTCGGCCGGTCCCAAGCTCCTCACGCCCACCTACTCTTCCGACTGCACTGTCGATGTTCGCGAGCCTTTTACCACTACGCTCGGTCTACCCATCTGTGCCCAGTCTACGCCTTGGGTGGAGGATACCGGCGGCTTCTTCATCTCAGAGGGCGGAAAACCCGAGAGACTCCTCCTCGTCACCGCTCGCCATGTCGTCTTCCCGCCGGACAAGAATGAGAACAAGCACTTCGAGCATAAGAACGACAGCCAGCGCTGTTGCGATGTCAGGCTCTTCGGCGATGCGGCGTTCAAGAAGTACCTCGAATCTATCAAGGCCGGGATCGGAGGCAAGGCAATTATGGCCCAGTATCAGGAAAGGCGTATCAAGGCGATTGAAGGGAAGGGTGACCCGGCAGCGAACAGGGAGCGCCAGGAGGCCCAGGCCGAGTTGGACAAGGCGATGGCGGTGATGGAAGAGCTTAACGACTTTTACCAGAACATTCTGACTCACTGGGACCTCCCAGAGAGCCGCGTCCTGGGCCATGTGATCCTCTCTCTTCCCATCAGCAGCGGCGAGGGTTATACCGAGGACTGGGCTGCTATCGAAATCGATGCCTCCAAGATCGACGCGAACAATTTCAATGGCAATGCCATCGACCTCGGTACCCACATCCCAGTCGACGAGTTCTCTCGTATGATGTGTTCCAATCCCCGGAATGCCCATTCCTTCACGTATCCGGGCGACCGCCTTCTGAAGCTCAAGGGCACCATTCCAGACGACGAGATGCGTCACCCGACCGCACTCGACGAGAACAACGATCCATGCCTGATCGTGATCAAGCGCGGTAACACCACCAACCTGACTGTCGGCCGTGCCAGCGACATTTGCTCCTACGCCCGTATCTACGACGATAACGACAAAGCCGAGACCTCCAAAGAATGGGCCATCCTTCCGTTCGACTCCAAGTCCGGCCCCTTCTCAGCTAAGGGCGACTCGGGTTCTGTCGTCGTCGATGGCCTCGGACGTATCGGCGGCCTCCTCACTAGCGGTGCTGGCGCAACACCTTCCTTGGACATCGCTTACGCCACGCCCATCAGCTTTCTCCTCAAGCGCATGCAAGAGAATGGGCTCAATCTGGTGAACGCGTCTAGGCAGACCGCCTAGACGCATTCACCACGGTCTGCCTAGACGCGTTCACCAGATTGACTCCTGAAGAAATTCAGCAAGTTATCCTGGAGACACTGGCTGCGAGGCAAAGCCATTTTGTTTCTTTTTTCTCCCCTTCTGCGATTACCTCTTCTTCTTTTCCCCCTTTGATCAGTCGCCACTCGTACTTGATCTTTGTGATGTACTTGGCCTCTTGCGACGAAATGGTATTTTGACATCTTAACCCATGCGCCATGGACTGAAGTCTAGGTAAGATCGACTTGGGCACTCGGTCTAGTACTCTAGAGCTGCGGTGGACTTGTTGCGATCAGCGGCTTCGGACACGACCTCTCTCTTGACGAAGTTGCTGCCATGACTCCCTATGGTTTCGTTTTCAAGACCTCATCGTTATGACATCGGCTTCGTTCTTGAAACTTGATCTTCGTGACATTGTCAGTACGGACACTGAGTTGTTTGGCTCCTGTTCCAACTCCAGCGCAGAATCGACGACCAGTGTACCAAAGTGATGATCCTTCCAAGTACGACAGGCGCAATATCTCTGCTTTCCGTCTTCCGTGTCAGCTTCCAAGGCGGCGCGTGTGGTCTGATTGAGTCCCGACAATACGCCGGCAGCTCCTTAAGATGAATAGATCCTTTTGTTTATCACGTCGAAGTTGAACGTAATCCGTGTCCTCAATCCGGCAGGCTTTTGTTAAACGTGATTTGGAACAAGATGTGATCAGCGGACACGCCCACAAGCACCCATATAGATTTTGTCTCAACGAGTGACGTCCCTCTCCCTCAGACCTCGGCAATCAGCTCTATTAGATGCATCAATTCAATTTACTACTAAACCAATGCACTGTTAGGATACAGAATCACAAGTAAGCAAGCAACAAAGCCATAATGTACACGGAAGATGACTGCAAACACATGCGACACACAGCGGAAACCCCAATATGTTGCACCCTATACCCCTTATACCGTTTCGCTCATTTCTACAGGTAGTTGACTGTAGCCAGATCGTCTTCGGCCACCGACGAGTCCTCTGAGGCCGTTGCCTGCATCGTCGAGCGTAGAACGCAGGCTGTCCCATACTGTCTCACGCGGGATCACCTCGCCCGGCATGACGCTCGATGCGGGCCGTGTCCACCATTTCAGCATCAACGAACTGGTAACCACGCTCACAGATGAGAATGCCATGGCCGCACCGGCCATCATGGGATGTAGGCGAAGACCGAATGGAAGGAAAAAGCCCATCGCAAGAGGGATGCCAAGCAGGTTGTAGACGCATGCCCACACCAGGTTTCGCCGGATAGTCGAGAAGATGGCGCGGGACAAATAGAGAGCGGCTACAACGTCAAGGAGGTCAGAGCGCATGAGCACGATGTCGGCTGCTTCAATCGCGACTGACGTCCCAGAAGACAATGCGATGCCGACAGAAGCTGCTACAAGCGAAGGCGAGTCATTGATACCATCGCCCACCTGTTCCGGTAGCGTCGTTAGCGGGTTAGATCAAGATCAAGAAACCTCGACTCTCTACATACCATTGCAACGCCGCCCTTGTCTTTCTCTATCAACTCGACAATAACAGAGGCTTTGCCCTTGGGACTCATGTTCGCCCAGACACCTTCAGGCTTGATGCCAACCTTCCTTGCCACAGCGAGAGCAGTGCCCATGCCATCGCCGGTCATCATGTTCACCTCGATCCCCAAGTCCTGCATTGCCTTGATTGCATGGATCGACGACGGCCTTGGTGCGTCCGAGAGCGCAATGGACATGACGGGTGATGGACGCATCGCGGGGCTAGATACGGACACGAAGATGGTAGTGAGGCCCTGTGTTTCTTCCTCCCTATTGAAAACTGACAACGCCTCTGGCAGCTGAGCATCGTCGGACTGCATGATGAACCGTGCTGTCCCGACATACACGACGTACTGTGCCTTCTTGTCTGTGATTGTGATAGTCGCTTTGACCCCAGCACCAGGAACGCCTTCGAAGGCATCGATGACGACCTCGGGGATAGCCATGATAGCCTTGCCCAAGAGGTCTTTGCCATACACGGCGACGGCCTTGGCCAGAGGGTGTTCCGACCGCGCCTCTGTAGCAGCGACCATAGCGATGATTTCCGCACGAGTGAGACCCTCAGCGCACTTCGCGCGCAGGAAGACCTCGCCAGCTCCCACCTGTTCTTCGTAATCGGTGGCAGGTACCCATGCTGCGTCGACCACCGTGAGCTTCCCCTCCGTCACAGTACCTGTCTTGTCCAGCACGATCCTCTTGATAGACCTGCTGGCCTCAAGCGCGCGCCCACCCTTGATCAAGATGCCGTTCTTCGCGCCTACTCCAGTTCCGACCATGATCGCAGTGGGCGTGCTTAGTCCGAGCGCGCACGGACACGCAACGACGACGACAGAAATGCACAGCTGCAGACATACCGCGAGCTTACTCGTGCCTGGCATGCGGAACATCTCCGGCAGCGCGGTGTCCGAAATAGCATGCGAGATGACCATCCATCCGAAGAAGGTGACGACAGCGAGCGAGATAACGGCGGGCACAAAATAGCCTGCGACCTTGTCCGCGAATGCCTGGATGGGCGCCTTGGACGTCTGCGCCTCCTCCACGAGCTTGACGATCTGCGCAAGCGCCGTATCCTTGCCTGCCCGCGTCACCCGCATATCGAATGTCCCGAGACCGTTGACCGTCCCGCCAATGACGCTGTCGCCAATTTGCTTTTGGACGGGAACGGGTTCGCCCGTGACTGCGCTCTCGTCCACGGTCGAGGTGCCCTTAACGACGGTACCATCGGCGGGCACCTTGTCACCCGGCACAAGCTTGACGATGTCATTGACCTGCACAAGCTCCGTCGGAATCTTCTTCTCCTGCGTGCACGACGGGGCGTCAGTGTAAATGGTGGCCATAGAAGGCGCCAGCGCCATGAGGTCTGTGAGCGCTGCGCTCGTACGACCCTTCGCCCTGTTCTCGAGATAGCGCCCGAGCGAGACAAACATGATCAACATAGTGCTCGTGTCAAAGAAAACGAAAGGGTGGTAGTCAGGGTCGCGTTTGAATACGGCGTAGATCATCGCTCCCAGGGAGTAAAAGTAGGCAGCAGACGTGCCGAGCATGACGAGGACGTCCATCGTTGGGCTTCCGTGTCGGAGCGCCTTATACGCGTTTCGGTAGAACTTCTGTCCGATCCAGAACTGCGCAGGAGTCGTGAGGCATAGAAGAAGAATGTCGCCAAAGTAGAGACCGGGGACTATACGCCATGCTACCAGCATGCAGATCCCAGGTATGCGGGGGGCGATCATGCTGATGAAGAACACGGGCACCGCGAAACCGAGACTCCAGCGGAAGCGATCGCGCCATTCCTGGATCTCCTTCGTCCGCGTGAGTGAGCGGAGCTGCGTCGCATCCTCCTGGTCGGACAGCATGGCATCGAAGCCCATCTCCTCTATGCGCTCCACCATCTCTCGCGGTCCGGTTAGTGTGCGGTCAAATTCGACCTTGCATGTCTCCGTTGCCAACGACACGGCAACACTGTTGATGCCTGGCATGGCACTGAGCTGTGTCTCCACCGTCGACGTGCAGGATGAACATGTCATGCCGTATATTCTGAGGGTCACGACATCCGAGCGAGATGGGGGGATGACTGTTGCATCGAACCCGATGTCAGATATTTCCTATAGATAATTCGTGAGTATCGCATGAACGATTGATGGTCGTATAACGGGGTCAACTGGAAGAATTTCACCGATTCTGCGATTGCCGCCGCATCGCACAGCACGAGCTGTCACAAAGGCGACAGCTGTAACGTTGCGACACATTCGAGGTAGCGGGAGCCCCGAGCTTAGCCGCAAGGAGCTCTCTACCTCCCCACTCTGACCTCACCGGTCGGGAACAATAGATACAAAGAATAACTGAGAGACCCGAAACGGCCTAGACCTTGGGGCATACCGCCACACTACTTCTTTGTAGCATATCATCATATACTCGATAGGGAGGGGCTCGTGCTGCACAGTCGAATGTAACGTTGCTGCGAGGTGAAGTTGAGGTGCTGTGAGGGGTCGGAGGTGACTCTGTATCAACCTTACAACGACCGACAAGTGCGGATGGAGGACAGACATCCGCTCAACGGGGTTCATAGCGATCTTCAGGAGCCTCGAGTATGTTGCCGAGCATCTTGGGAGGCTCCCCCTCGCAGCATGCTAACCCGAATGAAACCCGTCGGGGACTTCAGCCTCTGGGGGTAACCGACGATCGAGGCAACAACCAAAGCCGACCAAGCAGACTGACTGGCAAGGAATGGGAACTCACATTCACAATCTTGTCTGAGTTCCAGACGTTTGAATCGTACTCGACGACACCTCGTTCGGCGAGCAAGGCAACTTTGACGGAATAGATGCCTGGCTGCGTTCGGAGCATGCCTTCTATTGACTGTTGGGCCGTTGAGAACGGCTGTTTACCGGGCTGGAATGTGTTGCTCACCTCAACACAAGCACCACATGTCATCCCCTCAATCCTCAGCTCACACTTCTCAGCCGCCAGCCCTTCGCTTTCTAGAGGCTCGTCTTCGGAGACGGGCAACTCCACTTTGCCCGCCACAGGAGCAGCTGAGCTCCCGAGGAGATTCGTAATGGCCGAGAGAGACATTGAGTGTTATCGAAACGAGCTCGTAAGGTGCATCCAGGCGATGACGGAGAATGAGTATAAAAGGGCGCGCCTGCGCTAGTCCGGTCGGTGCAATGCTGAGTGAGCTGGGCGCTGTGTTCGTGTTTGAGATTGACTTGAGTCAAGACACGAGTACAGGGCGGCAGATAGTCTCAATGCGCCGAGTGCGGTGATTGAAAGAGTGTGTATGGCTGGAAGCCGTCGCTGCCGTCGACGAGGAAGATGAATGCTATTACGCCATTACCAAGATGTTACGCATAACTATCTCCCTTTGGATATTTGTTGTCACTCGTTTACATAAGTATATCCAGATTATGCAAAATACTTATCCTCTCCACTTACGGCTACTACATCATAGTTCTCTCATCATTGCCGTTCTGGCAGCCACTTTCTCGCGCTGCATCACCTTCGCCGACCCGGAGGCATGAATAGTCCCATTGGCAGTGTATTCTTAGGCGACGTGCAAAGGCATCGAATTCTGGCATCGACACCGCCATCTTCGCCCCCACCCCATATGTCACTATCACCTTCGGGATCCATGAACACCATTCATGAGCTTGACTTCGAAGTGGTAGAACAACCCAAAGCAATCCCTCCAACCCCACCACCCCCACCCTCAATTCCACCTGCGTTGTCGCTTGACCTGCGTCTGAGATGGCTTGAGACGTTGCTCTATGGCGCGCGGCCAGAGGGCCCGGACCGCAAGCACACCGAGGTCAAGAATGGAGAGACCCTTGCCCGACGCGCTGCCGAGCTGCAGCACACGTTGGACGACGTTGTGCAGAGCAACGATGGGCTGCGCAGGTTTATGGAACACTGTATGTCTGCCTCCCACGTCCATCCTTGACATGACATGCCGAACACATCGCAGACGACCAACACGCGCAGTACCTCACTCCGGCGTTTGCGCTCTCCGGCATCATTCCAGCGCCCCCAACGTATGAGAACATGTCATCCAGCGAGCTCGAAGCATTCCTCACGGAGATGGAGCCGGACATCCGGGCAGCAGAACGCGACCTCCGCGAGATTAAGACGCTCGAGGATAAGGGTGTGACTGGCGCTGGAAAGCTCGCTAACTACAAGGATCTTCAACCTCGTTTGGACGTATTGTTGAAGGCCCATCAGGAAGACGCAGAGAAAGCCGCGACGCTAGAGGCACGTATTTCAGGTCTCATGGACCGGTATGCCACTCGAATAGACACGCTTTCTGAACTCTTTGTCGCGTGGGACGACGCGCTACGGGATGCCGAGGAAAAGGCGCGCGCTGCAGAGCGGGACAAGGAAGAAAGGAAGAAACTTGGATATGAATGAGGTTATGCTACCATACCCTAGTATGTACTGCCAACTTGTGAAGCGCATAAGACCTCATATATTTCTAGATGTACGTAGATACCCCGCTGCGATGTCATTCTTGTCCAGCTCCTCTTTGCGTTCCAGCTGTGACAATGAGCTGATGCATCGCTTCTAAGCACCTCTGAGCGAGAGGTACTGGTATTGTGACGCAAGGTCCGCCGATAAACGAAGAATTTGTCTGTTTGTGGCGTCTTGTTTTTACTATGTCAATCTATCCTGACCCAATCCGACCAAATGTATGATATAGAGCATCACACCCATCTCTAAAACACAGTATTTGCAAATAAGCGATGTTATTAGCTGACGGTCATCGCGTCACAAGTCGACTACCAATGTTAATCTCTAAGCCCCGACGTTGATATCAGCGTTCTTTCACAGATTGGCCCATTGGCCTCTACAAACAATTAGCCGGGACGCTTGGACCCACTCCGCCTGATTGGGCCTTGTGGCGACTCCCAGAACAATACGCTCGGTGCGCTTTAAAGCGCCGGCGATGGTGGCACTTTTTCGTATAAATAACCCCTAGGGTTGCTTTCACTCCGTCGAACGTTCCTCTCCCACTGCAGTGATGACACTCCTGCCAAGCCTCCCAACAATGTATCTAGCTTCCACGCGTTCGCTATCATTCTTCCTAACCATCCATACAACCGACGCCATCAGCGATGTGCTACCGACGGTCTCCCTCTGGCTATCAGCATCCTCACCCATCTCGCGCAGCCTGAAATGGAGAAGGCCGAGTCTTCATGGAGACGTTGGTAGAAGACAGGACCGACCGTTGCCCCCGGAGATGACGGGCCAGCTTTTCTGGAAGCTTCCAGATGCATCGCGCTGTGTGGCGCGGTCACATATATAATGAACCCGTATGTCACTACGTTAGCTCAGACATTCAGCACTCACAACAAATACTCAAAGTTATAACGCGCCATTCAATGCACTGGGCCTCGCGCTCAGTGAATTGACCCGCTCCTCCTATCAGTACACCTCAGGCGCATTTCGAGCCATACATCACACAGCGGACTACAATTACCGGTGAAGTCTGTGTTGAACCCTCGACACCACCTTCGTAACTGCTCGAACCTGTCATGAGCGAAGAAGGCCCGCGCGCGATGTCATCGCCAGGGATAGCTTGTATGAGAGACTCGCAAGGCTCGCCAATACTCGACCATGAAGAGCGTGTATACAAGCGAAGTTCGTCGCCGATTCACTCCTTCCTGATGTCACAAACTGAACATGATGGTACAGTTGCTTGGCCGCGTCCTGAATCCATCCCGCACATCCTCATCAATGCTTCTGCGCCCATCATGTTAGCAGCCGGTCTCATGCAGTGGCAGGGCGGCCAGCTGGATATCATGGCCCTCGCTAGAAATCGATAAACTCGCGGATCAAATAGCTATCACTTCCCATGACCACCGCAGATTTACAGACAGCAAAAGGACCCGGCAAGGCCTGGACGTGCACATTCACCGGCCACACGTCACACACGAACACAGCAATACCACTCCCTATTCATACGACCGGCATAGCTAAGCTCTGTAAATTTGGCGAACTCTTCGGGAAGAGCCATCAGGTGCTGGCAGTGCTATAAACAATCCCATGCACCGATGCCATCATTCGCCCCGGTGTTGTGGCTTACCGCGGGGAGTTCTCCGTGCGGGGTCATACCACTGGCGTGAATGTAACAACGAGACAGTCAAAGAGGGTATGTACAGCACCTGTTATTGACTTCATACTGGAATCAGCCATCGACCTATTGGCTGGCAATGCTGTTGTTGAGAATCCGGATGGCTCTTCAGACTGAAGGAAATCAAGAGAACCTTCTTGACTGCTTACTCGTGCTGAAGTGCCACGGGGACATTGATGAGCTGTGCTCAATTTTGATTAATGCAAAGCTTTCCAGGACAACGTGCCCCGCGTACAAGTGAATCTGCATCATGGGCCGTACCGCGATTTGACTCAGCCTGATTTCGAACACCGATTGCTCTAAACAGTTTCAGCAAGCTCATGATACGTTCGGTTGGATGTGAAGGGGTACAGGCCGGCAGACGAATCCTGGGAGTGGCTGCACATGCCGGCGCGCAGACGTCGCCAGACGGAGCTGTCAGCTACCTCACTTTGAGGACTTCAAGTAGTTTAGTCTACATTTACATTTGAGCAGAGCATGAACAGAGCATCATGTCATGTTCGAGGACTCCGACGTTGATTTCGTACTACGCCACCTGCCATAAATAACGGCGCGTCTCCAAGTATCAGAACTATGGTCACGACTTCACGCGTTGGCACCATTCCCGCGTACGCGAGAGCCTCTGTTTCATATATATAACGTTCATTGCGTACGATGTGGAATTTCGAACGTCAGTGTGGCCACTTGTTATGCGGTGGCAATCATCGAAGGAATGGGATGCCATGGCAAACAACGAAGATATGATTTAGATCGCCTCTGCATCTAGATGTCGATCGGAGGTAACGTCATCTTCAAATACAAATAGATCGGGACCAGCAAAAGCAAGAGTCATAGAGTGCGTAAGCGACACGCCGAGACCTTCAGCAGCGACCTTGCGTAAGTCGAACAGGAGCCGTGATAGGAGGCTAGACGTTAGGCTGAAATAACTCTAGAATAAGTACGTCTCGCCGAAATAGCAGGCCGCTACACTGACACTGCAATCCAGGTCGATATGGGTACAAGAAACTGTTCACCAGGTCATGTCATGAGTGCCAGTTCCCGGACAGTAGGAGTGATCGCGACTTACAACAGTCACGCTTCCCCTGCTGATTCCAAGAATATTGACGATACGCTGCAGGCTACACAGAACTGTTTGTATTTGTTACTACGTTTACACCGAGGTTGCTGCGTACCTGAAGTAGAACGTTGCTATCCAACCCAGTAAGTCAACAACAACATCAGGACGAGTATGGAAACACTTACTGTCCCTGATCAGCACAACACTGACCCTCGCTTGGCTCCGAATATCCATCGCGGCAGCCCTGAGCTTCGTCCACGTGATGATCAAGACGACCAAGTCGAACAGCAAGGAGGATCCCCGTGCACCTTGGATCACTGCCATAGTATGTTAGTCAAGCCTTGCAAACTGTGAGAAGAGAGGTACATACATCTATGGGTAATGGTAAGCGTCGCTGAGTCTGACAGGCTATGAGAGGTCGGAGGACTCACTTGGTATATAGCTGCACATACTTTCCTTGCGTATGCAGGCCGCAGGTCAATCGCGGAAACGTGACCAGGATTGGTTCATTGATGATGAACGTGTACTATGTCAATATGAGCCTTCGTCATGAAGAGGAATATATTATGAGCACACGATGGAGATCGCCGGGTTGATCAAGCCAAGGAGCAATGTAACAACAAACGGCAAAAGCCGCCTGTCACAAATTGCGTACACACGAAGAGCGGCGAATACTATGGTGACATATCATCAACTATTTCGATGAAGACACGAGCATAGGCTTACATGCAGCAGTAGAAAGCAAGAGTATGTCACATGTCATTTGCGTGCGTAGAAGGATGCTACAGCTGTGGATAAACTTCAATCTTCCACTTTTGCGTGTCATAATTCCGCATCTGACCTCTACGTGCTATGTTAGCTGCGAACGAAGGGAAAGTAAGCGACATACTCGCTCAGACTGCCAACTTGGCCAGGAATGTAGACCAAGAATCATGAACGCCGTGTTGAGGAGTGCTGTGTACATGAAGACGAAGAAGAGTATACCGATAACTGACAATTTGGCTCTCCAGACAAGCGATATCTCGTCCGCTAGGGTAAGACAATAGTCGTAACAAAAGAACGCTGGAGGTGACCGACATCGGAGTCATGATGAGGACTTCACATTCCAAGCAAAGACTCTACCTGTCGCGGCGATATAAATATAGCATTGGTAGTTGCTGATGTACATTCGTCAGAATGATATCATGCACCATGCCTGAGATAGGCTTCGGATGCGGCCCAACATGGAACTTAAAATTGCTCCAAGTATAAGTCAGTACCAGCTCCATTGAACCCCATGGATAACGATTAGAAGAAGGCAGGGACGAGAGCGACATACAAATGTGCAGAGCTTGGATACGTCTTGGAATATATTCATCACTGTATGCCTTGGGGAGGAGGCATCCGTCTCCAGTGTCTCACGTCGCATAGTATAACAAAAGGTTATGGTCCTTGTAATTGCTATGTCCTTTAGGCATGATCAATTAGTACTACAACGGCAATGGATATAATATTAATGCATGATCTTGACAGGGACGGGGATATGAAGTGGGATTGGCTCGGGATCTACTTTCCGGCAGCCCTGTTGTTACGACCGCAGGGGAACACCCAAGCCACTTCTACTAGGTGCCAAAGCCGCCATTTACATGTCGCTGAGAAAAAGCGAGACACAAGCGACCAAAATAAGCGATAAGGATCTCCCGGGATATTTGGTGTTGCTTGGTTTTGTGGACGCGTAACCGCGTGCACGTGATCGAAGTAAACGGCGCGGAAACGTCAGTTCGACTCGGAGCGAAACTTTTTTTCTCAACCCTTAGACGGGCTCCTTATCTAACGGGACATTCCACTTTCTGTGCGTTGAAGAAAATACTGAGTGGTAAGCTCCCTCTCTCCCGGGAGCATCGCGTGCGTCAAAGCAAGACGATCAATTCAGTTCGGGACAAACGAGGTCGCTGTTGTCTTCCTACTGGTTACTGCCGCTTGACACTGGCAACCGCGTACATTTTATTGTTCCTGTTTGTGTCACGACCTTGTACATTGCTATGCTGATAACAATGAACAAGAAGCAGTGACTGACAGGTCAATTCCACAATCCTCCCAAATGAGGACGACACCAGGTGCGTACGCGTGTATTCGTCCCGGCTATACTTCTTCAATTGACACCGTTTCCGTTTGTCTTTCTTCAGTTATATTACTCTATGGAGGCACTGCTGTGACCTGCCTAACGCGTCATGGAGACCTTGTACTCCGGTGCTGGGAGCCGACTTCCATCCTGCGCACAGCGTATCTGACGCTGCAGCAATCAGGATATATAAGCGTGCATTGTGGTCCCACCGAGCCGTCAGAGCTCCTGGTACGCTCTCCGTCCTGTCATCTTGACCTTTGTCATGGATGGAGACTGAGCTGGTGTCCCTAAGTGCGTGGACAGGTAAATGAAATGGCCCATATAATCAGATGTGTTCTTCGTGCGCAAGTGGTAGCTCAACTGGCTGTGCTTTTCATACGTTCTGGCCGCTACTGTCATTCGTCTTGGACTTCCGATGGAATGTGCACCGCTCGTGCCAGGCGTACGGTATCTTGTGGAGCCGCCTCTCGCCTGGGCTGAGCATCGCATTTCGTTCCCTGTCATGCGCGGCCGTGGCACCCGACGCCGGGCTCCCGAATTAAACCTTGCGCTCTCAGTGCCTCGCCTAGTCGGATTGCGCAGTCCTCGCGATTCTCATAGACGTCCCCCTATCTGTCTGTGCTGTCTCTAGCAGTGACAGCACTTCTCGAGGCGATATCGTGTAGAATGGAGGTCGGCGATGCTGTTCGCTCATGCGGTCTGTAAGTCTCGGCCTGTGCCGCCCTGTTAAGCGGGAGGTGCGGTGCGCCGGAGTACCCTCTTCCTTGTACCTTGATACAGTCATCCTTGTATCCCGGCACCCTTCACTCCGCATCTCCGCGCAACATCCATGTCTCGACTTCAGCGACCGCCTCGAGGATTACAACAGCGTGATGAGGTCGAAAGGAACAGGAAAGAAGACAACAAGACGCAATATGTGCGGAAACTATCAGGCGTATGTCGCCCGACCGTTGATTTCCATACGCGACTCATGAGGCGTTGCAGACAACTGTTCATGGGGAGCGGCTGTTCGGGCGATTCACTGCAAAAACTCCCAATGCGCCCGGGGTGTTGGGTGTACTAGACGTTTCCGGTCCACCCCCCTCGATCGTCGCGGAGCACGGATGGACGTCGTCCAATGCTTATATGCTGCTGTCGACTCGAGGAGACCACCGAGAGGTTTTAACGTACGATCCCATCTACGGCGCTCGACACATACCTCTTCCTGCGGCCGAACAGCGCCTTCCCAGTATCATCGTCGACAATACATCGTTTACGCAGCAGTCTTCGCTGGGGCTCGCGCTAGATGTATTTGGAGGAACCGACTTGCCCTCGGCCGTCAATGATCCGCCTTCCGCGGATAGTCATCTCGTCCCGAGGTCAACTGAGTCTTCGTGTCAGCGAGGCACAGGTACGCTAGTCATTCGTAAGTTCGTAGGGTTTTCTCTATGATGCTTATTGTTTGTCTTCTTAGCGCCTTCTAAACACGTCCCAACAGCTCATTCGTACGTGCCCGCTATGGCGGCAATTGGTCCTGTTCAGCAGGCTTCGTTCCCGACTCAGCTCAACTCCATACGTGCTCCGCTGGCCATCACAATATCGGACCCTGGGCAGATCTTTGCGATCCACTCGACGTCAGCCCTATTACCATCACTCCCAACCAGGATCTCGATGGACGACAGACGATCGCCAACATGCAACTCGCAGTACGGCGCCGATCTCGTGGCACTGCCTAGGGTCCCGCGTACTTGGGATCTCACCCCTTCTATGACGCACGATCTTATACTGCGGCCTTCGAACCCCCTTGCAAAACAGCTCTTCCAACCTGCGTTGTCTTCGATGAGAGCGATCCCGGGCGACTATGGGGAGATCCGTGTGCGCGATCATCTATATGGTTCTCGCCCTATACCGCTCTCAGAAGCCGAGCGCCTGATGGACGATCATGTCGAAGAAGCCTTACCGCATACGGGAGAATCCACGGCAATGCTACCGAGTCTTACTTGGAGCACTACATCCATATCTGCGCCTATGCATCCGACATTGCTGCCAACCCGAGCTCAGGCGAAATCGGGCGCTTCGTGTCAGGATACACCAGTGGTGCATGGACTCGAAAATTCACGTCAATCAACACCGAGGATTCAGCTCATATACAGGACGGGGCTGAGAAAACTCTTGCTGCCGTAGTAGGATATTTTGCGGAACATTTCGGATAGCATTCCGGGTACGAGAAACGTCAACACATCATGTCTGGTATTTTACACTTTCCCTCCCACTTTTCTCGTCTTACTGTACTATTCTTGTCGAACCCATCTGAGAAGAAGTAGAATTAAGCGTGATAGTCGCAGCATGGGAAATGTGTAGTGCTAAACGCGCAGACTTTGTACTCTGTAGCCGTTTCGTTTGGATTGAAGAGGATCCGAGTCACCAGAGGTTCGGATAGTATACATGATGGGGCAGTCACGCGCAAGCATCAAAGCTGTCAGCGCATAACTGCGCAGCCGCTTTTGTGCCTGTATATGGACTCAGATGCATGCTATCGATCTGACCATTGAGCACATACTCGGCAAATGGACGAGCATGCTCCCATGAAGTCACTCCATCACTAACCACTGCTTACGAGTTACGCGTAACGTTCGAATACAATTGAAGCGTCAACACATAACTGATCAGCAATGGAGAGACTAATATTAAAGCAGGAAATTCAATTGCGTATCGTTAGATAGCAAGTATCCCGTGGGTGCTCGCGAATGTCAATGTAGCAGTCCGTATACTTCTCGAGTAATCAGAGGACACCTTGAGCTTTTAGCATAGCATTCTCTGCAAGCACTATGCTCTCAAGTTTCCCTCAGGAACGATACGGAACACTCACCGAAACATTGCTCCATTACCAGTGTTAAATGGAGCGGTGTTGTGTTGACAAGCTAATGATCCTTCCGTAGTGAGTATATCCCTAGATTATTTAGAATCTACGGGGGGCTGTAATTGCATTTCTGGTCGTCAAGTATTCGATCGCCCAATTGTTCGACCTTACGCCACCGAAAAGAATTCGTGTGCAGAGTACCACCAGCGACTCGGAGACGGCGCAGCGGGATGATAACTGCCTTCTCTTATTGTTTCTAATTGTCGCCAGTAAAACCGATGTGGCGGGAGGTAGGTGCGAGACAAGTACAGTAGAGGAGCTGGAAGTTCAAGGCAGCACTACCGGCAATATTTATCTGATTGGAGGATCGTCCCATTAACGGAAGATTGTATCGAGATCCTTTAGCGCTTGTACAGTCGCGACTGACTCCCACTTCCATTCGGCTCTAACATCCGAGCTCACTCGGTCTACCAAGTGTTTTCTACAGCAGATTTCAGTGATAGGCAATACCTCCAAAACCACAAGAGATGTTAACGGACTCGGTGTAGCCATGCTTGAAAGACATTGATCGTATCCCTACTGGTAGGTGCGTAGGGTGCATGCTATGTGCACCAAATCTTTCGCCGTCTCTAGTCTATCACATGGTTGTTGAGGAGCGTCTATGATCCTTTCAGGATTCGTGAACAACCCGAGTGTCGTTCTCCCACGAGTCAAACGACGCTCCCATTACCTAGTAGCAAGCTACGCGATCAATTAATCTTTACCTCCGGAAGGCTTCTGCCCGCATCAGGTGTTTTATGCCGCCAGAGCGCGCGACCGACCAGTGGTATGCTTTACGTCTGGCATGGGACATAGACAAATGAGATTGATTGAGATTAGCTTGGGTCGTGCAGACGACTGAGCGCACGATAAGTCGTTGGGTATAAATTTGGGCGCTATCTGGGTACCAGAACGCGGCCACGTGACGGTTCGCGACGAACAATCACCTGTGCCTTGGCCTTATTGTTCACCGAAGTCGACATGGAGACACCAACGATACGCGCTGTATTCGCGGAAAGTCCTATGTCAATCTAACATGTGCTGGAGATGCCCACGCCTACGACAAGGCCTGGTCACCTCCTTCCGCATGGCAGGATCAAGCCGTAACGGCGGCTAACCCGACATAGACATCGTTGTTCTTTCCTGTTGTATTTGTCTACAATTGGGAGGTCCGTTGCTGTCGCGAAGCCCAGAGTACGTTTACGTAACTACCTGGGAGAGCGCTGCGGGGAAAGCTGCTTAATCGGCGGATACCTGCCTACTGATACTGGGGTACGTCTATGTTACTCCTTTGACTGCAGAGGCTCATTATTCTTCCTCGAAAGCATTCTGTCGCTAGTAAGTCATGCTGTGCACCAATCTGTCTGTTTTTGGAATGGCACATGCCGTGCTTGTTCGCGAAGTCTCTATGACAAGGATGTAATCGGATCTGGTGTCGACCTGGACAAATTGCAATCCGGCGCTGTCACAGCATGTCTGTATGAGTGCCTGAACTCAAAGTTCCCTCATATCGGTAGGGTGATGTGGTCCCGGTGTGTTTCTTCCCTCACTTCCGTCCCCTGTAGATCTCATGTCGATACGATGCCTCGCTGACGGCTGCTCACAGAGCTCCTCACAGACAAGCAACACGGGACACCACTGGCTCAGACCATGACTGTGGTACGGAGATCTCGGCTGTGCCGTATCTTTCCCGAGGACTCTGGCTGTTTGTCTCACTTCATCTGCCTTCTCCCTGGAATCCGCATCGCCTGTGCAAATCTAGGGAAGTATCTGAGACCGCTTGCACGTCATGGCTCTCATGTCATGTCAATCTATCCTGCTCTGCCCGACGCCGGGCTCCCCAAACGAGCCATGCATGTACTGCTCCTTGTGGAGCGCTCATGTGCACAGTGCTCGCCACTGGGCGTCCTAGACGACCCCCTATGTGTTGTCGCTATCGAGCACAGCGAGAGGAACGTACGAAGCAATGGCTGGCAGATAGGAGGTCCTCAGGCCTGATGCGCCTTGCCTATCGTGGGTCGGCGCAGTGGTATATGTAAGTGCTTGCAGCGGGGAGAGTACGCTGTGCTTGTGCTACCTGATCATCCTCCCCAGGTCGCTCTACCATAATTCATCGTCCCCTCTCCTGTCACCGTCATGCCGCAGGACAATCAACAATCAGACGGACAGGCGGGAAGACCGAAGAAACCGAGCAAGAACGAGTATGTGCGGAGACTACCAGGAGTACGTAACGCTCTTGTACCACTCGTTGATAGGTGGTAACGATGCACTACAGGTGGTACAGTGGGGAGAAAGGACATTTGGGCACCCACCTGATATACGCCATTGGACGCGCGCCTCTGAAGGCGCTCAGTCTCCGGTAGCGACGACGGATTCATACAACCAGCAGTCCTATTCGTTTGTCCAAGAATACCCTCGCCCACATCGACAATATTCTTCCACACCATTACCTGCTGTCGAGCATCAGACGGGACCCTCTGGATATGATCGGCGCACCTTGCGTGATGTGCCCTCAGAGGCCTACACATACCAAGGCGAACCATTACGCGCACGGGAGACAGGTGGGGTCTCTTCAAATGACATATTATGAGGTGCTCATGCTTGCACACAGGCTATGCTGGAGTGCAGAACACTGCCTACCAGCCGTACGCGACATCGGCGGATCGTCGCACTCGCCATGAATATCAACATGGAGACCAACAAAGCATCGGTACTGCTGGACCTAGTTGATGGCCTTCCCAGTTTACCAAACGTTGCTCCCAGCAGGGTCATACTCTCAAGTCCCAATGCAGGCGATGAATGCGCCGAGCACACAGCTCGTCGGTCGGTCTGCTCACATCAGATCGCCGCCATCCCATGGCACGTCTGCGACGACTGGTGTCAGCTCGCGTTCGCATCATTCCTCTTCAGCACGGGCTCAATATGTGTCGCCTTACCCGCCACCATCGGTGCAGTCCTCAGCATCTTCATCTGCAGGCGAGTCGCGACATCTATCGCGACAGCTGATTATCTGACATCTCGACATATAGATCACGGATTTGTGTCGAGCAGATCTGCATCAGCAAACCCTGCCGTGTCCTACGCCCCGGCGAGCTCTTCCGTGTCCATGAAGGAGCGTCAAGCGGCTCAGAACCTGTATGACGCAGCAGAGGACGACCACTTTCTTGAGGGACACTTCTAAAGTCTTCTGCAACATGGGACCGTTTTGTGCATTATGTCTCGTCGTACCCTCCGATCATCGCTACTATTCGCTTCGCACGCTGCCTCCGTGTTCTTGCGTTATGGGCCATGGGCCATGTTGGACAGAAGGAACAAGGTTCATCTTATAGTACTATAGCTCCTCAGACTTTAATGTGTTCATTGTTGTAACTGTGATGCCGGCTTGCACGCGGCTGCACGCTTGAGCTCCGTCAATGTTTTCCCTCAGTTTTATATCCGCTGTCCGTCAATGTTATAAATCGTTTATATACACACGCGTCAAAGGACGTCAGCGTGATCGTGACGCAAACCACAGCGGCTCTTTCAACCTAAGCGTTTTGGGTATGGGTAAGGTACGGGCATAGTTTGCCTGGTTCTCTGACCCTCATCGTAATCGAGCTGGAAGCCTTGTTTCGTTGCGCGACATCATTATCAATATATTCCATGTCTGTTGCATAGTACTCTTGATGAACTACATGCGTCACCCAAACGTTCAAAGTAATTTGGTGGTAACGGTGAGACGTTGCAACCCATGTCCTTGTGACCCACAAGGTCATGAGCAAGCCACCAAGGCTTACGATCAGCCAACGATTCGATCGTCTCTCCGTACGGTATAGCAGTGATTCTGGTTATGCAATAGCGGCATTCCTTTTGATATGCAGTATTGAACGACAGCAACGCTGGCAGTGCGCGTGCGTATGATGTGTTTGGCGCTGCTTGGCTTTGTGGACACCCGCACACGTGATCGAGTGGAAACGCCGCGGAGATGTCTGTCGGACTTGTGCAACGTTGTCTTTGTATCCCTCCCACGGGCTGCATTGTAATGAGCCATGTCACATTTGGCCCTTAAACAAGGGTCTCAATTATGTGCTTGGTCTCCGTCGCGGCGCGGGTGAGGCGATCAATGCACCATCAGTCTGACCAAACAGAGTGTTGTTTCTCGCCTGGTTACTATCGCCTGGCACCACCAACCGCGTACATTTCTTATTGTCTTTGTTTGTGACATGGTCGTTTTCACCGCTACGCCGATGGTGGGAAATGGTGAGCAGTTGCTGGGAGGTCAGCCCCTTTCCTCTCCCAAATGAGGACAAATCAAGTGCGTATACGTGTATTCGTCCTGGATACAGTCCCTGAACTGACATCAATTTCTTTGTATTTATTCAGTGGGATTATCATGTTTAGGCACTGCTGTGACCTGTCTACCGAGCGTGGAGACCTTGTGCTCTGGTGCTGAGAGCCGAGTGTGCCGGCTTCGATCCTTCGCACAGCACATCCGACGGTGCGGCAGTCGGGACGTATAAGCAGACATCGTCGTGACACCCTATTTACAAGGGCCTCTAGTGCGTCCCCCGCCCTTCAGGACGTATATTATAACAGGAATGTGGATTGATGCCCTTGCAGAACAGTTCAGAGGGACGGACGACGTGCACGAGTACACGTCCAGCGGGAATTGTACTTCATATATCGTCAATCGAGCCCTTCATACAGAAGGCGCGGGTTAACTGGCTGCGCTCCATGCATTCTCTGGCCGCCACTGTCCTCCGTCCCGGATTCCCGATAGAATGTGCATCGCTCGCACCGGGCGGAGGGTATCTTGTGGAGCTGCATCTCGTCTGGACTGTGCATCGCATCTCATTCTCTGTCATACACGGCCGTGGCACCCGACGCCGGGCTCCCAAAACGAGCCTTGCGCCCTCAGTGCCTCGCCTAGTCGGATTGCACAGTCCTCGCGATACGCATAGATGTCCCCCTATCTGTCTCTAGCAGTGACAGAACTTCTTGAGGCGATATCGTGTAGAATGGAGGTCGGCGATGCTGTTCGCTCGAGCGGTCTGTGAGCCTCGCCCTGCGTCGTCCTGTTAAGCGGGGAGGTGCGGTGCGTCGGAGTACTCTGTTCCCTTTTACCTCTCCGATTCAGTCGCGCTTGTGTCCAGTCACCATCCACTCCGCATCTCCGCACAACATCAATGCCTCGACATCAGCGACCGCCTCGAGGACTACAACAGCGTGATGGGGCCAAAGCGAAGATGAAAGAAGACAACAAGACGCAGTACGTGCGGAAGCTCCCAGGGGTATGTCACAAGACCGCTGATTTCCCTGCGCGACTCACGAGGATTGCAGACGATCGTGCATGGCGAACGGTTGTTTGGACGACTCACTGCAGAAGCCCCGAGCGCGCCCGGGGTGATGGGCGTGTTGGACTTCTCTAATACCCCGTCTTCAATCGCCGCGAAGCATGGACAGACGTCGTCCAATGCTTCTCGTCTACATGCAGGTCACGAGCCTGTCGTCTCGCGCACGGAGGCTTCCAATCATCAAGCGTCACGCTCTAACCCTTCTATGGACACTTCTAATCCTCGCCAAAGTCTCAGCACCGTCCGCCGTCCGACCGTGCAGCACGGAAGCTTAGCTGCTGCGCGTACGCATCCTCAGGGACGCCACCCCTATCACATCGCGTCGCCTCAGCCTCATGGACAAGACGACGTCTTAACAAGTTAGTTTTTTGTTACTGAAGCGTACTTTCGATTTCATCAATATGTTTCTAGATTATCAGTCAGAAATGCAGATGATGATGCAGTCGTCTGCTCTGGATCATCAGTTACCACAACAAACTCCTCATATGCTGCTGTCGACACGGGAAGACCACCGAGAGGTGCTGACGTACGATCCCTTCTATGGCGCTCACCCCATACCTCTTCCTGCGGCCGAGCAGCGACTTCCCAATATCGTCATCGACAATACATCATTCACGCAGCAGCCGTTTCCGGGGCTTGCGCTGGGTTTACCTGGAGGAACCGACTTGCATTCAGCTGCCAATGACCCGCCTTCCGATGGTTGTGATCACGTCACGACGTCAACTGAACCTCCGCAACAGCGGAGTGCAGGTGCGTTAGTCGTTACATAGAACTGCCTTCGTGGTGCTGATAACCCGCCTCCCCAGCTTCCAATAACTTTGTTTCAATGTCCCAACCGTTCGTGACTGAGCTACCGGTACCCACTGTTCCACATGCTCCATCGTATCATACGATCATGCCGACATGCGCCCCGATTCATTCAGCGTCATCCCAAGCACCCTTGTCACCGGCCTCGCATTTCTCAATGGACCATGAATCACAATATGGCGCCAGTCCTGCACCACCTGCTCAGGCTGTTTGGAATCTCGCTCCACCATTGTCGTGCGACCTGATATCGCGGCCCTCCAATCCACTTGTGAAACAGCTCCATCCCACCTGGTCGCCAAGAGCAGCCGTTGCAAGGGACTACTCAGAAATGCACGTGAATGATCCGCTGTACGGCTCTCACCCCATACCGCTACCGGAGACGGCTTCCATAATCAACGACTTTTTCAGTGAGGCACTTTCTCATCCTTATCGGGTAACGACGACAAAGCTACCGGCTCCTCCTGCCATCATATATCACCCAACGCCTCTGCATCCAGCGTCGTTGAGGCTCCAACGTTTGTTGAAGTGGGCGCCGCCCATGCGCGTGACTAGGTACCTACGCTCAGACGACCTTCCATATAGCACCAATATGGGGGACAATGCTCATACAGACGTCTCTACTGGAGGGTCGCTTGGGGAGTACACTTGACACCCACAGAAGGGCATGCACAGTTGACGAAGTGACCACATAATGATTCGTACCTGCTTCCATTCTACATGATCCCCATGCGACTTTTGTGATGAGAACACTCTCAGTGCAATAGGGAGTGTACAGTACTATACTGCATAGTAGAAATTACGGTTGACTCGTGTACCTGATCGTGTTGTATTCAAAACGGATTGATTGGAACTCTAGCGCTTAAGTTGAGATAGAAGAAATCACTGCGTAGTTACGCGTCACCTTCGCATTGGTTGCAGAAGTGATCACATAACTGAGCAGTCATGTCTATGAATGCGATCAATCCTTCTGTCAGGCACATTGCTGACATCAAATCGTGCGATTTGGAATATGGGGACACCAGCCTGATGATATCGTCATATGTGCAACCGTATGCATGGCGATCGACGAGGGTATTTCCCTGAAGAGGATTTGATAAATGTTGTGAGAAGAATATTGGAGATATCATTCCTGGGTGATACCGGTGTTTTATGCATAACTGATTACTCTCGATGGCAGCACATACCTGAATGACGATAGCCATGTGTGTAAATCTGAGCTCCGTCCACGCGGACGGCACTAATAATGACAAGTTGTTATGAGCATACACATTTTCGTGAAGTCCTCACCAAAGATCTCCAGCTTGTCGACGACATCAAGTCTTGCGGGGCGAGCGGAATCAAGTATTGTGAGTGAGAATGATACTAGGTTGTCGGCAAGACGTGAATTGAAGGCGAGCTAGCCCTAGGATTTTATACTGAAAGTGGGGAAGAACAATTCGTCATCGGGTTGTCAAGTGGTCAGTAGCCCAATTGTTCAGATTCTCGTCCACGGTCGCCACACAAAAGACTCGAGTGTGACTGTCAACGAAATAATAAGCCTGATCACTGTCATTTACTATTGTTTCAGTGTAGCACAATTGAGGTACATTCTGGAGATAATAGTCTCGGCAATGGGCATGCAATGACTCGAACTTGAAGCATCCTGCGAAGAAAAGATCTCACAGTATCACACGCGCGACTAGATTGGATTAGATCCGATCGCGGCCATAGCCTTACTATAGCGACCGGCGATTGTCATCTTGAGCTCAGCGGCTTTGCCGTCCAAACTCACTCCGTCCACCAACTCAGTCTAGGCATCCCACTTCCGAGTCAGTGGTATTGTGAACATATATTCTACTTTTTCAGCTGCAGGCCTGGGCGCGCCATGATTTCCTTACACGCGCCGTAGTGTCTGCAGCATTATGTACACCCGCTCTCACAATACACATGGCGTACTCCCAGCAAAGATTCTGCGCGCTACCTACGAATTCCTCGTGGGATTTGGTTCTGGTCTGAACAATTTCCCTCGTGGCGTTGGCACAACATGTCCAACGAGTCTATGAAGTCAAAGTCCCTCGGGACAGCAGGGCTACATGATACAGTGGTGCACTCTTCCTCTCGCTTGTGTCCACTACTACCTTACGAGTCGACTTGCCTCGCCGATGTTACTGCAACTGGGTGTACCCGCCGATAGCTCCAACAGTGACAGGATACTCCGCGAGGATGTGGATTCTGCAGGGCAGTGTTTTCTCCAAAACATCGGCCTGTTTGTTTGACTTCATCTGGGATTTGCATCACCTGCGCAAAAACTAGATGAACATCCAGTACCGCCTGCCGTACAGGATAGTCACGCCTACTAGGTTCCATCAATCACTCTTGCTCTCCCCAACGCCGGCCTCCCAAAACGAGCGGATGCACACACTGCTTCTTAGGAGCGCTCATATGCACAGAGCTCGCTACGCTGATAGGACGTCCTAGACGTCCACCTGTCTGTCATCGTTATCGAGCACTATGAGCGGAGTGCACGACGAGATGGATGGCAGAAAGGACGTTGGCAGTGCTGTCCTCAGGCTTGATGCGCCTTGCCTATCTTGGAGCGGCGCAATGGTGAACGTAAGTGCTTCTGACGGGGTCGTTGAGTACGTTGTGCCTGATAGTCCTGCCCAAGCCGCCAAAACTCATCGTCTCTTCTCCTGACATGGCCATGCCGCCCGACCGAGACGCGAGACGGGCTTGCAGGGAGACCGCAGAGGCTCAGCAAGAGTGAGTTTGTGCGGACAATACCGGGAGTAAGCAGCGCCCTCGTAGTACTCGCTGATAGGTGATGGTGAATCATTGCAAATGATGAAGGGCGCCTGATAGACTCCGTGAGATGCACGCCTCTGAAGGCGAGCTTGACTTTCAGCCTCGTTAAATTCATCCACCCGGCCGTCTTCTGATGCATCTTCGTCTGGTCAAGAATCGTCCACCATCACCACTCAACCTTCAGCATCTTCACCCACAGGCGAGTCGCAACTTCTATCCCAAACGCCTATTACCTAACATCTCGACATACAGAACACAGCTTTGCATCAACACAACCAGGCAGATCTGTATCAACATCGCATTCCGTGTTCTACGCACCGGCGAGCTCTTCTGTGTACATGGAGGAGCGTGAAGCGGCTCAGAACTTGTTCATGTTTTGCCATATTCTCCGATCATCGCTAGTTTCCGCCTCCGTGTTTTTTGCCATACGTCATGATGGACAGAATGACGGCCATTTATAATTTGATGTCTTTATCGCTGTTATTGTAATGTTGTCAAACGCGCAATATACCCGATGCTATAGACCAAAATGACAGACCGAAATGATAATAGTCTACGAATATGTAGCGTCCGTCCGAATACGCCCACGTGATCGCGACGCAATACTGACGGCGGCTCTTTGAAGTTTGATTGTTCCAGTACTTCTTGACGACGACTGCCCGTCTTGTTCTCCCTGAGATCGTCTGGCGCGTCCTAATCTCACAACGGTCTACTGGCGTGTCTTAGCGCCGCCCCGCACGCGCATCCCATTGATGACGGCTAGGATTGATAAAGTCCAGAGTAGCTCACTCAACACAACGTCCGCCGGAAGGGCGCTAAATACCTGAGATGTCTGAAGTTACTTCTGCCTCTGCTACAACGTACGCACGATATTAATCTCCTTGGTAACCCCGGCGCATAGGACAAATGGAATGCCTTGTTCTGTACGCCTCGTGCTGGCACTACGTCCTGCGTCCCGCCGGTACGTCGCCTTGTGTGCCATCGTCTGCTTCGTAATCTACGTCTTGCTCAGCCAGTTCACTTGTCACCCTGGCGAGCTCCAGTGTGGTGGAACCATTAGAAATTGCTGGCCATGCCTTTCCTAGACGACCGCCCATGGTGCCTGCTTTAGGGAGGTGGGACACAGCCATAATGCTGAGAGCTTGTCAAGTAGAGTCAAGTAAGCGTACCTGCTCCTGATTGATTATACAGGGGACGCGGATCGGCGCCCCCACCACACTTACATCGGGCGGCATATATCTGGGTGGAGCCGACACTTGACATTGTGGTGGTACCAATGAGTGAATGTAGTAACCACCACAGTACCTGCCGCTGCCGCGGGCGTGCGTGATCCTGAGGTGAGTTCCCGATTTCTTTGACTTGCGCAGCAAGCAAATAGGAGTTGATGAGATAGGCACTACAGATGCTTGCCATCTCTGCACTACACAGCTGGTGGCGGAGGCATATGAGGGCGAGGCCAGAGAGCGACATACAGCATGCAACAGCGTTCACCCTACGCCCTCTACGCCCTCCACATTCTCACAGAACGCACCTCAACCTCACATTCGAATGTCTGGAAGCAATCAAAACCAGAACCAGCGTGGAGGAAGATCGCGCACCTCATCGGTTCAACCAGGAGTGCGCTCGCTTGTCTCGGCGGCATGGGTGTGGTTGACATCGTTCTGGTGGCAGATGCAGTCATGGGAGATGATGTTTGGTCGCGTTCCAGAGGGAACTGCGCCTATTGCAACTGAGCAGTATATCGACAGTGGATCGCATGGACGGAAGGCGCCGGCATCTGGTCGATCGACGTCGACTGGCTCCGGGTCGATCTCGGCTACGAGATATTCGGCTGGCACACCAAGGGCTGGCAGCACTACTCCGTACGTGAAGCCGGTCAACGCGCTTTCGCAGTGGCATGCGCCTTCCCCTCCCGCGGCATGGACGCCTCACCCGCTAGTTCCTTTCCCTACGCATCGATATACACCGCCGGAGACGCGACATGTATTTTCTACTATTCCATCGACACCCACACCATACACACACGATGCGCGTTATGCCCGACCTCTGTCGAGACCCTCTGCATCATACCAGCCTTCCCATCAGCATGGTACGCAGCGCCATTCGTCGATTCGTCGCGTGTCGGCGTCCTTCGCGTCGCCTCCTACCTATCCGCCCACGTCGCACTCTACCACAGATGTGATGCAATCGTATACCGCGTCGAGCTCGCCGAGGACACATGCGCAGCATGGCAGCCATTCTGACCATGGGACTGCGAGTACTTCTGCCCAACGCACGAATTGGGCAGGCGTTGGCGCCCGTCGGGTATGCGACAGCTCATTTGACTATGCGACGTCGTCCTCCAGTGGGAAATCGTCTGTCCATCAGACACAACACGGCTATAGTTCGTACGGCTCTCCGCAATACTATGCATAATTCTTAGGTCTCTTAGCCATATTCGATACTTGCGACTCTCAGCTGCGTCTCTACCTCTCCGTTCGTCGAGTTTCCCACTAGTTTCCATCTATTCGTTCCCCATACTTCCTTTCGCAAACATACACTCGCATAATCTCCGCGCTTGGTTTTACACATAGTTTTACTCTAGATGTCTGCATCTTATTGCGCGTACGCTTCCTGCCGCGATGGGCACATGTCGTTACAAATCTCCCATATACGCATACGAGTGGATCTTTGAGTCGGCCTGAAACCTGGTTAAGTCGCTTTGAAGATCATATCCAACGAATACACGAAGTGGGGAATTCCAACGGCCGTGAACATATAGCGCTCCGTGATTGCGGGCGTCATGCGGTCATTGAGATGTGTCGTATCAAAGTATATGACCTCTAAAGCTAATTCCAGATCGATAGACCTACCCCAGAATCAAATGCACGCAAGCGGGGTTGATGCGGAATTCGTATTCAACGGTCGGGACCACGGTCCCGACCTGGCTGAAACCGGCAAAATATCATCACAGCCACACTAAAGTAGGCTTCTGTTTTCTGGGCCTGCCTACATACTCCCGCCCCGAGTCCGCTTACGCACACATTGAGTTGAACAAGTCTATCGATATGAAATCAGCTGTAAGTGTTGCGCAATTAATGATTTCTTCATGTAAGGTTTATTGTCGGGCGATAGATTGCCCTCAGGACAACATCGTGGTCAATAGAACCGTAACAGGGACCATCACGTTAAAAAGACCTTCTGCTAGCATCTTCATACCGAGTCGGAATGCGACAAGAACCTCTGGATGCATTCATGGCAACATTGACGACATAATGACAACACAGAGCACGTGCTATGGAGACTCCCGAGAGACGCTCTAGTTGAAAGATTAGATAAGATGGATGATCGGTGATCGAGAAGTTCTCGTCGATCGCTACTCGTTCTGCTACTTCCTCTCGACGAGTCATTCAACTTTACGTCTGCTGCAAACTAAATGGAGACTCTAGGACTCGCTGGACCCAGCAATGCTGCAGAATCCATTGCAAGGGCTGCAAAAACCGCATTTGAGGCATCTCAGCTCATCCCGCCGGAGGAGCGTGTGAGGGCGCTCCACGAAATATGCAAGGAACTGGAGGCAGCCAAGGAAGATGTCTTGATGGCGAATAGAAGAGATCTTGAGGTGCATTATGCTGCAATGTGATGCTCTATGGGGATTTCTCACTGGTCTCTTCCTTCTCGGTACGACCCCATTCTGTAACTGACTGCAGGCTGCGCAAGCGGAAGTTGACGCAGGACACATGTCTGCGTCTCTTCTCAAGAGACTCGATCTCACGAAGGGAGACAAGTGGGACTCGATGCTACAAGGCGTGAAGGATGTGGCCAATCTCCCAGATCCTACGGGAATAGTGACATATGCATCGGAACTCGACGATGACCTCGAGCTCTACCGTGTTTCCTGTCCTATTGGCGTCTTGCTAGTGATTTTCGAGGCGCGCCCGGAGGTCGTCATCAACATTGCCTCGCTCGCTATCAAGTCTGGTTGGTCCTACGACTACTTGCACTTCCGGTCCTGACGGTACTCCTCACAGGGAACGCTGCCATCCTCAAGGGCGGAAAGGAATCAAATGAGACCACCCGATTATTGTCGAAAGCTATTCAGAACGCGCTCTCACGGACATCCATCCCGAGCACATATATCCAAGCGATACAGACGCGAGCAGAGGTGTCCGCGCTGCTCCAGTTGGACCAGTACATCGACCTCGTCATCCCACGGGGGAGTAATAGCCTGGTCCGGAGCATCCAGAATAGCACACGGATACCGGTAATGGGACATGCAGACGGCCTGTGCTCAGTCTACTTAGACGCGTCCGCGGACCTTGAGAAGGCCGTGCGGGTCGTCCTGGACTCCAAGGTAGGTCTAACTTGCACACTCGATCTTACAACCACGATCTCATTCCCTGGCGCAGACAGACTACCCCGCCGCGTGCAATGCAGCAGAAACGCTCGTCGTTCATGAAAGCCTCCTCTCGACCATCTGGCCGGCAGTAGCGAAGGCCCTCCTTGCAGCCGACGTCCAATTGCTCTGCGACCCGCCCACGCTCTCTGCCCTCTCCTCGTTTTCCCATGCGCTCGCCAACCTCTCCACACACGTGCATCCAGCGCCGCCAGACGCGTACTCGACCGAGCACCTCTCGCTCACGCTCTCCGTGCGCGCAACATCCTCGCTCGCGGACGCGATGCGCTTCATCAACGCGCACTCCTCGCACCACACCGACTGCATCGTCACAGAGGACAGTGCCGCCGCCGCGGCGTTCTGCCGCGGGGTCGACTCGGCGGGCACGTTCGTCAACGCGAGTACACGCTTTGCGGACGGCTTCCGCTACGGCTTCGGCACGGAGGTCGGGATCAGCACCGGGCGCATCCACGCACGGGGGCCCGTCGGGCTCGAGGGGCTCGTCACGTACAAGTACATGCTCAAAAGCGGGGGCGCGCAGGGCCACGTCGTTGGCGAGTTCGGCCCCGGCGAGGGAAAGAAGAGATACAAGCATCGGCAGATTGAGGCGCATTCGGTGCCATTTCTGGCGTGAGTATGCATATGGCTAGGTATACAGGAAGTATATGTAGATGGATATAAGCCCGGCCGACCTTCATGGGGCCAGGATGCGAGATGGCGTAGCTATGCAATGCAAGATGTAACGATACAGATCATAGCTGGTCGGTCAGACGGGATTCCACAATGAAGCCATCATGACTCCGCATCCTCTACTTTCGCTTTTTTCTCTGATTGTGGCGGGGCAGGCTCGTCCTCCGCTTTCCGCTTGGCGCCGCCATTCGCGTCAGGGGTTTTCTTTTTCTTCTTCACCACGGCTGTCAAGTCGTTGACCTTCTGCGGCGCGGTTGACGCTTGAGTGGCAGGCTTCGTGTTAAGTTCCTGGTCGAGAGCCTTCTGAGCCATTGCGGGGGCAGACTCGGCTTGTTCATCCGGCAATGTCTTTAGCTCATCCACCTACGCGGTACGTCAGCTAACAACTAAGAGAGGCACATGAGAGAGAATCACCTTCAACGCAAGATCCTCCCTGAGTTCTTGCAACTCCTTTTCTTCTGCCCCCATCTGGCTTTTGGTCATTTTGGAGACGGCGTCGTCTCCTAGCAGGCGCGGGCCTGTAGCCTTCCCTTTGCCCTTCGCGTCAGACTTTGCTTCATCAACGCGTACCAGACCCTGCCCGCTCAACGCGTCCCGCAGCTCCGCCAAACGTGCCTCCACGCTTGCCAGCGCTTGTTCCGCGTGGCTAATCGCATCGCTGAGACGGCCGGACGTGAGGTCGAGCACGATACTCAGCTTGTAGTGCGCCTCGGCGATCTGGCGTGACGACTGCGGGAGGAGCTCGGTCTTGAGCACGAGTGCGGCGTCGTAGTCCGATATAGCCTGTTCGAACTTCTCTGTTTCGAGCGAGACGTCGCCGAGTGCAAGGTATGTATCTGCGAGTTTGAGCTTCACTTCGTCGTTTTCGTCCTGCTGCTTTTCATATAGCGCGCGGGCGAGATCGAGCACTTCCCACGCAGCGTTGAAATCGTCCTCGGGCTCGCCCTCCTCCTCCTCGTCTTCCTCTTCCTCTTCCTCTTCCTCTTCCTCTTCCATCTTTTGCGCCTCACCGAAGAGGTCTACGGCAACGTCTTCCTTGCTCCCGGGTACGATCTCGTCCGTGTCGTCGCCATCCCCCGAGAAGGAGAGGAACTTGCTCCCACTGGGCTCCGGCTCTGAGGATCAAGTAAGTTCAAGAAGGCGGGATAACCAACACGTGGGGCTCACTGGTCAACTCGCCCGCCACCGCCTGGACCGCTTCCTCTGTCTGCTCCTTCCCTAGCACCGTGCTTTGGGAAATGGCATTCTCCAATAATGCCTTCCCATAGGCGAAATAGGTGTCCGCCATCTCCGGGGCATTTTCTCCATGTTCCGCCGTCCTGCGAAAGAAATAGCGTGTCAGATGCTGTGTGATACCAGGACGCGTCGAACGCGTTCCTCAGCACAAATCACGTACAACAGCTCCAGCGCAGTAGCATAGTGGTCGATCGCCTGCTCATATTTTCTGAGAGCAAAGGCACGCTTAGCGTGTTCGATGGCGTCCTCGATGGTCGAAGTGGGCGGCGTCGAGTTCGTAGGTTCGCTGCAGGAACAGAATTAGACAACATAAGAAGAGGAGTACAGACGTATAGTACTAACGCAGACATGTCGGTAGTTCGAGATGAAGGAGAGGAAGTGAGTTGTGGTGGCAAACGAGACTTGAAGGTAGCAACGGGCGCCTACACGCGTCGCGTCTGATACCGCGAAGGTGGCCTTGATGATGTAAGCAGAAGTTGTCGCGTCATCGCTATATATAGACAGCCACCTACCAAGAAAGGGACGTTGGACATTCGTCGAACCATTGATATTCCGTCCAATTATAAGAGTTCCACCAAGCTCTATATGACGTTAATCAAGGTCTCGTGGTATCAAGTTCATTTGCCATTACGCATCGGACCACGAGGAGCACAGCCGGACATCACTAAGCTTGAGCGACTGAAATTCAAGGGCATATCCACGTCTTCTGTAATTTTTGCGCTGGAAATACTGTAACTCTTGCAAGCTGGAAATAGTTCTCGAAGACTGTATCTTATTTATACATGAAATTTCAGATTATGTTTTTATGATGAGCTCAAATGAGCAATGATGACGAGGAGGTAGACAGATGCTGTGGCGGTGCTAGCGCTTTTTCGCTGCCTGCCCTAAATCTTTGCCCTATAAGAGTCCCCGCCCGACATTGGTGTTTCTTTAGAACATACTCAGCTAGGATCTATTTTATAGGTACTAACTCGAGTCTCGCATGTTTACACATGCCACATCCTTCAAATCCAGTCGATGACATTCGCGTCCACTCGTCATACCGAGAACATGCGCATTATTTGATGCGCTCGAGGACGTTTGGTTCACTCGTCTGCGCCCTCTTCGAGTGGTGCGGATGGTGAGCCAGCGAGTTGGACGTTTGTCTGATGGATTCTTTCTCTTGTACCCCTATTTTGTATCTGTGTATCTGTCTAATAGCGATTGAATCAATGCCTTTTGTTCATCATTTGCTCTGTTTGTGTTCTGGGTTGGCAGAGCTTTCGCTCCTCTATTTGTTGCTATGGGCTGGTCAATCTGGTATAACAGCAGAGGATCGGTGTAGATGAATAGTGGAATTGTACGAAATGTACGCGCGTGCAACAAACCAGATGAACTGGAACCAAAATAGCAAGAGAACATTGTAAGGACAATTACACTGGTGATAGGGTATCAGAAGAGTGAAAAAATGCAACCACATCACACAGAGCTAGGCGTATGTATAGTACTGCGGAGAGCCATATGGACTGTAACCTTGATGAGTCTGAAGGACAGACAACTTCCCACTGGGGGACGATGTTGCATAGCCAAATGAGGTCCCGTATTCTTGACGGCAGCCGACGCCTGTCCACTTCGTCCGTCCAGCAGCAGCGCTCGCAGTCCTAGATTGGCCCACATGCTGCACATGTGTCCTCGGCAGGCTACACGCGGTATACGATTGCTTCATATGTGTGGTAGAGTGCGATGTGGGCGGATAGGTAGGAGGCGACGCGAAGGACGCCGACACGCGACGAATCGACGAATGGCGCTGAGTACCATGCTGATGGGAAGGCTGGTATGATGCAGAGGGTCTCGACAGAGGTCGGGCATAACGCGCATCGTGTGTGTATGGTGTGGGTGTCGATGGAGTAGTAGGGAATACATGTCGCGTCTCCGGTGGTGTATATCGATGCGTAGGGAAGGGAACTGGTGGGTGAGGCGTCCATGCCGCAGGAGGGGAAGGCGCGTGCGACTGCGCGTTGACCGACTTCACGTAAGGGGCAGTGCTGCCGGCCCTTAGTGTGCCAGCCGAATATCTCGTAGCTGGGGTCGACCGAGAACCGGTCGACGTCGATCGACCAGATGCCGGCGCCTTCCGTCCATGCGATCCACTGTCGGTGTGCTGCTCAGATGGAACAGGAGCGATGGTTTTTTCAACACGGCCGAAAATTCTCCCCCACGACTGCATCTGCCACCAGAACGACATCAACCACACCCATGCCGCCGAGACAAGCGAGCGCACTCCTGGTTGAGCCGGTGACGTGCGTGATCTTCCTCCACGCTGGTCCTGGTGTTGATTTCTGCTAGACATTCGATTGAGGTGCGTTTTGTGAGAATGTAGAGGGGGTAGAGGGTGAAGAGTTGCGTGCTGCATGCCGCTCTCTGGTCTCGCCTTCATATACCACCACTGTGCAGTGCAGAGGTGGCAAGGACCTGTAGTGCCTATCCCATCTACTCCTCTCTGCTTGCTGCGCAAGTTGCAGAAATTGGGAGCTCACCTCAGGATTACGCATGCCTGCGGCGGCGGCACATATTGTGGTGGTGGCCATGTTCATGTTCATCTATTGGTACCACCACAATGTCAGGCG